TTGTGTATTTTTTGGTTTTTTGAAACAAAAATTTTTTACAAAACCAAAAACGGTTATTATAAATAGCCTGCAACCCCTTACTAAACGGGTAATGTTAAAAAAAAAAAAAAAAAAAAAAAAAAAAAGCACTAGAATACTGCGCTCACATAGTGATACATTGAAAATAAAAGCTAGAGTTTATGTGCCAGCAGTTCTTAATGGTTATATATTTAGGTTGAGTATTTAATTTACAAAGGTAATGACGAAGAAATGCAAAAAAGAAAATAAAATTTGGCCCCAATTTAAGGCTTTTAAGCACCATTCTTTAAATTTCTCTTATGTTGCAATTCATTTTTCTTAACCAATCTCTTTCTCTCTTGTCTGTGCAAAGTTCTAGGGTCAATCAACTCATTTTCAGTATTCTTAACCTTATCTTCAACCTCAACCAACCACTGGTTATCCAAATCCTTGTTCTTACCCTTGTAACCCCATTTAGGAACCCATTCACCGGTTTCTTCATCGTATACCATCTTACCATCCTTGGCCTTGGACTTGATTCCCTTCTTAGCAGCGAATTTCTCCCATTTGGTCATGGCCCTGGCCTTTGGAATGGCCTTTTCTCTAGGTAATGGGGCGAGAGGGTCTGGCAATTGTATTAAAGTCATCGTGGAATTTTGGCCCGTAGATGATGATTCGTGGTTGTCTGTGGTCGTCTTGACTGGCAAAGATAAAATTTGGTTTATCAATAATTGTACATTGTCTCTGGTGACTTCTGTCAAGTAGTTGTTCCTTTGCGCAGAGTCCTTCAATTTACTATTGTCCAATGGGTTTGGGTCAAAAGTGGCCAAATTACCCAAATCAAACGAATTTGGGATTGGCTTGTCCACCGTTACTGGTTTATATTCTTTATCTGACATGTCTTTTATATCTATGTTGTGTTGTATACCTCTTTAATGAAGAGCTAAGTATGATCAGGTTCGATTTTTCAACTTGAGATGAGATGGAAAAAAATAAAATGAACAAAAAAAAAAAAAAATCGTTTAATTGAATAATGTGTCCTGCATCTAATTAGATAGCTTACTGGTGCTTAAGAGTTGCAACTTCTGTGGCTACAATGGATCTGATACCCAAATAAGATACAATATCTGACTATTTACAAGTCGGTACATACTAGTGTTGACACTTCTACTTGTCTGCTTCTATATGTTTCTCTTTTTTTTTACCTGGTGCTTTGGAGTGAACTCTTCCAGATCCAAATCGAAACTATAGACATTATTCCTATGGCACCCCCCGCCAAAATTAAGTGCTTCATGTTTTCCAAATCAGCGTCTTCAGGCTCCGTCTCTAAACCAGGAGTGGCTGTTCTTGGATTCTTCGCAGCGTCAACTAGCTGAATAAACAATTCATGAATGGAAGTGGGCCAAGACGAAGAAATGTGTATGGGAGAACTCAAAAATAAATCTCTTGTATAGTTCTCCGGTTGTATGTCTGATCTCTGCTGTTGCTTATCTAAATCAGCTTTCAATGCTACGAACACACTTGGTATTTCGTCCAAGTGATTATTCGTATTGTAGTTATGGTGGTGGTGATCGTCGATCCCACCTACAGTCCCTGTCACTCCACCGACTACTGCCCCTATGCTGCTACTAATTGAATTTACACTATTCATATTTCCATTGAGACTCCCGTTATTGGTATGCCTGCTAGAATACTTCTCTCTCAAATCAACAAGATACTGAAATGACTCTGGGTCAGATGAATCGTAAGCATAACATATTACATCACATTGATCGAGCCTGAGTTTATTCTCCAAGATAGCAGGCTCCAATTCTCCCAATTCTTCTAAGATCAAGTAGCACTGCTTACCTCCTCTAAGTTCAATATCTTTAACACATATCCTAGGTTTTATCGTAGGATTATACACTTCACTGAAACTTCCCCGTAAAAACAGTTCGAGTAATGAGGTTTTCCCACACCCTGGAGCACCTATTATGAAGCAATTGAACACATTTCTGTCATTGACTTGCTGCCTGTAATGCTTTCCTTGCTTTTGTCTTGTTTTCCTCGGTTTTGTCACTTTCAATGCTTTTATAGATGATGTTTCGTAGTCATCGAAACCTAAATAAGCTAAGTATTCAAGGGTAGTTTTATAGTCCAAGAACGTAGTCAAGCTCCATTGGGCTAGCCAACCTTGTAACGAGACATACCCTTCCTCGTTTCTCACAATAGAAGAAGGGAATTGGCACTCTTGCCAAAGTTTAGGGATACCAGGTGTAGGTACAAATAAGTTGTTCAATTCTACTTCATTCAATCCCCCGTCATTATCCTTATCAAATTTTAAAAATAGATCAACAAGGAATCTATAACCTATGGGCCCCAATTCAACACTTGAATTATTAGGAATATCCAATTGTGGGAATAAAAACTTGTCTTGTAATGATAAGGAATTGGTGTATTGGAAGCTTCTCAATATTCCCCAGATAGTTTCATGTCTGCCTCTTTCAGCATATATTTTATTCAAGAGAATGAAACCATCTTCCGATAATTTAAGTTCATCCCCTTTGTTCTCGTCTGGGAAGATGGTCTTTCCAATTGTATTGATAATAGTTTGGAACTGTTCATTTGTCGAGGGTGTATTGAAGCATTTCATATGCAATTTAGAAAATTCCTCAAAGTTCAAGAAGCCATCTTGATCTTTATCACAGAGGAAGAAGATTCGTTTTAATGCAACTACGCAACTTGGTTTCAAGTTCCCTTCTTTGGAGTCAAAAATAGGCGAGATTGGATGTGTAATGGCTCGTTCACACAAATAGTACGCTTCACTGACGTTGTAGTTTGATTTAGCGCTACACCTTATACAGGCTTCGACCTCTTTGAATTCATTTATCAAGGGAACAAATTCTTCGGCGTTTTGTTGTTTCGGGGTACTCGAGGTTGCATCTTGGATATCTGACTTGTTAGCACATATGACTATGGGTAAACTAACACCCATGGACCTGAACATCGCTAACCAATGTATAGAAATACGCTCGTACGTATAATGGTCGGAGTATACTAGCCAAATAGCATCTGCTCTTTTCAATTCCTTTTGAAGCTGGGCAGCATCGGACAGATTCGTGTCTACGAGGATGGTATTTGTGGGTATATATCTCAGCAAATGGATTGAGCCGCTCGACGATGTTAAATCTTTATCTGGAGAATCAGAAGAGAGGGACACTGACGAGGAGGAAGGTGAAGAGGATGATGAAAGGGAAGAGGATGAGGATGCTATCGCCGATGTTTTTGGACTAAATGTAGACAGCAGGGATGACGAAGATGATTTTCCAGAAAAGGAATTACCTTTATTCATCCTCGAAGAATGTGACTTCCTTCTCGAAGTAGAAGATTTGGCTGCAGTGGTGGCACTACTGGATTCTGATTCCATCAAATACTCATACGCGCTTGTGGCGTAATCTTCTTTGGATATTGTAATCGGTGGGATAACTTTCTGGATGTTGGGCTCGAATTCTTCTTTCAATAATGCAGTGATTAATGAAGACTTACCAACCGCCTCATCTCCACAAACTACAATCCTTACCGTATTTGAAGTCATACTGGTTACTGCTCAATTACCTTGTAGTAATAATAATGCGGAGAATCAATTTCCCATACAGAAAAACGATGTCGCTCGAAACTTCTGTGCATCAAGATGGCCCGCGATGTGATTACAAAAAGTGAAAAATAGAAGTACTTCTCTTTCTGCATTTAGGTAAACCAGTAACCTATTATATACGATGTCAGTGTTTAGATTAGCCTCAAGATCCGCTAGAGCATTTAAGCCAATAAATTCTTACGGGCCTATACGTTTTTACTCTCAACTTCCTGAGGGAGAGTACGAGCAGAAGATTTACAATATGTTGAATGAGAGGTTCTCACCAGCTAAGCTCGAAGTTCAAGACGTTTCCGGAGGTTGCGGTTCAATGTTTGCTATCCTAGTAGAGAGTAAAGACTTCAAGGGTATCCCCATGGTCAAACAGCACAGGCTAGTGAATGAACTATTAAAGGATGAAATCAGCCAATGGCATGGGTTACAGTTAAAGACGAAAGGTGTGTGAATACATTAAGAGTAGATGAGAATGTAAGAGAGGACATAAATTCTGAAACAAATAAGAATAAGACTATCCAGGATCATTGTATATATTATATTATTTATTAAAAAGATGGGTAAGTTTGAGAAAAGTTGCGTAAAATAAACATAACTTAGTATTAGTATATCAATCAGAGTATATCGTTGTAGCACTGTAGCTCTCACTCACTCACTTCTTTGGAATACACTGGACGCTCGCTTTGACCCAGGGCCAAGCAAATTAGCCAAAATGTCAATTTTTCAATTTAGAAGTAACCGCTGGGAGCTCAGATCTTTTTATTGGACCTATTGTGACCTTCCAGCATACTACTTAGGATATCAAAGCCACTTACAGCCTCTATTGAGCAGCATGAAGTGCACTGTCTATAATGGTAGCTATGTGTGTACTGTATATAACCCTCTTGATTAATGATCATTACCTAATATTTAATACACCTGCATATACTCTGATGGGGTCCAATTTGCATAGGGCCAAATAGGGCCAAATTTGCAGCCAGCGTAAGCGATGGAGAGACAATCAAGCGTGCTCCTGCAGCACATATATAAGTATTGAGCGGGCACAGACGTACGACTATGCTTTGACCGAATGAATTAATTACAGGATACTGATCTTTATCTTTCATGGATGCGATCAAGCGCACATCGATGAGCTAGTTGCCATTGTAGTGTATGTGAAGCAAGGAGGAGATAATCACATGCAAGATGAACATTACAAATGAAGGTACTCTCGCCCTAAAACAACGAATAGGAATGCTGTGCTCGCTCTGCTACATTTGCTGAGCCCTGAGAAGTCTAATTCTCGAGATCTTTAGTTAAGTCCATCTGAAACGAGTTCCATTTTAGTAAGGGTGAATATAGAAGATTTCTAGATCTTAGAAAACCTTAACATAGAAGGCGATCTACTCGATCCCAAGTGACTCCTACCCCGATTGCACAAGACAAGTCCAAACGAAACATTTCTTAGTCCAGGTCCATTTATTCTTTTGTTTCGCTGCAATATCTTCTTAGCTTTACTTCACAAATTACACTGTGAAAATAACGTGCTTCCCTTCAAACGTGTTTTTGTTTCTTTTGGTTAATTTCTTTTTTTGGGGGGTTCTATAGATTTTGAGATTTGCATTATTGATTTTAATTTGCTTTTCCCTTTTCTTTGCTTCATATTGCAATTTTATTGGGAAAAGCCCATACCTACTTCATATAGTTGACTATCCTAACATGGTAATTCGATCATTAGTCTCGTCCGTTGTGTTTAGTCTACCTTTGGCTGACAAAATAGTTCCCGATGTGGTTGCACGTAAATTGAAGGGAGACTCAGACAACAATGATGACTTGGTACCATACCCATACCCCAAGTTGCAAGAATCTCGAGAACAGAGAATATACAAGAAGATACTTGCTAAGAGAAAGTACCTGCAAGTTGTGACGGCACCTACATCCCCTCTTAGTGGATCGTCATCAACATTCTCTCCTGCTCCTCCATATAGCAGGTCAAATAATCTACATTATGTTGAGGAGGATGATGATGATTACTACCCCGGTGGAGCAATGCTCGCTGTAGAACCAATTCATAAGACTAGTCCTCCCTTATCACATAGAAGGGACCCCTCGACCAATAATCTTGACAGCGATTATGGGACTCTCATTCCCTCCTCAGCGTCTTCCCAGAATGTTGACTACAAGAGGAAAGTATCGTTTCCGCAGGAACTTCAAAATGATCAGAGTGCTCTTGGGATCTATTCTTCATCTAGCAGAGAGGAGACTTCAAATGATAGAGTCAACAGATACTTAGAGGAACAGAACGAGAAGTTTGATGCATTAATTAATAGAAATATCGAGGTTGTACTCGAAAATGACGAAGCTGTACTCCCTTTAACTTTACAAGAGTCTATTTATGATCTTTTGGATGTTAGGGACCGTAACTTGTCTCATAAGTTTCAGGACATCTCATCCATTGTAGGAATTGCTGCCTCCAGTGTACTTCCATCGATATCGTTACCATGGAGAGGGAAAGAAGCTACTGGTGAAAGTAGCCTAGAGCTCTTATCGTCGGCTTCAATTCCATCCTCTTCTCGTGCTACATCTACGTCTTCCCCATCTTTGTCGTTGAGCTCGCCATCCACATTTGCATATCCGTCTAAGAAAGTTGAGAAATCAGAGTACTTACCCTCCGTGAGGGCAATGGTAGATGACTTAGACGTGTATAAAAAGGTACAGTTATATAAGTATCTACAAGAAGATTTAGACGTTTATGAAGATGCTAAAGACGAAATGTTTGGTGCAAATACCCCTTCTTCCTCGTCCCCAGACGACCTGCACTACTTACAACTCAGCGAATCTGGTATCACGTTGGACAAGATCCAGGCGCTTGCTATTCTACTGGTTAGATTGACTTTTGCTGGAATCAAACTTGCTATTCCAATTTCCATAAGGCTCTATCACAAATTTACTGAAAATGACTTATACATGATCAACAAGAAGAATTTCAATTCACTCTTAGGATTTCTTATCAAACTATTAAAGGTAGTTGAAGAAAAAGTGAATGGTGACACTATAAGTGTATATCAGTATGGTCACCAGAATAGTACTAGCCCCGAGAGCACCAGTGACCAATCCAACATTTCCCCGAAAGGGGACCCATTCGATGAACTTTACGATGAAATGGCTAATAGTGCAAGCCAATTCTTTAGTAATCAACTCAATGACGCTACAGAAGAAGCAATACAGAAAAACGACAGTTCCACATGGCAGGGCATGGCAATAAACTACATTTTAAACCAGTATATATCGTCCAGAGACCCAAATTCAGTAGCTGTTCGAAGACGCAGTGGAAAAATACATTACAAGGACCCTAAATATTCAAAGTACTATTCCAAAGGTGGATATCAGTACAGAGACGATGAATTTTCATCTTCCAGCCCATCAAATTCAAGCAACGATTTGATTTCAGAAAGTGAAAAGAACGATGTGAGCATTTTAAGAGCAGCTGAACAGTTTGCTGGTGAACTTTAGCATACTAATACATTAAACGGTAAAATGAATCTTGTAGGAAGAGTAAAAAATAAAATAAGATACTGTAATATCTTAAAAAGATAAACCCATGCCGGGAGTCGAACCCGGAATCTTTTGATTAGAAGTCAAACGCGTTAACCATTACGCTACACAGGCAAATTTTACAAATTAAAAAAAATCAAGATTTTCTAAAATTTGGTACTAGAGAAGTTAATACATACCTAGAATTCATCGTTTGTTTCATACTGTTACCTGTGACAAACACCACTCTGTATAGAGCAATTATATGTGACCAGTATGCAAGCCTTTATGAAGCTTGGATTATTTTTTCTATTCGGGCATTTTTTGAGTACAGTTGACTACTGGGCTAACCCACCGATGCGAGAATCATGCTATTTATTTCCCATATATATTATAATTTAAATACTTCTGTATGGTCATATGGATGTGACTACAATGCGCTGTATGCCTTGACAATTTCTGCTCCAATTGATGCAGCAGATTGGGGATTGGCTCCAGTGATAATTCTGCCGTCTGTAACTGTAAAATCATCCCATGCTCCGGCTGGGCTAACATAGGTGGCATTACTTTCCTCTGCAACTACTCTAACGGTCTTAAGGTGCTTAGAAGCAAAAACTCCATCAAGGTTCAAGAGTTTTTCACCCTCATCAGTGAAACCAGTAATTTTCTTGCCTTCAATCAATAACTTACCTGTTGTCTTATCAAGTAAACCTTCAAAAATAGCTGGCCCGTGACATACAGCAGCAACGATTCCACCCTTAGCATAAATGTCAGCAGCAATACTTTGTAAATCTTTTGCTACTGGGAAATCGAATACTGTACCGTGACCACCGGCTGCGAAAAAGATATCATAGTCCTTAGAGTCAAGCTCTGAAGCCTTCTTGGTATTTTTCAATGCCTTGTTGAATTCGGATTGTTCATTTGTTAACGTTTCATAGTCTTCTGCACTCAACGATTCCTTCTTGATAGAATGTTCATCATAACCCCACTTACCAGTTTCGGAAGCAAACTGGACATTATAACCAGCAGCATGTAACTTTTCAAAGGGGTGAATTGCTTCAGTATAGTAGAGCCCAGTCTTTTCGCCAGTTGGGTGGAAAACTTCATTGTAAGAAGTGATTGCAATAAGTACGTTCACCATTATGATAATTTGTTATTTGTTTGATTAGTTTGTGCGTTTATACGTTTCTCTTTATTCTACCTTCTTAATGATTTAAGACAGTGTTAATAAAAAAGAACAGAATAATTAAATTGAATCGATTTGCACCCATACTTATAAGGTTGCAACTTATTAAGCAAGTGTGTACCGAAAACCGAGCCTGCTTACATAAGCTGAAGGCTTACATGTAATCACCCACTTTAGCTCTTCTTCGATGTTCCAGCCAGTATAGTTCTTACAAATTGGCCTCTTTCTTATGACAAAGCACTCGGTCGAAGCTGGAACTTACTAATAGATACATTTAGTCATCTCCTTACGAAGTTGAGTAGATTTTATCTGTCTCTGTCTAAGTTTTCGGTATTTTATTTTATGCTAAGGGGATTGAATTTGAAGAACCAAAAAAAAAATGCTTGCATTACGTAGTAGAGCAAAAATAAAATAAAAGATACTAGACAACATAAGACAAGATATGTAAGAGTATGGCACTCACAGAAGACTACTGGGGTATAAGTCAAGAACTAGTTGACTCTTTTACGGAATGTTTCAACATGAATTGCAACCCAAGAAATGGAGAAAGCTAGTGCGTGGAACATCTATACACCAGGAAATCTAAAGAATGAGAGGAGCATCTGTCAAGGGTGCAAAATGATATGTTTAGTTAAAGGAACGAAGGCTAAAGGGTGGGTTAATCTGAAATTTCCCCGAAATAAACTGAGGAGAACCTCTGCAGAGAAGGGATTGGCTTGCCAATAAACGTATGCACTAAACAGCTGTATGGGCCACCTGTCGTGCCCTTCCATACAGTTAAGAGCATAAATTTTTCAGTATTTTTTTTTAAGCATTTTTTAATTTCTCAGGTTTTCAGGCTTGTCCCCCGCAATTACTTACCAATGAATACTGAAATGGGGAAAGGGAGAGGAGCCCTTATCAGCCACTAACCATACACTAGAATTCTAAATAAGTTCTTAGCACTGAGTATTCTCATTTAACCTTGCTCTGTTTGCATTTCTAAAATAAACGGTATACCCCTGGCCCTGGAACCTGTGCTGTGATATCATGAATTCTGTCATATTACGCGTCTTACCATATATCAAGAATGCAGTATTAATATACTTTAAATTTTTCACATTCTAAGAGGAAATTAGGTTTTGACGAAAACTGAAAAATCAATCAAAACGAAATAGCGTGGAACATAACACTGAGCCCATATTAATTAGAGAGGAAGGGAGGGGCGGTGTACTAATCGTACATAATCGCACATATTCTACGTAGAGTTTATCATAGTAATTAAGCTTTTCTAGGTTGGAAATGATTGCTCTCGTATTTTTTTTACACAATAGGAAAGGGGGAGGTTCCAGAAAAGCATGAGGAATAAGCGTAACTACATCTACACAAATAATGATAATAATAATAATAATAATAATAATAATTTAGTGACAGGATATAACAAGGGATATCAGGAAGTACCACAGCACTCAATTCGTATATTTTCTTGCTCCTATGTCCAATTTCCTCTCTATTTTTAACCCTATTATTCACTCAACCTCCATTTTTACCTAATCTATACCGGTCCCTATTTCTATAGTGCAAATAGTCTTTTCTTTTTCCATACATAACATGCACACTGGAGTGATATATGTGTCCTTACTCCTATTCTTATCATTTAAGCTTTGGTAAGCACACACCAGCACAGGATTGCATGCATAACTACCATACACCCGCCTTTAAATAACCCGTACACCGCAAACTTGCATAACTTCGCCGGGTAACTTTTCCAACAGCCAATCACAGGAAATGTGCCCAAGAGTTTAAAACTAAACCTCTTCGCACAATTCCTGATTTTTGTAATCCGGAAATTTTCTCATACATTTGGTCATTTTTTTCCTCTACAACAGTATTTTTGCCCCTGTTGTAAAAGTTGAATCTACCTTTATTAGTTGGGTATTTTTATATTTTTATAAAACACTTTGGTTTTTTTTTAGTATTTTTATTAGAAAACTATACAAGTGTACAAGTTACACCGGTCTTACACAAGCTCCGCTACAACTTAGGTTAAATTACAGGATTTAAAGTGTGTTTATTGACCCATTTATCCCGTTTTTTGAATTAATAATCCTGGTTTTTTTCGTCCTCCCTTATTTTTTTTCGACGAATAAAGATTTCTGACGCCTTGATTGGTTGCTCAGTTTTACCCATACAAAAATTATTGCCACTTTGTCCTTTTAAAAGAGACTATTGGGAATTCATTTTAAACTTTTTGTGTAACACATATTTTCGCGACCACGTGATACATTTCTTATATACATTTCCCAAGTAACATCAACATGGCACTTTCTTCACAATCATTAAGCAAACGTGGATGTCATTTTGGATATGATGGTAATGGAAACAACTATAACAGTACGCCCGGCTCTGGGAATAATAAGAGAATGTGCTTAGGCATTTCAAAAGATTTAATGTCCTACCATTCTGTCCTTGCATGCTATTCTTCTTCTGACGTTAATGAAACCGATCTGGAAGATGAACAGTCTTGTTATAGAGCTGACCAAGTTAGGGCCAAAAGAAGAGCATCGACTCGTATGTCCTTCTCTGTCAACCCTAACGTGTCCCGTGCTATTGCTAAGTACAGTGATGAAGATGAGGAGCATAATGAAGAGGGCCAAAGATTGGTTGATGAAAACATTGACTGCAAGTTATTGTCTACATCATCTAATACCAATTCATCTATTTGCCTTGCAAAGTTAAAAAGGAGAACAGCATCTTCATCCTCTTTCCATTTGTCTGATAATGAACAACAGAATAACACCATTACCAATTCACAAACATCGGTCAATAAGAACGAATGTTTATCCCCACAAGCATCTGGAGGTATGAAACGTTTAGTTCCATCTTCCGATAAGAATGCTAGAAGTCGTTGTTTTGATTACTTAGTTAGCGCAATTGATGAGGCATGGGCCCGTTATTGTACTGCTACTTCATACACTGATGATGAGGAAGATGCTAAGTTCAATTCTGTCACCCCTGCATCCATTGCTACTGACGAAGAAGATTATTTTGGAAACACTACTGATATCACTGATTACGAAGATAGTGACTATGGTGTCAACCATCATAAACACAATAGTAGTCAGAGGATTTCTTCGGGCAAGCCACAAATGTATCAAAAACTGCTGCCAGTGAAATCAATTAGCGTCGAACGTGATGTAGATCAATCATCGAGTCAATTACAAGCTTTGAAGGATCGTTTAACCAAGGCTAAGTACTACTTACAGGATTTGGTTGATTCTGAAGACTTATGCGAAGTCGGATCTTTCTGGAAGCGTTGGGATATGATCAAGTATGCTACAATTGAGCTCGTTGAGGATGACGATGACGACGATGTTGTCGAGAGCACTATTGAGGAGTTGGAAGATGGACGTTTCTACCTCAACTAGAGGCAGTCGTCAAAAAGAGAGAGAGAGAGAGATAAAAAGTTTACGGAAGTCACTGTAAATATCAGGAGAAAGAAAAAAAGAGAAGAAAAGTAATGATTTATAAGTAGCTTGGCATAGCTATTACTTTTCTTTGTTGTATATTTTTATTGTTAAATCGTTTTCTTAGTTTTAGTTGTTATTTTTAGTTTTACGGCACCCAACTGCAGAATGAAGGTTTTGCGTTGGCGTAGCTGTTACGGTTTAGTTTTGGGTTTATTAGGGTATGAAATTTTGATACGAAAATGATTTTTATAGGTTATTTTAAATACTTGTACAATAGAAATTTTTAAAATTTAATTGACAATTGATTTGTAGAAGCTGGTGTATCTGATCTTTCTTCATTTTATAACTGGCCTGAAGCATAGCTTTTATGGAATTAGTTATCATCTTCTAAAGTAAGATAGCCAACGTTAGAATATGCAGTGGTTTCATGCGGCTCTACGGTTTACAGTGCATGTGCAGGAAAATATACATGGTGGAATTTCCTCCCACTATCTCCAACTAAAAGGTAAAATACTTTACACCAGGTGGCATTCTTTTCTTATCTACAGAGTTACAATTGAATATTAGTATATGATGTTTGGCTCAATTAAAAATTTAATTATCGTAGCAGTCGGTGCGACAATGTTGACAAAGATTGTTGCTGATGATCTCCAAATAGGTAAGTAGTGGTATGGAAGAAGAAAGATGGGGAACTCAACCAAATGGGAATTTTCTTGTCCCTTTGAAAATTGCCTGTTATAAATTTCAGAGCTAAGATCATGCATTTCTAGATTTTCAATTCTTTTTTGTCTTAGCATTGATTTATTTTCCTTTATACTAACGGATTTAGACGTTCTTGTTGCAGTTCCTGAAAGTGAATGCATTGCTGCAACAGCTGGTGACAAAATCAAAGTACATTACGCAGGTTCTCTTGAGGATGGCACAGAATTTGATTCTTCCTACAACAGAGGTACACCAATATCTTTCCAATTAGGTGCAGGCCAAGTGATCGCAGGATGGGACCAAGGATTAGAGGGCTGTTGCATTGGAGAAAAAAGAAAATTGACCATCCCACCTAACTTAGCATACGGGGACAGAGGAATTGGTCCAATTCCTGGGGGAGCAACTCTTAGTAAGTATTGATAGGGAGACTATTTTCATTCTACATTCCTATTCTTTTCTTTTTTTATTTTTCTTTTTTTATTATGCGTTTATCACTTTTATTCTTAATACTAACAAAAATAGCTTTTATTGCTGAATTGGTTGATATCGAAGGCTCTAAATCCCCTAGGGATGAACTCTAGTGCGCAAGTACGTAGAAAGGATCTTATATGCATAATAAAATATACGATACGATTCATTGATTATCTACAGCATAGCTGAAAAATGTAGCATGACCTTCACTATTGGCGCATAAAATTGCTGCATAAAAGATAAGTGCACCCACTATCCAAATTATCAATTGAAAAATCCTTTTTCTTCAACTCCACCTCATACTATACCCCAGTCTGTGGTAAACAAGTAAAAATTTTTCTACCATGTCTAAGTTTAGACCCAGATTTCTAGCTAAGGCATTGAACGAATTTATTGCATCGAGCAATGATTTCAAGATCTTGTATTCACCTTCTACAGCTCCACAGGTTCAACATGTGGATAGAATCTGCATACTTGATTCCTCATTCAACCCACCCCACCTTGGCCACTTGTCTTTGGCCCTTGAGTCGTTGAAACAGTCATACTCTACAGAAAATGAACAGAAAATATTGTATTTGATACTATCGGTCAAAAATGCTGACAAGCTAGTGCCTCAACCGGCATCCTTTGCTGAGAGAATTGATATGATGTGCCTAATGGCTGACAGCATCAGTCGAAATTACGGGTTTAAAGTAGAAGTGGGGTTAACTAAACATGCAAAATTCGTTGATAAATCTATGTCTATTCTCAACTACATCAAATCTAGTCAACAAGAATCGACACCTCCCAAGATAACCTTTTCAGTGGGGTTTGATACGATCATTAGACTCTTTAACCCAAAGTATTATATACCAGATAAGCTTCTGATTGCGTTGGATGAATTTATGAAAACCACTGATATTTTCTGCTTAACTAGAGGGAACGAGGACACTACATATCAGGAACAAATCAAGTACATTGCTGATATTAAACATGGTAAAGATGGAGATATTCCCCATCATTGGTCAACCAATATATTCTTGCAGAAAAAATTGGATGAGGAAACTACTGATATATCATCTTCAGCAATAAGAAAGCAAATTGAAACAGGTAGCGAAAAAGATGGCAAATGGAGTGATAGCGTACTTCCTGAAATTAAAGAGTATATTCTTGAGTTCAAGCCGTACCAACTGCCCAAGCCCAACTAATTTAGTTTAAGCACGAGGTAATAGGAACTAAGGGCAATGGAAAGTAGTACAAATGAAATTGCTTTTTTAACAGCCTCCGAACGATATTTAAATCCAGGTGCTGGTTCGGCGAATGCACCATCGTGATTGATACCGTCCATATTTCTATTGTCATCGCCAGTGCCATTGGAACTGGTATTAATAGTACCCTTGGCATTGGTGCATTCGATCTTTCCTCCTCTTATAATTGAACCGACTTCACTTTTTGTCCATTTGGTGCAGTCAAATATGGACGAAAACGCTGTAATCTTTGCGCTTCCCTTAACTAACTTCAATTGCTTTAGTTGAATATCTTTGATATTCCCAACGATTTCCATTGCCTCACCAATAATGGATAACTTTGGTAAGAAGTTGATTTTTTCAATAGCCGTATTGTTTACCACCACTAAACCTCCACCAATTTCATCTGTCATAGGGAATTCTACTTGATTTAATACTTGATTTCTCGAAATACTTAAGGTTCCACCAATTGCTTTCAATTTAGGTATTTTCAATTGCTTGAAGTAATTGTTGATAAAACTTGCAGAATTTTCAACATTTTCTAAACTACTCAAGTCAATGTTAGAAGTTTCTTGAATAGTTAAGTTCTTTGCAAATTTCAAATGTGAAAGATTAACATGGACATTCTCAGCATTCGCTGCTATATGGAGCTTTTCAGTAACTCTCTCAACGTTTGATGTAATACTTTCTAGAAATCTGTTATTATTCAAATCCAAAGTGTGCAAGTTATTTGTCATAAATCCAGAGAATGCTGTTAGAGAAGTATCAGTGACTGTAATACTTTCGACATCTTTGATTTCACTATTGAAATGGACGGTACTAAGAATTGGCAATACTTTCCAATCTAAGACTTTAACCGATTTCAACTCTGGGAAGGAGATTAGCGCCAAAGATGTTAATTCTCTTATTGAAAATGTTTCTCCAATAGAAGTCAACTTTGGCCCTTCTAATCTAACTAGGTGCGGGGCATTTCTAATAGTCAAGCTACCACTAATTTCTTGAAGATTTGAGCTTAACTGAATGATAGGTTCTTTGAAATTTGAAATTAAGACATCACCTTTGAGGGTTTGACAATCTTCTAAGTATTTCAAGTCATTACTATTGCTGATTGTATGTGTCTCTCTATAGCACTTGTCTTCATACGATGATATAGTATTGGTTGTATTTGAAATGGCTGATAATTTTTTCGTTAATATACAAAAATAGTAAAAATATATTATTATCTTTGAACGTACCCTGAAGTAAGAAAGTGTTAGATGTAGCTGTTGCATTCGCCAAAGATAGGCAGGTAGCAATCGGTAGTAAGAATCCGATTTTCATTAATTATAAAATTATCTACTAGTTCTTTCGATAGATTTACATGTGGAACTACATATATGGTACATGGTGTTTTATGTTTTGCACCCAAACCACAATCAAAATACAAAATGCAGCAATCCACACAAACAAAATTTTGACTTGACGTAATAAAAAACATAAACGCCAAAAGTTCACACTCAATTTACTTCTATCTACATTGTACCATATGATACATATGATTCTTTTAATCTGATATCTCTAACTTGATCATAATAAATTTAATATAAATATTTACTTTTATAGTACTTTTAACTATTAGAACATTTTACATAGTCGTATGATAGGAAGGATGAAACATCACACCAATTTTCATGACGACATGTATCTGATACCTTAGTTCCATTTGCGCAATCTGGAACGTAAGGAGAAATTCTGTATTGTAGGTTAGAATACAACTGATTGAACTCGATGTCAGTTTGATTCTTTAATTTACTAGCAACATAAGTGTGCCAAAAGGTAGCATTAAGAGGTGCATCTGTTGGCCATGTACCTTCTGTATCGTACGTATCTCTTGCTGAATACTCAAAATTCCAAACTGGTTCTGCTCCACCGTTTGTAAAAGTTTCATTCAATTTGGTGTAGTAATTATATGAATTGATAATGTTGAAAGATTTATCTTCAACCTCATAATATCTCCATGATGGATTATTTTCAACATCTGGAGTAACAGATTGCGAAACCCATGCCATTTGAATAGCACTAGACACATCAGTACTATTTGAAGAGTATAAAATCTTAAACTGATCTCTGTGAGTGTGTCCGTAAAAGATGTTTGCAATGGTGTAAGGACTAAATCTTTCAACAATTTTTTGGAAAATAGCAGATTGAATTGGCAAAGCGTCATAATCAGAGGATGGGATATGTGACATTATCCAGACTCTTTGTCCCTTGCTTTCACTTTCAGTTAATTCATCAATTAAGAATTGCCATTGACCGAAAATGTCATAGTTTGAGGTTAAATTCACATAAGCCCAAAGATTTTTCTGGTAATAACAATTAGAGTTCAATGCAATGACTTTCAAACCTCTTGAAGTTACTGTGGAGAAACCAGAGTAGTGATTCTTGAGGAAGTCGGCCTTAGTCTCATTCAACCAACCATTATTGATCCATAACTTTGACATCAATTCGTCATTCCAATTGTAGGACTGGTTGTAATTCATTGAAGCTGGAGTTAATTGACCGTACGGAAATGTATCATGATTTCCTAACGTAGGGTAAACTGGGATTTGCTTAAGAAAATACTTCATGAGGTGGAATGATTTGATTTCGGCTGTTTTAGTAGTGTTTGCATCACAGTGAATTACATCATGATCTACTAAATCACCAGTGAAGATAGCAAACTCAAAGTTCTTGTCTTGTGTAATTGAGCCAATGTGTTTTAAGGTATTGTTTAATAAAACTTCTGGAGCATCACAATAGTAAGCTCCAAAAGTAGAAGCAGGCAAAGATTCAGCATTATAACCTCTACCCTTTGGAAGATCATAGTAGTCACCTTTAATGTACGTTCCATTATCAGCATAGTGGGCATCAGGATAAAACGAATATTCGAAATCTTTCTTAGTATTTCCTAAAATTGAATAACCTTCCGTAAAATTGTAATCATTGTAGTTCAAGTCAGAATTATAGGATTCTGGTAAACAACAAGGCGTCGAAGAGCAATTCGATTCAGTACCAACTGTGTATCTCAATTGGATATGGAAATCTGAAATGTGCAAAACATTAAATAACTCTCTTGTTCCGTTGTATACTGGAGCAGACAAAGCCTTTTCAGGTTTAGCTGGTAAATAAGACAGAAAGTTGTAAAGCTTCTCGAGGTCTGGAGTCTCAGGTAAAGTACATACACTGTTTTTGTAGTAACAGTAATAGGTCAAATCCAAATCTGAGGAAGTATTAAGAGCTTTAATCACACGTAAGAAGTCATTATCATAGAAATTGATACTAGTGACACCATTGACACCTCCGTCGTAGTAGTCCGACTTAACTGTTGAATCCGAAGAGGTAGTTGTGACGAAGAACTCGATGTTGTCACACTTTGATTCCTTATTCTTGTTCAGTACAAGACAATATTTGTAAAGCAAAAGAGATATCAAGTGGTCCTTTTCTGGGTATTGGTGTAGTAATGTTTGCGCATACTTGAGCTTATTTTTACATTTGGCACACAGATTTCCTGTAGCATTAGTCAAATTAGGCAAATGCCTATTTATCCAGTCAGTATCAGGCAAAGGGAGATTATTGTACACGGTATCAATAAGATTAGCATCTCTTTTAGCATTCTTTTGCTTATGGATAGAGTTAAACCCTGGAATCGTTGAACCAAACACTACAGTGCTGAACAAGAAGAAAGAGAATACAAATTGTACCTTCATGGCTGCAAAAAGAAACTAAATTAATTTCCCGAACCAGCAGTTATTGGAGTGTTGCGAAAAAGCCTCTTAGGTTGCAGCAATCACGTTTTGATTAATTCCGGGATGAGAGGGAACACTGAACACTAACGCCAACTTTGGCAGATGATATACAAGCAAGTGGACTTGCATATATATATATATATATTCCAACATAAATCAGAGTATCGGTCAGTGCACAAGAATGTAGTATCAGGGGGACAAACAAAAAGGCACATCGCACGTGGGTGCAAATTCATCTCCGGATGAGGGTACGTAGTCAAGCTTGACAAGAGCAAAGTTACCTTACAACTGGTCCGTCATAAGTTAGACTTTGTACTGCTATCTTTTAATTAATTGGCAACTATGCATCATTGGATTCCGAATCAAGGCACGAAATACCAATTTGGGAAGAGGTATAGGCCGAAGGAGGGAAACATGAAATTTTTTTGATTCGATGCGAGCCACGGAGCCACTTAAACAATGTAAACTATATTAGATGCATGGGCCCGAGATCATCAATAGGAGTGCTCAGATGAAGGAACTTTATAAAGATAGAAGGTCAACTTACCTCCAGCATAATTGAATGAATTAGCTGAAAGACATGTAATGAGTATACCGTGCAAAATATTTAAATAAAAGACATAGCGGTTGCAGGGCCCCGCAACCAATGACGAAAAGAATGAGGTCCAACATCGGTATAAAGTATTTAGCCTATTTAGCCTATCCAGCTTCTCAAACTCGAGTACCGCCATCAAGCCCCAAAATATCAAATGTGTTTCATATTCTGTAACAGAAAGAGTCCTTTCTTGTTACATTGAACATGAATCTTCAATATTTGAGTGAACACACTATACAATTTATCCTCATCATGGAGCATTCATCTCATCGCAGGCCATAGATCATCGCTCACTCTGCTGTGTTGGTGGCTGCGGGAAGCGCAAAAAATTGCGTTGACCATCCTTATTAGCTCAGTTGGTAGAGCGTTCGGCTTTTAAGGAAATTTTCTTCGACAATTCTAAAGAGTCGACCGAAATGTCCAGGGTTCGAGCCCCTGATGAGGAGTCTTACATCATTTTTTTACTTTTTCCATCTTCGGGGCAACTTCTGAACAATTGATATTAACAGCTTCTACATTCTTACTGATTTCTTGCCGCTCGCTTACTGTTCCTAGCCTCTGTTCTCTTTAGCTGCGAGAGATTCTTCCTTACAAAATCAGAGCTCGCTATCTCTTCTCATAAAATTCTGACACAAAATCACTCTCATCGCATCTCGAGATTTTTTCAGATGCAGCTGAAAAACATTAGTGGCTCTGTGGAGCAAACGATAGAGAAGAAGAGAAAGAATATTCCTATACCGCAATTAAGATAGCTCCCATCATACATTGATACTATTATGAAGGACAATATTTTAGTTAACTCTCATAAGGCGGAACATCTCTTGAAGGTATTCAAGAAGTTCCAAAATGGTGGAGACATTGCGTTGGAATTATTTCAAGATGTAGAACATGTTCAGCTTGTGTCCGATTCATTGTGTTTCACCAAGGGAAGAACTATTTCTGAGAATTTAGATACTATTTCAGCAGCAGCATTAAATCTGAAAGATACCCTTGCAGCCCTTTTGGCCTATAGAAACATTAACCTAGAGATTATATCTAGATGGATTACCCAGTTGGATCGTGGGGTTGGATCCATCAATACAGTGATGTGCGCACTAGCAAGAGCGTACGGCCCAATTCCAGAATCCTCTAGTTTAGTGGAATACTTCCTTTCTCAAAACGAGAATCACCTTACTCAGCAATTGGAAAATATTACCACTGAAAATACCAACCACACCTGCATTTTAAACTCCCAAAATCTTTTATTAGCATTCTTTAGACTCTTGTCTATTGACCGTCACAGATTCAACCGTTATGTCAACCCTGACGTATTATACAAAATTCTTGAACAATCCAGTAATGCAATCGTAAAGTACCTTTCCATAGAGATCCTTTGTATGTTCTTGGATGCGTCTGAATCCAGTCGTCAGCAGATGTTCAGTATCCATATCAAGACAAGTGAAGACGAAGAAGACGACATTTTGGAGGGGAACTATGACGAAAGTTCAATCATTAACTATAAATTTCTTGCATTAATTGAAGCAAAAAGATTATCAAATTTTGCCAAATTAGATTCAATTGCTGCCAACTTCCCATTTAAATCCAATTTCAACTTTGTAATCGAACCGTCAGACTTGAGTCCTTTGGTGGTTTCCATTTGTCGTATATTAGTTCCAAGGTTATTAGACAATTCTAATATTAAAGAGAATAACGAGAATGATAATATTAATAGCACCAACAATAGCAACCAATCGCCTGATTTTGTTCCTACCGACAATGCGGTTGGTGTGCTTGGCCAACTTGCATCAAATATACAAAAGAACCAACCAACTATGCTTTATGGTAAAGCAGGTGCAGGAAAGACTTTCCTAATCAATGAATTGGCTAAAAGAATGTCTTATGAACGTTCTATAGTGAAAATCCATTTAGGTGAACAGACAGATGCAAAGTTATTGTTAGGAACTTATGCTTCTGGTGAAAAACCTGGTACCTTTCAATGGAGGTCTGGTGTGTTGACGACAGCTGTTCAACAAGGTCGTTGGGTTATTATTGAAGATATTGATCAGGCTCCTACAGAAGTTTTATCTGTATTATTAACTTTGTTGGAAAAAAGAGAATTGACTATTCCCTCAAGAGGAGAAGTGATCAAAGCAAAGAATGGATTTCAATTGATATCAACTATAAGATCCGACGAAAATCGTTTACCTGATTTGATTGGACTTCGTTTGTGGTCTTTAGTCAATGTCTCAAGTCCCTCAGAATTGGATTTGAAGAACATTTTACTCAGTAGATTCCCAATCCTTGGTAGACTTTTACCAAAAATCATTGGATGCTTCAACGAAGTGGTCAAGATTTACAATACATCTGCATTTATAACTTTGAATAAAGGTTCTCACCCAAGAGTCATTTCATTCAGAGACTTGATGAAATTGTGTTCTAGATGCAACTCCATGCTTGAAAATGAAGGTATAACATCTACAGATGGTTTATTATCCCAGCATATATATGATCAATTATTCGCTGAAACCGTGGATTGCTTTGGTTCTGCGATAACAGAGCACTCTGCATTGGCGCCCTTAGTAAATGCCATTGGTGAAAAATTAGAAATCCCTTCTTCAAGAATCAATTTATACATGACAAAGCATGTACCTCAATTTATTAACAACGACTCTTTACTTAAAGTAGGAAGAGCCACTTTGAGAAAATCCTCAAGTGATAAAATATTATTGGGAAAGTCATCCTCATCATCCACTTTTGCTCGTACAAATCATTCACTTAGGTTGATGGAACAAATAGGAGTTTCAATCCACATGGTTGAGCCTGTACTCTTAGTTGGTGAGACCGGTACTGGTAAAACAACAGTAGTGCAACAAGTTGCAAAAATGATGAACAAAAAGTTGACTGTTATTAATGTATCGCAACAAACCGAATCTGGAGATTTATTAGGTGGGTATAAACCTGTGAATACGAAGACCATTGCTGTTCCTTTGCAAGAGATTTTTGAGAACTTGTTCATCGCAAGCTTTTCAAAGAAAAAGAATGAAAAGTTTTCACAAATTTTAAGCAAATGCTTCAATAAGAGTCAATGGAAAAATGTAATAAAGCTTTGGTTGGAGGCAATTAGAATGGCAAAGGGAGTTTTGACAGTTGATGAAGGAGATAAAGAGAAAACTGAAAACAAGCAAGAACAATCTCAGAAAAAGCGTAAGTTACAACCTTTTGAGAAAACAGTTTTACTTGAAAAGTGGGTAGAATTTGAAAACAGAGTGAAAGATTTTGAGATTCAATCTACAACGTTGGATTCTTCGTCTTTTGTTTTCAGTTTTGTTGAAGGTTCCCTTGTGAAAGCAGTGCGTAATGGTGAATGGCTCTTACTTGACGAAATCAATTTAGCATCTTCAGATACTTTGGAGAGTATTGCTGACTTACTCGCCGAATCTATTGGCCAGAGATCTGTACTTTTGACGGAACGTGGAGATGTTGAGTCAATAGTAGCACATCCTGATTTTAGAATTTTTGGTTGTATGAATCCTTCCACTGACGTAGGAAAGAGGGACTTACCATTAAGTATCAGGTCAAGATTCAGTGAAGTTTACGTACACTCTCCTGATAAAGATATTCAAGATTTGTTATCAATTATTGATCAATACATAGGGAGGTTCACCGTTGCTGATGAATGGGTAGGTAATGACATTGCAGAATTATACTTGTCAGCAAAGAAGCTATCCGAAGAAAATAAAATCGTTGATGGAGCAAATCAGAGACCTCATTTTAGTATCAGAACTTTGACAAGAACCTTGATTTATGTCTGCGATATTGTAGGCATATATGGATTAAGAAGATCCCTATATGAAGCATTCTGCATGTCATACTTAACTTTACTAGATGCCAAATCTGAAGCCATTTTGCACGAACAAATTTTTAAGTACATGCTTGGAAGATTGAAGAATGTCAAATCAGTTCTAAATCAATCTCCACCTTCGCCTGGTCCAAGCTTCGTCCAATTTAAACACTACTGGATGAAGAGAGGGCCTGGAGAAATAATTCCACAACCTCATTATATTATAACTCCATTCGTCGAGAAAAATATGCTTAACTTAGTGCGTGCTACCGCTGGTCGTAGATTTCCTGTGCTAGTCCAAGGTCCTACTTCGGCTGGTAAGACTTCAATGATCCAATACTTGGCTAATATAACTGGCCACAAGTTTGTGAGAATAAATAACCACGAGCACACAGACTTGCAAGAATATTTAGGTACGTACATGTCTGATTCAAGTGGAAAACTAGTCTTCAAAGAGGGTATACTCGTAGAAGCATTGAGACAGGGCCATTGGATCGTTCTAGATGAATTAAATCTTGCCCCTACGGATGTTCTAGAAGCATTGAATCGATTACTAGATGACAATAGAGAGCTTTTTATCCCTGAGACCCAAGAAATTATAAGGCCACATCCTGATTTTATGTTATTCGCGACCCAGAACCCTCCAGGCTTATATGGTGGACGTAAAATGCTATCAAGGGCTTTTCGTAATAGATTCTTGGAGTTGCATTTCGATGATATTCCACAAGATGAACTAGAAATTATTTTGAGAGAAAGATGCCAAATTGCGCCATCATACGGTAAAAAAATCGTTGAAGTTTATAGACAATTATCGATCCAACGTCAATCGACGAGACTTTTTGAACAAAAGAACTCATTTGCTACCTTAAGAGATTTATTTAGGTGGGCAATGAGAGAAGCTGTTGGATACGAAGAATTGGCTGCAAATGGTTTCATGCTATTAGCCGAAAGAGTTCGTAAATTTGAAGAGAAAGAAGTTGTCAAAAGGACTATTGAGAAAGTAATGAAAGTGAAGCTAGATATGGATAGCTTCTACGAGAAACTTGAAATTGAAGCTGCATTGCCTGAAATAATAGAAAAGAACAAGAACGATGCAAATTCTATAGTTTGGACAAAGGCAATGAGAAGATTAGCAGTTTTAGTTTTCACTTCTATGAAATACAAAGAACCTTTGTTATTAGTTGGTGAAACAGGATGTGGTAAGACTACTGTTTGCCAAATAATTGCCGAGTTTCTTGGTAGAAACCTTGTAACAGTGAATGCTCATCAAAACACTGAGACTGGGGATATTTTGGGTGCACAAAGACCAGTCCGTCATAGATTTGAAACTCAAAGCTTGTTATGGAATAACTTGATGTCATTAATGAAAAAAATGGAAGTGGAAGTCAGCTTGGAAGACTCAAAATTAGATGACTTGTTAAAGATTTACGACTCTTTGAAAGGTAGAATCCAAGAAGAACAGAAGGAGAACGCAACACTTTTTGACCAATTAATTTACGATATTGAAGAAGGAAGAAGAAACTCTTCTATTTTATTTGACTGGAATGATGGACCTTTGGTCAAAGCAATGAAAAATGGTGATTTTTTCCTTCTTGATGAAATTTCTTTAGCTGATGATTCTGTTTTAGAGCGCTTGAATTCTGTCTTAGAACCAGAAAGATCTTTATTACTTGCTGAAAAAGGAAACGAGGATTCTTTTGTTACTGCTTCAGAAAGTTTTGAATTTTTGGCCACGATGAATCCTGGAGGAGATTATGGTAAGAAAGAACTTTCGCCAGCATTGAGAAACAGATTTACTGAAATTTGGGTCCCATCAATGGAAAACTTCGATGATGTCGAGCAAATTGTTTCATCTAAATTGAACGTAAAGGTATCAAGCCAATTGACCTTAGCCTTGGTTGAATTTTCTAAATGGTATGGCCAAAGGTATGGATCAGGCAACGCATCAAGTGGGGTGATTTCGTTGAGAGACATTTTGTCTTGGGTTCAATTCATCAATTCAGTAGTCGAGAAGAATCCAGAAATTGACTCACACTTCGCATTATTACATGGAGCTGCCATGGTATTCATTGATGCTCTTGGTACGAACAATACTGCATACCTAGCAGAGAATGAGCAACGTCTTTTAGATGAAAAGTTGGAGTCAGTTAGTAAATTATCTGAACTTGCTGGTAGAGACGTGAACCTTTTCTATGTTGCTGATTTTAAAATTGATATAAGAGATGATATACTTTCTTCAGGCGAATTCAGCATTCCAAGAAAGGTAAGAAAAAATTCCACTGGAGAACTCCAGTTCAACTTGGAAGCGCCTACTACTGCACTAAATGCAATGAGGGTCGTTAGAGCAATGCAAGTGAGGAAGCCGATTTTATTAGAAGGAAGTCCTGGTGTTGGAAAAACAAGTTTAGTATCAGCAATTGCGAAAGCGACAGGCAATAACCTTGTTAGAATAAATTTGTCGGAGCAGACAGACTTAGTTGACCTTTTCGGAAGCGATGCCCCTGCAGAAGGTGGGAAAACTGGTGAGTTTGTTTGGAGAGATGCTCCTTTCCTTAGAGCAATGCAAAGAGGTGAATGGGTATTATTAGACGAGATGAATTTGGCATCACAGTCTGTTCTTGAAGGTTTAAATGCATGTTTAGATCATAGAGGGAGTGCCTACATTCCAGAATTGGATAAAACATTCGAAAGACACCCAGATTTTGTTGTATTCGCTGCTCAAAACCCACAATATCAAGGTGGTGGAAGAAAAGGTTTACCTAAATCTTTTGTCAATCGTTTCTCTGTTGTTTACGTGGATATGTTGAAAGAACAGGATTTAAATATGATTTCTCAACATTTGTTTCCCTCTGTCGACAAGGCTTTGAGTGCCAAAATGATTAAGTACATTTCTCGTATTGAACATGAGGTATCGGTTAAAAAGTCATTTGGTCATAACGGAGGCCCCTGGGAATTCAATTTACGTGATACATTGAGATGGTTGGATTTATTCAGCACTAATGGTTTAGCCACAAACTTATCGCCTGCCAGTTTTTTTAATATGATTGTATGCCAACGTTTCAGATCAGGGGATGATCGTAAGAAGGCTCAGGATTTATACTTAGAAGTATTTGGAGAAGATAGCCTTGAATATCGTGATAATTATTACTCCATTGGAGAATCATATATTCAGGCCGGAGGGGCAATTATCTCAAGGAACGAACCAATTCAGCATACAATTGCAAGTCACAATGAGAATAATGCATCCAGAAAAACATTGCAGTGTAACTTTTCATTATTAGAAACAGCAATTAGATGTATTAATTTGAAATTACCGCTTATTCTTACGGGACCCACAAATTCAGGCAAGACTGAACTTATTCGTTATCTCGCTGAGGTAGTGGGTGCGAAGGTTGATGAATTTGCAATGAACAGTGATGTGGATAGTATGGATATTTTGGGTGGATATGAGCAAGTAGATGTAAGAAGAGGAATTACTAAGGTTGCACTGGATGTGAAGTCCATTTTAGTTGAGCTAGTTCTCCTTAACCTTAAGATTGAAAGCACTGACCCTATGGTATTAAGACTGACTTTGAAATTTATTAAGTTCATCGAGAGAGGGGTTGCCCAAAATACTCATGATTTTGCTAAGCTTCTTCATATTCAGTTAGAAAAATTCTTGAGCATATATAAAAATCAAGATTTAGAAAATTTATTTGAAGAGTCGAAAACTCTCCAAAAGAAATTAAAAGATCTGAAAAATGATGGCGTCACTTTCGAATGGTTTGATGGTCTCTTAGTTCAAGCAGTCGAAAAGGGACATTGGCTCATATTAGACAATGCCAATTTGTGTAGCCCATCCGTACTTGATCGTTTGAATTCACTTTTAGAAGTTAATGGGACCTTGATTATCAACGAGTGTAGCGAGGCGGATGGTCGACCAAGGACTGTTCAGCCACACCCTAGTTTCCGTCTCTTCTTGACCGTTGACCCCAAATACGGTGAATTATCAAGAGCAATGAGAAACAGAGGTATTGAAGTTTACCTTCAGCCACTTGAAGATAGAATGACGACTTTTGATATGAGACAGCTTCCAAACATTCAGCAGGAGAACAACATCTCAGAATTGGGACTTCCAGTTTCTGGATACTTATCTGCCCAGCGTTCAATTGAGCGTACATCTGCTTTGATTGATGATTTTATTGATTTGTCAACCTTAAACTGTGAAGATTTAGTCAATACTTTAGTAGGAACAATTCCAGTGAATGACTTTGAATTGCTTAAGCTGTGGCTGAGAATGGCACTAAGATCTGCAGAATTTTCAAATACTAGTAAAAACCTTGTTGAACTCTTAGTTAATAAGTTTGGTGAAACCCTCCTTAATAGCAGTACTAAAAGCAAACTTCTAGAAGTTTACGAACCAGCAAAGTTGGATATGGCAGATGGAATTATACGTTCCAAGGATGCTTATATCATTAATCAACGTATTCAAACGCTTTTCAACACTTATCTTACTAGCTTACCTTCGTCTATTACGGGTAATGCTGAGCCTGCATTTTTCCTTGAGGCAATCGGTGGTCTAAGCGATATCTCAAATCTTGTTACTAAATTAGAAGAGAATGCGTTAGGTAAAAGGCTCGGAGATTTGACTTACATTGAGAGGTCTGCAGCATTCCAGCTTGGACGTAACATTAAAAAAGTACCACGTTTAAATATCTACAACTTTATTGTCCAAGTCAGAGATTACATTGCCAATATATTGAAGGAAAGACTCACAAGAGTCAACTTTCCAATATTCCAGGATAATGATAAAAGTTCATATTACGAAAGCATAGTAAAACTTCAACTCACATTGAAATGTCTCTTCGAATCAAGTAGCCAACAAGACGAATCGAAGCTTCGTGTTTACCAAGATTTAGTAAGACAGTGGTGCGAAGAGTCAGTTCATGTTGACAATCGAGTAATTCTTCAAAAAATTGTTGATTCTTTTGGAAATGAATTATCACTTTCATCAGGATTTTCTATGGCAGTTCTTTGGGAAAACTTACGTCGTAGTTATCCTTCTACTTCAATTGCTTGGAAACAAACCGGTGAGCTTTTCAGGGTTGCCACATTATTCGACGAAGTTTCAAGTGAGCAATTCAAAGATGCAAATGAAGCTGTAGCTGCCTTGAAGAATGTAATTGTTAGCATTTACTCAGATCTCCTGGGAAATGACAGTGTGAAATCAACGATAAATCCAGAAACATTCCGAAAGTTTTGCGCGGACCTTGAAGATGGTATTTATAAATTGAAAGATGTTTCAAATGAGTTTATTATAAAGAGAAATAATATTTTCCAAAATGAATTTAGATTGCTTGCAAATATAGTACAATCTCTGGATATTAATGATGAGAAATACACATCGGTTCTTCAAAATTTGAAGCAACTAGGTGGCCATTCGACTGTTACTGACTGTCTTACGCATCGTGATACTACTTTGTTTTCTCCATACCCAAGGATATTTAATAACTTATGGTCGATTAGTAATGGCAGTTACTCTTCTCATGTTCATGGTGTATTTTCCAATGAAATATTGACAAGTACTATATTAAAAAGTCAGAAATTAAGCAGTGGCCCTGGTAAGTATTTGGAACAAAACCTTGATGATTTAACCACTATTGCCGGTGAGATCATCAAGTCCTCTCAGCCAATTTTGGACGATAGAGTTAACTTATTCAGCCAGTTGCTCAGTAAGTGGGTATTTGAAATTGTTAACATCCACCTTAATGAACCAGTCATACTTTGTGAAGAAGGATTCTTCAATATTGAGACTTTAAGATTTGTAATCGGACATATTAGATCAACTGTTTCTGATGATAAGTTTTTATCAATCTTGGACAAGTTCTTCTTCCCTGCATTATTTTTAATTGCTAATGCGACTGAGACCAATATTGGATTACTTGGGAGAGCTTGGGTCTTATTTTCATGTGGTGCTGTACAATTGTATGTACCAACAACCTCGTATGATCCAGCCATTACCGATTATATCGTTTATGAACGTTTTAAACGTCACCAGGATGAGTCCTCTAAACTCATTGACTCTTGGAAAATTATTAGATCAGTTATATCTGGTGATGAGCACATTCAAGCAGAGAAATATTTGAATTCTGCGACATCCAAGTCAATTGCGTCAATGAAGACCGAAAAACCTAGAGTTTACCGTCCAGAAACATCAATTGATAATCTCTTTGACGAATGGTCTGCATTTTTAACTTCAACTATAGACATAAGTCCTGTAGAGCAATTACTTGAAGCTGCTGAGAACATGGAGCATCTTGAGAAAGGAGAAAGATTGATCAATATGTTTCAAAACAACTCTTCTCAATTTTTGCTCCGTTTGGAACAAAGCTACTTTGTATATTCAGATTTGAATGATATTTTGAAGGGATTTGTTTACGGTATGAAGCTCGGTTTTGATTTAATTTCGAATGCGAATTCGAGACAAAATTCAAAATATGCTGAAGTATCGAGGACTTGGTCAGTTGATGTTGTAAACGTCACCAGTAGTTTTAAACTTGTTGATAATTTTAAAGCTATCAAAGAATTTTCGAAATCGTTCGGCATAGATTCAACTATTCCAGAAAAGGTTATGATGTTCTTCATCAGACTTTGCTTTGCCCATATGAGAAGTGAATCCAAGGAAGAGGCGTCTGACATACAGTCAGTGTTGCAGCAATCCTTGCAAACTCTCTATTATAGATGGTCATTACGTAGAATGAAGAAAGAAGAAGATGAGTCAGCACAAGGGAATCTTTACAAGTACTCAGATCCAACGGGAGATTTGGAAGGTGATTTTAGAGAGCTTTTCCCAGATTTTGAAGAAGTATTAGATTCTGATGCTACCTCTAATGTAGATTCAATTAAAACACCGGACGTTGTATTTGAAGAATTATATTCAAAAATTGGTCTGATTTATCAATCTTCGTTTTCATCTTCAGAAGGAAACAAAGATTTTGCTCTTGAAGACATTATTGAAGAAGGTGATAAACTTCACACCTTGTTGTACAACTACACCACCGAATTTGCTCAAGAAAGTACCTCTGGTACATTATCATCACTTCTATCGAGAATTTCAATTACATTGAATTCTTTCGGTGCTTCGCTGAGTGAAAGCGACTTAGATTTCTATAGAGGAAACTCTCAATCTGAATCTAAGAAATCTATATCAATAATTAAATTGTTGCAAGTGTCTTCACTCAAATTACTCTCTCAATGGCCTGAACATGCAACATTGCAAAACATTTCAAGAATTTGTGACGAATACTTATCATTCCCAATTGATACTCCGATTGCTCGCTCGCTCCAAAAGATCGAGCAGGTTTATACCTACATTGCTGAGTGGGAAAAATATGCTAGTAGTCAGGTAACACTCAAAAATCATTTTGACAACTTGACCCAGTTAATTGTCTCATGGAGAAAACTTGAACTTTCGACCTGGAAGTCGCTCTTCATCCACGAAGACACAATTGTCAAGCAAAGCTTAGGTCGCTGGTGGTTCTATCTTTTCGAAACCATCGTAATTCCTCAATTAGCTGACGGAAGTGACGAAGACTTAGTTGCTGAGAATTCAGAGATAAGACTTATTTCTGCGTTGAACGTTTTCATAAGTCAAGCAACGTACGGTGAATACCAGCATCGCTTAAATTTGTTAATTGCGTTCAGAAATCATGTCTCTACTATCACCGATGGCTCTGCAAGAGTTCATGGTGCTCTTTCTAACTTTATTACGTTTTACGAACAATTCATCCCGATTATTCATGAAAATATTGCTAAACAAAAGAAGGTTTTGGAAAAGGATGTCTCTGAAGTTATTTTATTAGCAAGCTGGAAGGACGTAAATATAGACGCATTGAAGCAAAGTGCTCGCCGCTCTCATAACAATCTTTATAAAATTGTTAGAAAATATCGTGCTCTATTAGCTACTCCAGTTAGCTCAATAATTGAACAAGGGCTTACTAACGAATTCAAGTCTATTCCAAAAATTAAAGATATTGATGGTTTACCACTTGCTAAATCTCACAATGCTAAAACGGATGAATTAGTCACTGAAGTTAAGACATGGGGTGAAAGACCCACGAGACTTCAAAATATCCAAACTGTTGCTAAAAACATGCAAGTGTATAATGGTCTCATTCGCCTGGATGAGATTCCTTCCATCAATGATTATGCCAAAGATTTAGTATTGGATATGGAGAGACTTAGAAATGAAACACCGAAGGAATTGAAAAAGGACAATAAAAAGTTAATTGCAACATTGTTGACGCAGAAGAGAAAATTGTTAAGTGATACTCTCAAAGAACTTCGCAGAATCGGATTGAAAACAAGTCTTCGTACTGATATTCATGAAATGCAAGAGACTGTGACTAAGATGCTTTGTAATAGCAAATCATTTGAACAATCACATTTCTTGAAGGGTTCAGATGTTTTCTACTTCCGCATACTTGATATAATGCCAAGGCTCAGAGCTTCAGTGAGTGGTGGTTTAGCAGAGGGTGTACCACAATCAGATGCTGATAAAGGGTTAGCTGCTTCAGAGAACTTAGTATTCTCATTGGCTACTACTCGCAAGCCTTTAGTCCAATTTGCTGATTCGGTCCTCAATTTAGAAGAGTTATATTCTTCTATGATTAAGATTTCTAATTCCGTTTTGTCAGATGGAGGTACATTGGTAAGAGGAAGCATGATCAATTCAATCTCGTTGAATATGAATAAAATAAAGCTGTGTATTCATTGGTTGAGAACTTTAATTGATTTTGCAATAGAGAACATAAAGTCAGCAGCTAAGCTCAATTCTCTTGTCATTGACGAAGAAGTGTTCTATTCTGCTAAAATTAAAATCAATGACTTCTCTTCCAAGATTGCTGACTGCAATAATAGTACATTTGGAGCAACAGATGAATCTGAGATGGCCATTATTCAAGATTTCAGAGAATTTTTCTATTTACACTTTCCTTCTGCGTTACAAAATTGGAAATCAGCCCCAAATCACGAAACTTTGTCATACATTGCTGACACAATTTTAGAATGGACAAAGTCTCAGAAGTATAGTATATATGCCAGTAGTGAAACTTCAAATTCCGATCCAGATTCCATAAAATCTGTGGAAGACGTTGAACTGTCATTAAGAGATTTGTCTACCTCAATAATATTGTGTGTTCAAAAGGTTGTCGAACAAAAGGGAGAAACTATTTCGGAATCGGATGACAATTGGTTAGTATTATCGCAACAGAAAATGATTGCTTACATTAAGGCTTTACACCATCGTAAAATTACTTCCAAATTGAATGAAATCTTGAATATTGTCTCGAGTGTGGAACACAATGAAAAATCTTCCAAGATATCTGCTGCACTTGTAGCATTTTCAATGCCTTTAGTTCTGAATTACATTGAACTTACCAAAATTATCCTAGGAAAGGCAAGGAATAATTATATTGAACTTTCCAAGGGTACATTTGTATTGAGTTCTTCCCTTTATGTATTAGCAACTAAGGGATTCTGCTCACCCGAACCTCCTTCGGAACAAAAAGAGGACAATAATTTGCATGAAGGTACCGGATTAGGAGATGGAGAGGGAGCAACAAATAATTCAAAGGATGTCGAAGAAGATGAGGATTTAACAGAAGATGCTCAACAACCAAATGAAGAAAACAAGGAGAAGGACGATGGAGAAGAAGAAGAAAATGATGATGCTGTTGACATCGAGGGAGATATGGCCGGTGAACTTGAAGATGCGTCTGATCAAGATAAGGATGAAGATGAGGGTGAAGGAGATGAAGAAGAATTAGATGAAGAAATCGATGATATCGATGATCTTGATCCAAATGCAATTGATGACAAGATGTGGGATGAAGAAGCTCAGGAGAATAGTAAGGAGAAGGACTCAGAAAAAATGCCAGACAACTCCAAAAAGGATGATGATAATATGGAGGCGAATGAAGATGACAAAGATGATTCCAAACAGAACCCGCAAGAAAAGCAGCCAGAGGATAGTCAAAACCAAGATGATAATCCAGAAGAAGAACAGGATGATGGCGAAGATGGGGACGATGAAAAGGATGTTGGCGAGCAAGAAGATGATGTAAAGAATGAGGAAAATGAGCAATTAGAAAACAATGTTCCAGAGACTGAAACTTTAGACCTTCCAGAAGATATGAATTTAGATTCAGGTGAAGAACAAAGTGGAGACGAGAATGAAGAAGATGACGAATTTGACGATAAAATGGATGATAAAATGGACATCGATGAGAACGGAGCAGAAGGGGATGATAATAAGAAAGAAGAAGAAGAGGAGGAGGAGGAGGTGGACGAAAATCTTGACCCTGAACTTGATAATTCAAATATTGCTGAAGAAGAAGGAGAAGAAGATTTAGAAGATGATAAAGATAATAATGAAAATAATGAGAATGATTTGAATGAAGAAGAAGGCTTGTCAGATGAAGAAACTCTTGGTGATAAACAAGAGGACGTAGAAGAAGATAAAGAAGAAGGTGGAAATGACAACGATGCTGCTGATGACCAAGATAGAGCAGAAGGTGTCGATGGAGCAAATGAAGATGCTGCAGATGAAGATATGGATGCTGAGACTGCAGTTAAACAAGAATCCGGTCAACAAGGAGATGGAGCGGACAATAAAGTTACTGAAGATAACAAAGATCTTGGGTCAACAGGTGGTGCATCTTCAAATCTTCAACAGGACATGGATAAAAATGAAGACCAAGATGAAAATGAAGAAGCCAGAGACATGGCTCGTGAATCCATAAAACAATTAGGGGATTCATTGAAAGAATTTCACCGTCGTAGACAAGAAATTCAAGAAAGCTCAACAAGAGAAGAAGAAGACAAAGATGATAAAAAGGGTGCCAATGAGAGACCCGATGAATTTGAGCATATAGAAGGTGAAAACGCTGATTTTGACACCCAAGCACTTGGGGCTGCCGATAAAGAACAAGTTCAAAGTATTGATGAAGAAAAAGCAATAGATGATGATCTTGAAAATCAAGAGATCAAAAAAGAATTGGAAGATGACACCATTAAAAAAGAATTGGAGGAGGATCTGGCACAAATGGAAGTCGACAATGAAGATGATGAGAAGCCTGAAAAAGCACAAGAGGATGGTGACTTTGATGGACAAGCAAAGGGGTCAACAGGAGATTTCAAGAAGAATAATAAGAATGAGGGTGAAGAAGACATTGACCTCCTTAATCTTGGAGATGCCATGGAAATAGATGATTCTGACGAAGAAAGAATTGGAGAATTGAACGACCAATATTTAGATCTCGATACTCCTCCAATTGACATTACAGAGGCCAGGGAATTGTGGAAACACAGCGAATTGGCTACCCAAGAGCTTGCTTCCGGATTATGTGAACAACTTAGACTCATTTTAGAACCAACTTTGGCTACAAAGCTTCGTGGTGATTATAAAACAGGTAAAAGATTGAACATGAAGAGAATTATCCCGTACATAGCTTCTGATTTCCGTAAAGATAAGATTTGGTTGAGAAGAACGAAACCTTCTAAACGTCAATACCAAATTATGATCGCAATTGATGATTCAAAATCGATGAGTGAAAGTAAATCAACAGAATTGGCGTTCCATAGTATTGCGTTGGTTGCTAAAGCTTTAACGCAACTTGAATCTGGTGGATTGTCTATTGTTAGATTTGGGGAAGATGTTAAAGTTGTCCATCCATTTGATAGACCATTTAATAATCAAGAAAGTGGTGCAAGAATTTTCCAATGGTTTGATTTCCAACAAACCCAAACAGACATTACACTGCTTTGCAAAAAGAGTTTAAGAATATTCGAAAATGCAAAGGCATCAACTTCTTCTGATTTATGGCAATTGCAAATTATTCTTTCAGATGGTGTTTGTGAAGATCATGAAACTGTACAAAGGCTCGTAAGAAAGGCCCGTGAACAAAAGATCATGCTAGTATTTGTTGTTATCGATGGAATTAATTCCAATGAATCCATTTTGGATATGAGTCAAGTCACATATGAGACAGATTCAGCCACAGGTGCTTCCAATTTGAAGGTTACCAAGTATTTGGATACATTCCCATTTGAATTTTATGTAATTGTTAGAAACATCAATGAACTTCCTGAAATGTTGTCATTGATTTTGAGACAGTACTTCTCGGAAATGGCATCTACTTAAAATGAAATTATAGATAAAATGGACATTATTATAGATGAAGATAAATAAAAAATAAAGATGTATTCAAATAAGAAGTCAGTCAAGAATGTACTTTGAAATTTTTGGTCCTTTAATATTGTATTATGCTCTATGTAAAAAATTAGTCTATAACATTACTCCACGTTGACCCAAATAGTCAACCAAATTCCAAAACAACCTAGTTCGCCCGTGTGTTTTTATTATTACCCTTAAAAAGGAGAGATTACTCATCCTCATTCATTAATTTTTCTTCTCGTTCAGGTTTAAACAAACCTTTGCAATGCACAATGACATGTCATCTAACTTCCCTCCAGCACTTCTACTTCCAAGATGAGCCTCATTTAACTTATCATTGTAAGGAGTACACGCATAGTCATCAAAAGCAACACCCTTCGCCTTCAGTATGAGAAGATTCGCAGTTTTCTTCAAGTTTCCACTTCCATGGAGTGATTCGTCAATATAATGCGCAATTTCCCATTCATATAAGTTATCAGAAATGCCATCAGAACACATCACAATTATATCGTTCTCTTCCAACTTGATAGAATCTACCGAGGCCATCTCCAGGGGCAACTGCAGAAGAGTCTGTGTGCCGATTTGCTGGGGGCAGAGAGTAGAAATCATCTGCTCTTCATTGGTTTTGATTATCTCACCATGTCTAATTAAGTAAACTTTAGAGTCTCCTATACTTATCATTTTCAAGTATTCACCTGAAAGCATTGCTAACACCAAAGTAGAGGATCCTCTCAATCCTTGTAAATCCATGAGATGCGAAGTGTGAAGAAAAGAATCGTCTAAGATTTGATCGATGTCTCTATTCTTTAAATGATGTGGAGTGTGAGTCAACTTGTATTCTGTCATTAATCTTGACAACGTTTCGACCATTGATCTAGACCAAATACCAGATGAACAATTTTCACCTTTTGACTCCCAACCTGAAATCCCATCAGCAATAGCCATAACTGTAGGAGAAACTAACATGGCATCATCTCCAGCCTTAATCGATAGAGTATCAATAGGAGATCCATGGGGTCTTCGACGAGGTAAAAGAGAATTCAACTGGGCAGGTTCTGTCAAATCTGACAACGAGTGAATAGTTGGATCACTTTTAAATGAGTGATGAGCAAATGACGCATAAGCATAGTCAAATTTGAATCTATCATGTGTAGTTATAGTAACTTGTTGATCCTTAGTAATGAGCGGGTATTGTATATAAGCCGGAGGCACATTGAGCAGATCAGTATTTGTTGTTTTGTTACCTAAGTTGAAGGAAAAATATGTTCTTGCGTTTGAAATCAACGAGCTGACATAAGTTCTTTGAGAACTTCTGCAACATCCTAGTTTGGGTATCACCACTCTAGTACTACTTAGCATGCTTAGATAGTATCTTGTTCTTTCCTAACAATAAAACAGGTTGCGCTTTTCTAAAGAAAGAATTACTAATGCAAAGTAGAAAAGAGTTTATTCAGAATAGAATTCAGAACAAACCAAAGGAAAAAAAAAATTGTACTTTTATTACAAAGCAAATCATGCCAAAATAGGTGGACCCTTTCGTGTATATATAATGACCAGTGTACTGGGCCAAATCCTCTAGTTAAAACCTTATGATGTCTCCCCTCATCACCTACGTGTGAAAACCGATGCATCCTGCAGATGAAGAAACGAAAACATTTAAAAAAAGAAAAAATGGTAACCAAAATCATGCAAAGAGGCAAAGCACTTAAAGGCGGGCTCTGAACTTAGATTTCTCCATATGAAAAACTAGAGGGGTACACCACTTCTAGCAATATAAGCGTGTAAGAAAAGTACGGTTTCGTAAAAGGATGCCCGACAACGATAAGCGAGCCATCTAAATGTATTCATATACTCTATCTCTCACTGGAGTTTACCAAGCGACTTACCCTCCTGTATGTTGCAGTGTTGCATTAGTTTCTTTGCATGCAAGTGGATTATTTTGCGAAGTATTTGCTGGTGCCGTTTCAAAGTCCGAGATTTTCCGTAGTAGCTTCGGACTTGGAGAGGAGAATGATTTCTTTTTTTTTTTTTTTTTTTTTTCTCTTTCCTTTTTTTTTTATAACGCTTCCGCCTCATAGCGATGCTAAAGGCGCGCACGAGTATTAAACCCAAACAGGCAATTAAAATTCATTTGGTTGCAATAATTTATTACATAGTTGGTTGCAATTTTCAATCTGTAAGGATTCTAATTTGGTATGTATACTTTATATCTACAAGTAATGTGAATGCAGCTTTCAAAATAAGTAAGATTTCTACTTTGGTCCATATTTTGACGTCTACTATCGATTTGGTTGCTGTTTTCAAATTAGTAACATTTCTATTTCTGTATATATTATATATTTCTATTCACAATCATTTAAGTTCGTTTTCCTTCTATTCTTTATCAGCTAACACTGCTGCATGGATGACTTTGTAAGGAGGAGTGAAGCCAGTCTGAATCTCAAATTGCCTTTCGCCTTGGTTCACAAGCATTTCAACACCTGGGATAACATTCCAGTTGAAGTGTTCTTCGGCAATCTTCATAATTGGAGTAACCCTAGGCTTGTAAGCAGCTTCAAGCAAGGTAGGCACGAAGCTAACATCTCCCTCTTTATAGTATTTACTTCCGTTATCTAATAAAGTTTCGACTTTACTCAATAACTCAGCATCTAAAGGTTTATCTGCTGGAACACAGGATACTGCAAGCGAGATTGGGCTAGCATTGGAAACATCCTCTATAGAACTCAAAACTTCAATGTTGAAATCCTTCGGTAAGGATCTTTGAACTTCCAATAATTTTGAGCTGGTACGATTTATCATATAAATCTTCTTACACCCAATTTTGTGCAAGGCATAAGCAGCTGCTCTAGAGGTACCACCAGCACCAATGACTAGACCATTGATTTCAGTCTTACTTACACTCTCTGGAACACCATGTCTTAAGAATGAATTGGTAATACCAAACCAATCGGTATTGTCACCGAAAATTTTACCTTCTTTGTTGAGAATGACGGTATTAACTGCACCAATAGTCTTGGCACTTTCAGATAAGACCTCAACGTACTTCATTATGTCAATTTTCAACGGAATTGTAACAGCCAATCCACCAAACTTCTTATTACCCTTAATCAATTTTTCGTAAACCTCATCAGCGCTTGAAGTTTCGAATTTCTTAAATGTATGTGGTAAACCAAGTTTAAGGTACCCAGCATAGTGCAATGCTGGCAGTCTTGAATGTCCAATTGGTTCACCGACAATGAAGAATTCCTTAGGTAATAATCCACCAACTTCTGCAAGTGCACGGTTAATTTGTTCCACTGTCAATTGACCAGGGGCAGCACTAGTAGGTAATAATGAATGAGTAACTGGAGTAAGAATGGTATTCAACACTCTTGATAACTTACCATGTTCACTCATGTTAATGGCGATCAATGGCTTTTCGACGTGTGATTCTCTGAAAACTTCTAATTTCAAATTATCTTCGAACCTAGAGGCCATTCCAACAAATTTAATAATATCTACATTCAACTCGAGAGCATGAGCATATTTGTTCTCCCATTCAACATTTTGCCACTTTAATTCACCGCTAAAGTCGTGGTGTGATCCAATAATTTTAGTGTACCCCTTATGTTCCAAAATTTTATCAATCAACTGATCTGGATAAGTCAATTGGACGTCCAAATATTCAATACCCAACTTAATAGCTAGGAAACTCAATCTTTCAATTGATTCCGTATCTTCATCATCAAATTTACCACCTTGTGTCTTTGTTCTGATAGTGTAAATAATTGGAATACTGACATGCTTTCTTAATAAAGCAATCTGCTCAGCAACGAAAGAATTTTCATAAGATTTGAGTAAGTCAATTCTCAATTCAACAGCTGCACATCCACTTGTTACATCTTCCAAAAGGCTCACATTTTCAGTCAAATCAGGATAAGTCAAACATACAAATGCGGATCTTTCAGTTGGAATCTTGGCAGTTTCAATACCTGTAATGTGCTTCAAGTATTTGATGAATGAACCACGCAACAACTTAAATTCAAGTTCGTTATTACAGTGAGCCGAGTAAAAGTGATGGTTCAGGACCTCACTGTACCAAGCTCTTCTTCTGTGCCAAACTTCCTTGATTTCATCAACATATGAGGGACGAGTAGCATCACTGTTTAAGAAGACAACAGTTTCGTCCAAGTCACGATGTAAATGTAACACAATCCCTCCTTCAGAAGCATAAGCCTTGAAGAGCTCTCTATTGGTAGCATCCTCGACGACACCACCACCCGTAGAGATAATATGATTTTTTCCATATTCAACTAATGCGTTTTGAGCAATTTGAGTTTCAAGCTTGCGGAATGCTTCCCAACCATTCAATTTAATGAAATCACGGATATCCATTCCACCGTATTCTTCTTTCTGGAATTCTATATCTAAATCTAATAATTTGTAACCTAAGAAGTGTGCCATCCACTTTGATAAAGTAGATTTACCAGCAGCTCTCATTCCAATCACAACAATAGATTTCTTTTCCTGAGGTTTAACGGTGTTTCTACCGGTAGATGTGTGTTCATAGCCATTCAAGGTAACATTGAACTTACTATGTAAAACATCCCACCATCCTGGCCATGTTTTACCAGTACAAGATCTTTCTAAGATCAAAACTGGTTCTTTACAAATTCCAGCAAGCAATGAAAATGACATGGCAACTCTATGATCATCATAAGTTTTGACACCTCCAGTGGATGCACCGGGAACTAAAAGATCATCAATATTCTTAATACCATTGATTTCAATACCATCTGGCAATTCGTCACAATGTACTCCGAATTTACTCAATTCATCAACCATAGCCTTAATTCTGTTACACTCTTTCACTCTTTGATTAGCAATTCCTGTAATTGAAGTTTTACCTTGTGCAATAGCAGCAACGACTGAAGCTGTTAAGAATGCATCAGTCATTGGTTCCATATCGACATGCAGTAATGCCTTCAATTGACCCTTTGGTGGACCAGTAACAGTGGTTGAGGTGGCCGTTTGTACAACTGTACACCCCATTGGTTTCAATACATCAACAGCAAATCTAGCATCACCTTGTAAAGAAGAAGATCCAATGTTTGGGACAGTACATGAAGTTCCTGTCATGGCAGCAAAAGCTAATGGGTATGTAGCAGATGATGCATCAGATTCAATGACATATTCTTCAGGGTTTGTATAGACACCTTGAGGAATGTGGTAAGTATATTCTTCAGTGGTTGATTTCGTTACGTCTATTCCAAAAGACTTCATCATAGCAATGGTCATATCTATATACAATTGAGATATTGGCTTACCACCTACCAATGACAAAGTAACTGGATTTTGTGCATATGGAGCACACATTAAAATGGATGAAACGTATTGGGAAGAAATAGTAGCACCTAATTCAATTCTACCACCTTTCAATCCTTTACCACACTCAATTTCTAATGGCAAAGACCCTTCATTATGTTTATATGTGATAGAAGAACCATTGGAACGTAATGCGTCGACTAATGGACCAATAGGTCTTTCTTGCATTCTAGCATTACCAGTCAAAATAACCCTTTCATTTTCACCACCAACACTAACTAATGCAGCAACAGTAGTTAAGAATCTCGAGGCCGTACCAGCATTACCTAAGTACAATTGTTCTTTACATGCTTCCATTTTACCACCATTTCCTGACAACACAATAGTTTCACCACTGTCTTCAGTACTGATCTTAGCACCTTTCAATAAGGAAACTGCAGTTAACATATGCTTTGTGTCATCGCTATGCAATAAATTCTTGATTCTGACAGTTCCCTTACCTAAAGCAGCTAAAATTAAGGCCCTATTGGAAATGGATTTGGAACCTGGAGGGATCACAATGTTTTCTTTTGGAATTTGAGCTTTATCAAATGGACTGACCAAAATTTCATCAGTTAAGATCACCGACAAGTCTTGCTTGGAAATTTGATGAGCCTTCAATTGATAACATCTTCCGATTGATTCCAACAAGACACATCTAATCTTACTACCATCATTCTTCTTATCAATAGACATTTTATCCAATAATACTTGAAGTTGAACTAACTTCAATTTACGCTGACCGACTTTCTCAATCATCATCTTTTCATCATATTTCACTGGCAATCCGTAGCCCGATAAACATTTAGTTAAACGAGCAACTGCTACCGGAGGAAGAATACCCAAGTAACGAGATAATTCAGCTTCCAAGATCATACCGATGGAAACACATTCACCGTGTAAGGCTTGAGGAGTTAAAACGGCTTCAATGGCATGTCCAATGGTATGCCCAAAGTTGAGCAAATTTCTTAAACCCCCTTCCTTTTCATCCTGTGTGACTACGTTAGCCTTGACCCTAATAGAACCAAGTACCGTCTTAATGATATCTTGCTTAATGGCTTGTAAGGATTCAATTTTGTTAGCAGAATTTATAGCAGTCAAGAAACTAGAAGAAAAATCTTCTAATCTGGTGAATTCTTCTTCATCCCAAATGGCAGCTGTCTTGATGACTTCAGCCATACCATTGATAAACTGTCTCACAGGCAAAGTTTCCAAGAATGAAATATCACAGAAGATGTATTCTGGCTGGTGAAAGGCACCAATGAAGTTCTTACCCAATGGGGTGTCGATGGCAGTCTTACCACCTACTGAAGAATCAACCATAGCCAACAAGGAAGTAGGTACTTGGACGACACGCACACCTCTCATAAAAGTAGCAGCAACAAATCCAATCATGTCACCGATAACACCTCCTCCTACTGCGATAATCACAGTATCTCTGGTGCAACCTTTACTCAAAAGAAAGTCTTCAATGTGTGCCTTGGTGCTTCTATTCTTACTGCTTTCTCCTGGTGCTACTTGGATGGTCAATAAACGAGACTCAGGTCTACTCGTTGCCAACTCTGCTTCGAATTTTTTTTCCAATTTGGCATATGGCTCAGTGGCTGCCATGTTGTCATCGGTTATTATCACATAGGTAGACGAAGCTTTCGTTTCAATAACTGTTTTCACTATATGTTCTTGAATTCCATATCCCACATGAATGGATTCAGTGCCCAAGATGGAAACTTTTTGCACTGACATCGCAAAATGTGTGTATTAATGCAGTGTACCGGTTTCGTGTGGAGTTTACGTATATAAAACAACTACAGAAAGGAAAGAAACGTGAAAGAAAAAAAAATGCCTTTAGAAATGACACTTAAAATTTACACTAACGACGAGTCCAGCTGCTAGCGGGCCGGTGACGTGAAGTCTGGAGAATTTTTTGGTGAACAGCCTATGACTGATTTTTTTTTTCACTCACGTGCTTCTCACTCTCTTTATATATAACTAAAAAATAAAAAAAACGTTGGAACATGCATTGCAATGAGGTTAAGGTATATACGGGATGGGCCTAGGTATGTGGAGCAGTTTCATTATCTCTTTTCTACTTTATAAAAATTTATTGATACTTCTTTCTTCCACATCTGTTTATATCTAGACGTAATTTGGTAAGATTTCTTTCACATGCTCAATGCACTCTTCAGCCGTTCCTGTAGGATTATTCAATTGCCAAATGAAAACCTGTTCGTTGATCTTCCCTAACCATGGGCCAGGTTTTCTCTGCAACACTTTCAATAATGTCTTACCGTCGACGATGAGAACTTTGGGGATATTTTCTAGACCTAATGTTTCAATCACCTCGCAAACTTTCTCGTAGTTTTCAAGAACTGACTCAATCTGGCTTGCATCTGGTATTGAATCAGCGTCTGGGTTCGGAACTGGCTGAGTTTCTGCTTTTGATTCGACTGAAGCCTGTTGACTGGAAATCAAATCATTGAAACAGTTAAACGCTAAATTTAACCCTACGAACTCTCCACACTCTTTCAAATAAAGCCCTAATTCGGACCGTAAAATAGAATCTGGAGTACGGAATACCTTCTCCAACGTAGAGTAGTTCTCTACATTCAATTTGATGTTATTTGTGACGATATCAAAGTCATGCTTACCAAATCTGAGACCTTCCTTAAGGATAACGTTTGATATGAGTTGAAGGGTTGGTTTCTTCAGATTGGTTCTGACTTGCAAATCCTTGTAAGGAAGTAGGATAATGGAGAGCCAAAACAACTTCTGCAATTGCTTGTTTGTGATTATGCTGTTAAAATGATTGGAAATTCGAGGAAAGCTGGACATATCCATCTTCTTCTGCAAACTGATCCACATCTGGGTACTAAGGTCAATCATCTCAAAGACATCCTTTTCCCCTATCTTTAATTCTTTCAAGGTTTGTGCATCATTTACCTCTTTAATTACACTACTCATGGTTCCAGGGTTGAAAATGCTTTCGGTTAAGCCAACAAAGTTAATCAATCTCAAACCATACATTGGATTCTTACTAGTTAAGATCTTCTCGACTTCCACTCCCACCCTTTCTCTGCTAATTTTATGGATTAATGTGGAATGAATATCATCATTAATCATGGCATTCAAAGTATCCTTTTCTATAGTGAAGTCAAATCTTGAGGCAAACCTGATGAGTCTCAACACTCGCAAAGGGTCATCTAAAAAGGTTTGCAATGGCTGAAGTGGGGTTCGTAAGATACCGTTGGTCAAGTCTTCCAACCCTCTTCCTGTAAAATCCTCAATTACGTTGTTATTCAAATTATAAAATAATGCATTCAAAGTAGCATCCCTTCTCAAAGCATCTTCCTCCGCAGTCCCACACTCGATGATAGGCACTCTGCTATCTTCGGTGTAGGCTTCAGATCTTAAATTGACAAAGTCAATGTCAAGCCCAAATAACTTGGTGGTACATGTCTCCAAATGCTTAGACTTTTCAGGGTTCTTTTTGATGGTATGTACAGCCTTTAAAGTCAAGTCCGGATACTTCTCTTGTGTGTAGTCAAATAATCTTGAGGCGAAATCTTCACCAGACAAATGGTTAATTGCAATATCCAAGTCATTGCTTTCAATGCCGAGCAACTTATCTCTAACCCAGCCTCCGGTAATCCTAAGTTCAAGTAAGTTATCTACCACGCTCTGGTTATAGTGGTCGCAAAATTCTACTAGTAAAGATCGAATTTGACTTTCTGTCTCGTTCAAGACAATGTTCGTATTTATGCTTCTTATCATCGGAGTATGGAGAGACCTTACGATATGAATTCTATTTGGAAAGCTTCTGCTGAGAAAGGGATTTGATCTATATATAGGAAATAAAGCTCTTCTAAGTAAATCGATCATATGACGATATTAATGCAGAAGAATAGTGAATACACAGGCAAAGTTGTAGCTTCATGAGAATGCGCCGTTTAAGTTTTTTTTTTTTTTATTCTTCTATTTTTCTCTCAACACCCACTAAGCTATAAGGACGAATACAGCGGTGATTCCAAGCACTTGAAGTAAGTGAATCCTAGCTCTCTAAGTTTTACTGTTGGTAATGGGACATTACGACTTCATTACTGACAAAAAAATGCTATAAAGTAGTCCTTAGTACTACTATACACCATGAAGCCACGCCAATCCATCTCCATCGCTGTATTTCAGCAGCACCTATACCTCGTGTGGAATAGCAGCACATTTTAACAACATGAAAAGCCGCCTGTGTAGCGTAATGGTTAACGCGTTTGACTTCTAATCAAAAGATTCCGGGTTCGACTCCCGGCATGGGTTCTCTTCTATTATGCGGTCTTAGCTCAGTTGGGAGAGCGTCAGACTGAAGTTTAAACATCAGTCACAGTTAATCTGAAGGTCCTGTGTTCGATCCACAGAGATCGCATATATACTTTTTTTTTTCTTGTGGTGCTCTAAATAGACGTCAATTTAAACTGCTTTGACGGTGCTGATGAGTATGTCAATCCGCACATTCCAACCGCACCTCCGCTTAACTTCGCAAGCACCTGCACAATGTATGATGTCTCTTGTCGTACATTTATGCATAACCGAAACTTTTGATAGAAACTAAAAATAAAAAACAAGGACAACGCTTCAAAAGAGGAGTATAAGAGAAGTATTATAAGAAGGCTCAGCTTCTAATTCGAGTATAATAGCATAATCTAGCTTATATAGTACTTCTTGCTATTTCCCCACTTTTTTTTTGCTGTTTTATTTCAAGTTCAGTTGCATTTGTATCATCTAATTTATGGATTCCTTCAATTCTCGAAAAAGTCATGTCAATTCTGGAGTTGGCATTTCCTTATAAGCAGGCAATTGCAAGTCCAATAGTCCTCAACAAACTTATTCTCACGGATGAGAATGATTCACATAGGCTTGTGGCAGCGTTATCTGAAAGAGAGGGTTTCCCTGGGAACAAATACTGTAGCTCCATTGTAAAGTTGCTAACTGCTACACAACAACCGACAAGTGATTTAATTACATATATTCAAAATCCTTCTAATTCCGCTACCACTCCTTTATTGTTGTCAGTTGCACCTAATTTCAATAAATTTAAGTTGAACATCTCCATTAAAACGTCAAACTTACTAGAATTCGAGACTAAATCATTAATAATATTGAAAGCACTAGACGATAACGACAATACCGAAGCTCTAAAGAAATCCTTGGATGAAAAAAGTTCCTATAATTCAAACAGTACAGAGATCTCTAGGTTACCATATTCTAATTTTCCAATAAGCAAAACAAGCGAGCATGAGTTTCAAAAAATAATAGTGAATGACTCATTCAATAGCTCTATATTCCAAGATAATGTGCTCAACGTATCTCTATGGGAGGTAGATGATAACGATATCCATGATTTGGGTGGTCATAAACATCTATTTAGTTTTAAGTATTGGGTAAATGAAGTTACTGCTAGCCTAGAATCCAATGCATCGCATGATGTAGAGATTGAGCATCCTTTACCTCCTTTGCCTACAGTGCTTCCACCAGTTCCCCCAAAACCCACTCAAGTACTTCCAGTACCAACTCCACTTGAAATCCCCACTAATGCCCCTCCGCTTGCAGACTCCAATGGTCTAGACAAGCTAACTTTCTCTAATATAAGGAATGCCTTTAACTTTAATATTGAAGACGGTCCCGAATTTAGACATACACTTCAAGGTTATGAAAAGAATATCCCTCTCTTCAAAAGAAATTGCTATGCCTTATTAGAAGAATTGAGGAAATTGGATACTTCGCTTGACAGAATAAAGCAATCAAAAGTACGAATACTTGAATATATCGCTAAACTTACCGAGTTACAAGCTTTTAAACCAATATTGAATGAAATTCTCTTTGTCCAAGATTTCAAAGTAAGATTTCTTGCTATATTCGATACCTTCGAAGTTGATTTGAAGAACTTTTTAGTTAATGTTTGTGACCACAAACTATTGATAAAAGTATTTTCAAACCTTCCACTGGATTCTAATAGCTCGTCTACATCTTCGGCTCCTGCTAGTACTACTTCTCCTGGTGACCTTGCAAAGAAACAATTTGAAAGTAACTCCAAAGAATACTATAATTGGCTAAATAAGTACTTGTCTAACGAAAAGGAAAGACCAGAACTGAAATTATTAGTGAAGAGGAAGAGTTTTGAGTTATCCAAACTAGATTATCTAAATTTCCTTAATCTATCCACAAATAATCAATATTTCAACCAATTGCTAGAAAACCTCTTCAAATACTCGTCAAGAGACAAGCCATTGGATTTTAAGTATGAATTATATTTGAATTTATTATCCAGGTTTAATAGTGAAAAGCTATTGCTTCGCCAGTCCATTGAAGCATGCCAATCTAATGAGGAACTAACCAATATTCTTAGAAATAATCTGCTCAACCACTCAAATACACCTAACTCTCCCTCAATGACTGATAAGGAATTGGTTACATCGTTGTCCAAAATTGATTCTATATTTGCGATAGATGGTGACAATGTGACCGCTGTTCCCATTCGGAAGGATGATCAAAATTCAGAAATTGCTGGAATATTGTACACACTCGGTGGTCAGGGAAAACAAGGTTGGCACAAGGAATGGGTAGTCTTGAGTAAAGGTAGGTTGATTGAATATTCTGACTGGAGGAAGGGTAGACAACCGATCAATAAACCGATTGAGATTGCTTTATCTAATATCAAACCAACATCCTACGAGAAGCGGAAGAATTGCTTTGAGATTTTGACTTCTAGAGGAACTAAGCATGTCTTCCAAGCAATCAATGAAGAAGAAAGGAATAATTGGATTAAAGGTTTATATAATGCGGGTCAGTTAGTTGACACTTCGAGATTAAAAGACAAAACTAATGGCCAAAGTACAGGGTCATCCACAACAAAATCAAAAATTTTGCATGCCCTCGACGCTAGTAACATTAAAAAGACAATTATGAATTCTGATGCAGATAATATCTCTCCAATATCTATTATTGCTAATTCCCCATTGTCTAAGAATGAGAATATCGATTACATTCAGCTCGTCAGGACTGACAGTTCTAACGAAAATAGTATCTGCTCCGATTGTGGACTGCTTGAATCAGTAGAATGGGTATCATTGAACTTTTTAACAGTATTCTGTTTAAGATGTTCTTCTGGACACAGAAACTTGGGGTCTCATATTTCAAGAATCAAGTCATTAAAGCTAGACAATTTCAAAGACGAAATCGAATTTTTATTAAAGCATGTTAGTAACAAAAGAGCAAATCGATATTTGGAAGAAAACTTGCACAAGTCTGAAAAGATTTCTGCTAGCGCATCCAACGAGAAGAGAATGGAATTTATCAAAAAGAAGTACTTGGTGAAGAAATATGTTTCAAAATACCTCACTCAAGAGGAACTCAATGACAATTTAGTGCTGAGCATTCAAAAAATTAACATTCCTGATACTGTAAAATATATCGGATGTGGAGCAGATATAGATATGAAATTGTCGCTCAACTTGAACAAGAACGATTTCATTAAGATAACTTTATTAGAATACTCCTTAAGAAAATATGTCGAAGTGAATGATACCCCACCGAAAAAGCTATTCGTTATATCTGAGTTGTTAGTTATAAATGGATGCAAAGTTGATGGTCTAAAGGAAACTAACAAGGAGATAAAATTAACAGACGAAGCAATCGAATGGTGGAAACAGAGATCGAGTAAACTTCTTGGTGTATGATCTAATTATGTAATTGTATACACGACTTCTAGGTAATTAGCAATATGATTTATGACTACTCTAAAAATTCCTAGTCTTTAATTTTAATTTTCTTCATGGAAATGGTTGCATACGCAAAGCTCATTTGGGTGCAAAATATTTTAAAATTTTGACTGAGTGGACAAATACAGCTATGTGGATCAGTAGATCTTACAAGAAAAGATATTTGAGGACGTCACTGATTGGAAAATATATGGACAATTACTAGGTAGAGTATAAATAAAGAAAGGAAAAAGAAAAAGAAAAGGAAATAAAATCAACTTTAAGTATAGTTTCTCATAATTAGCTACGCTACACACATCTAGCTAAGCGATCAGCCATTACAGTTAGATAGCCCTACCATTGATATCTTAACTTCATCGTCGCTATGTCAGAAGGTATTTCAAATTATTCGATTCAAAAATGTATTGGTCGAGGAAACTTCGGGGATGTATATTCTGCTATTTCTCAAAGCTCAGGTGAAGTAGTTGCTATAAAAGTTGTCCACCTTGATGCATCGGAGGATGATGTTGCAGTTTTTATCCAAGAGATTCAGTTGCTTTCAAGAATGAGATCGAACTACGTCACAAAGTATTTTGAAACTTTCGTAAATCAAATGTCGATTTGGATCGTGATGGAATATTGTGGAGGTGGTTCGTGCTCAGACTTATTGAAATGCCATAAAAAGCTAAATGAAGAAGTAGTGGGGTATATTATCAGAGGAGCGATGTTGGGATTAAACTATTTACATCTTCAGAAAAAAGTACATCGGGATATCAAATCAGCTAACATTTTACTTACTAATGACGGATCTGTTAAACTAGCAGACTTCGGTGTGAGTGGGGAAATAACCATGACTAATATGAAAAGAAATACATTTGTTGGAACCCCGTTCTGGATGGCGCCTGAGGTTATTAAAAGAAGGAACGGTGGGTACGACGAGAAGGCTGATATTTGGTCGATGGGTATTACTGTTATCGAATTGGTTACAGGAATGCCACCGCTAGCGGAACATGACCCCATGAAAGTTTTATTTACTATTCCAGACAATAAACCTCCTACATTGGATAGGTATTCATCATTGACTGTGAATATAAAGGATTTCGTCAAATATTGTTTGAGAAAAGACCCGACTGAGAGACCGACTGCCAAAGTATTGCTTCACCATAGATTCCTTAAAATTAGGAGGAATGTTGGAATTCTTCAATTGATAAGCGAAAGAGATAAGTGGATGGAAGAGAAATATGCCCATGGTAAAAAGCCCAAGTACAATCTCGGGAAGAATATACCACAAGCAGAAAAATACTATTCATCGTCGAGTGATTCCATAGTTGAAAGTCCATCAAGTAAGATACAATGGGATTTCGGCACACAGAAGAGTTTTCATGTCTGCAGTTCTTCTAGTCCATTGACATCCTCTCTGCCTCTAACAAACAATATCTCTAGTTCCACAGCTGTTAGCTCTCCACCTAATCAGTCCCCTGTAGATCTACCCCATCCGCCTAAAGTCGGATCCAACAATTATTTAGAAGAGGTCATAATTCAATGCTTAGGAAAAGTTGCTCAGAGAGCAAAGACAAGTGATACTAAAAGGACAGTTGAAATGCTAGCGAGGAGCTTCATATCCTGCGAATCCATGCACCCTGGAATGTGTGAGGCCATAGTAGAAGAAATCTATCTACAAATTAACGAACTACTTGCTAATGAAAAACAATAATCTATAAGATAAAATCCATAATACACGCCAATACATTGTCCCTCGATTAACAAGATAGAAAGAAGGTAAGCAGATATATGAATAATGAATTTACTTTAAACAATGCACCACACCGGCAATCGAGAAACTTTCCTGTGCCACGAATTGCTTATCTAAAAGATCTTACGGAATGGGCCTAATGCACCGAAGGAATAAAGAGAGTAAATAAAAAAATAAAAATAAAAATAAAAAAATGGATAACATAGATGAAATATTAAACTAAGAGGCATCTAAGACTAGCCTTAGGAATCCCAAACCAACAAACTGTAACAGTAGACGCCTTAGAGGAAAGCGAATCTTTTCAACTTTCTAGACTTTCAGCATCGTTGGACCCTTCTCTTACATTCTTCTCATTCGAAGGTTTCTCCGACATACCTCATTGCTGAAACCCTTTTTTCACCATTTTTTTTTGGCTTTTATTTATTCTTTTTAATTCCCGACCCGATCCACTATCAATTAGTGGCCCCGAATTTATTTTCAGGTAATTTTCTTGTGCACGGTCTGAAACTTCTAGTCTAGGCATCAATATGGGGAAAGAAAACAATCTTTGCAGGGCCAAATACACGTTTCCATGGGTGTAAGGTCGGGAACCACGACACAAAAACGGAGAAATGCCCATGTGACCAGTAGCGATGCGCTCTTGTACAGGAGAGGAAAAAGCGCGGTCAGCGCGTTTTGATCCAATTTGTATGAGAAAGGAAAATCGCTTCCTGCAACCTTGTGCCAGAACTCTGTAGGACAGTAAAGTCATAAAGGTTTGGATTTCCTTATGTTGATTTAGTTCATTCAATCTTATCCAACTGTACATTCAAGCATTTGTTTTAAAACCCAAAGCAAGTCTATCTCGAAGTTCATTGATAGCTTCATAGGGAGGACAGATAGAGAGTCACAATAAACTAACCCCATCTTATTGTTTGGATTCTAATTGTCAAAGAGAGGAGCGCGAAAGTAAACATATAGAGTAGTCATCATTCGACTGGAAATAGAGTGTATCAGGTCCATTTTATCGGCTTTCTTCCTCTTTTTTTGATCAATTTTAGTTTTATTTCATCTTCATTAGTTGCCACTACTATATGACAGAAACACCGATCAAAGCGCAACTGATCCCTCAGGTGCAAGTCACCCATCCAGAAACTCCGAGAGCTGCATGTAAATCTGGAGGGCCTGGAGGAAACGGTGCTGGGAATGGCACTGGAAACTTACAGCATTCAAACAAGCTTGGAACAACACCATCTTTTAGCTTTGGCCTTGGCTTTCTGCCATCGTTCCAACTTGGATCCCCAAGAAACATGAACTTGATGTCCGTGTTTTCACCTCAGAGGTTCTTTCAAATTTCCAATAGTTTGAACAAGGCCATTGAAGGCAATACACAAGGTAATCATCAACTGGGTCACAGTAGAAAATTTCTGGAAGGAGAAATTGATGTCGAAGAAAACGTCTTCCATTCATTTAATCCTCTGCTTACCAGTAAGTCAGACGTGAAGTTTTTGGAATCACTTTCATCCTCAGTCAACCCCAAAAAGCATGATGACGAGAGTATTCAGGTGGACATTAATGAATCAATGCAGTCACAGAGTACTACGGAAGACCATTTGGACCTCTGGTCCTTAAACCAACATACATTGTCCTCCATTTACGAAGAAGCTTCTCCTATGATGGCTTCAAAAGGAATACATAGTGGGAAGGAACAACACGGTACTGCATTTTTAACCCCAAACAAATTATTTTTAAATAATAATAATAAAGATAAGAATCTTAAAGCATCAAAAGCATTGCTAGCTGAATTAACACTAGCCAACGAGGAGAACGAGGATTTTGAACTGAAAATCGAAGAAGAAGGAGAAGGAGACAAGAGTGAAGAGGATGCAATCATGAGAGAAGAACCTTCAAAGAGTGCAAATGGACAGTCTCATCAATCAAGTAATGAGGATTGCAACACTGAGAACGAAGAAGAAAAGGAAAACCATGTTTCAAAGAAGCGTAAAACTTCATTTTCTCCTGATTCTCCATCAACTTCGATAGCTTCTCAAGTTGAAACTATAGCATCTCCAAGAGGGAACAGCAGCAGACGTAAATTGTCTGTTGTATCAAATGCATCTACTAATATGGCAACTTCTTCTACTGAGTACATTAACAAATCGTGGGATGCTGACTTAGATGATATCTTGTTAAACTCATACCACAAGTACAAAACTTTCAAGGAGAACCAACCATCAGAGTCATCTATCTTGAAAAAGGCATCTCAGAACAAGGTATTGTCTAGAATGATTGAAAACAAATGTGGAACAATAAAATCACCACAACAAATCGCCAGTAGGTTGAATAAATTATTAAGAAAATTGTCATCAGTTGCTCAAATCGCTCCTCTGGCTTCGAAACCAGAAGAAGCAAATGATTATGTACGCACACCTATGAGCAGCATTGTCAACAAGAAATGTGAATCAGCATCTAATTCCGCAAGTGCTCAATCTGCATTACAGACTAGCAAAGATGTAGACTTGTCCTCGTCACCATTTGTACCTTTAAGCAAAGCCAATGCGTTGAAATCATCTCCAATTATAGCTGAAGCAAGGGATAAGGCATTTTTTGAATTAAATCCAAAGGAAGTATGCATTTCGTTTGATAGTAGGAACAACAATGAAACCCATTTCTTCAGTAGATACGAAAATGGTAAGGATGGTTTACCTTCTAGATCTAGCATGTCTATTATGGATTTATCGCAGACAATTTGTTCTTCCTTGTATGAAGAATTGAAGCTGATCTCAAAAGTGTTGATTCAAAGCAAGATCCCTGTTTGTGAAGTGAAACATTCTGTTGCCTTAACAAAAGACAATTCGTTTACACCAAATTCTTCTGCTTCTCCGTTCACATCAACCCCTGTTCCAAGAAATGTCAGCTTGGACAATGGAACTTTCAAGTCATTTCTTAAATTAGAAGTGAAGAAGGAAAAGAAGCTTGCACAGGAATTAGATGAACCTTACATGTTGAACTGGAAATGTAAGACTCAAATTTGGAGAGACAATAGACCGATCTATAAGATTGATGAATATATTAATGGGTATGCAGATGGAAACAGTAACTCTTACGAGTTGCAAGTTCCATTTTTAAGGAACTTTTGGTCAGGCTTCCTTACATTCTTGAGCAATGGTGGTGAAAATAGTTTGACCAACTTAACTGTTAGTCAAACTATTTATGAAAGCAATGAAATGGAAAAGAACAATTTTGAATTGGATAATCCTTCTATTTCAATAAGAGGGTACTTAATCCATCATTTCAAAATTGCTGATGTTTATTGTGGGGGAGTAACCTTTAACATAATTAAATTGACTAATGGTAATATCACTGGATCAATTGACGAAGAAGATGACAATGCAACAGTAATTGCAGAATCTTCCCCTTACAAATCATCTCCCAAACTGGAGAGTATCAACACTCTGGATGGAGCTAAAGATTTAAAGGTAGATGTCAGTCGAGCACATACTGTGATGCCAGGTCCTGCAAGTGCCCCAATTTACAATGCTCATGTTGTTAACAAATTAAATCAAGATTCTCTCAGGCAACAAGAGAAGATTAGGATGCAATTACAAATTCAGAAACAAATGCACATGCAAAGTAATCACATTAGTCCGCAAATGCCACAACCACATCCACAACATCAACAGAGCTTGAATGAACAACCAACTCGGGGACCATTTTCAACACAAGCCCAGGCTTTCCAAAATCCTCTACAAACTCAGCCACAATTTGAGGAGAGCCCTGCTATCGCTCAGCACCCAATGTTAACGACTTCTCAATCTACAGGTAACATACACCAGTTCTTGCATCACACTGGAAGACAAATATCTCCCAACTCAGCTATACCTACACCTCCAAACCAAAATAGTCAAGCCAGCAAAGAATTTGGAACTCCGAATGCTGCATCTCCAAGTATTAGTAGCGTGGACTACAATGGAAGCCAACGTCAGGTTCATAGAACGATGCAACATCCAGCTCAGCAGCGCCAAGGACAAAATAACCAATTTCCTCCTGGCCCACAAGTTCAGCTTCAACAAGGACAAGTGCCAATTCCACAACATTCCACGTCACCGCCTCTTGGATTACAAGCTGGTCAAATGCAAGAACAAATGCTAGTGCAGCAAATAGTCCCAGGTTTTACTCCTGGAAATATGATACGCACCGAAGTTGACGAACAATTAAGTCAATTACAGCAACACCAGTTCCCTCCAAATCAGCAGCCACACCTTCCCCAACAACAGCAACAGCATCAACAACATCAGCATCAACTACAACAGCATCAGCAACAGTATCCAAATCAGCAACTTCAAGAACAACAGCACCCAAATCAACATCTTCAGCAACAGCATTCAAACCAGCAACTTCATCCACAGCAGCAACAACTACAACAACAACAACAGCAGCAACAACAACAACAGCAGCAGCAGCAGCAGCAACAAATGTTTATGATGCAACAACATTTTCAGCAACAACAACAACAACAACAACAACAACAGCAGCAGCAGCAGCAGCATCAACAGCAACAACCACAGCAACAAAATCTACAACAAACACAAATTCCACTCCGTCTTGATCAACTGCAAGTTCAGCAGCAATTCCAATTGGCTCAGATGCAATTCCAAGCGCAGAGAGCACAGCAAATACAAACACAACTGGGACAAGAACGCTTTTCTAACAACAAACAACACAAGTCATCCCATAGATCGTTTGCTGGTAAACAAGAAATCAAGGAAAACAAGCAGAGAGAAATTACCTTTGGGCCCATATTGGAGTATGACCCTTCGAGTCAACCAGGTGCTAACTTGAGGAAACAAGCTTCCAATGGACCTCTGGAGAACGGGATCTATCGGTTCCCAGTAAATACGCAGGTCAGTATGTACAAACCGAAAAAGAAATAGAATATATAGTTAATTATGTATAAAATAAATTGCATGGGTCATACTTTACACTCCACCTCTCTCTTCTGATCTGATCTGTAATGGCTGCAAACTTGCATGCTGCAGTTTAACGCACGCGAAAATCGCGATGTTTCTTCGTATTTTAAAAATGTCAACAGATTTGAAGTTTAAACAAGAAGAGTAAACACTCAGCTAATACTCAGCTAATACTATTAAACACGTTGTAATGGGTGTTACAGGATTGCTTCCAAATCTCAAGGAGATCCAAAAGCCTACTAAGCTAGAAAAGTATGAAGGAAAAACTTTGGCGGTCGATACTTATGGTTGGTTGCATCGTGGACTAGTGTCTTGTGCGCAAGAACTTTGTCAAGACGTTCCAACGCGTAAATACATCAACTCTGTGATGAAGAAAATTGATATGCTTAGGCATTTTGGTGTTGAACCCTACCTCGTATTTGATGGGGCGTATTTGCCAACAAAGGCAGATACTGCAAAGGAAAGAAGATTGAAAAGAGAAGAGGCAAAGGCAAAGGCAGATGCTCTTGTTAGGCTGGGGAATAAGAAACTCGCGTGGAAAGAGTTCATGAAGGCCGCAGGAGTCACTCCCCAGATGGCTAAATCAATAATGCTAGAACTAGACATAAGAAAGGTTAAATATGTAGTTGCACCTTATGAAGCAGATCCTCAAATGGTTTATCTCGAGAAATGTGGGATAGTAGATGGAATACTTTCAGAAGACTCAGACTTGCTAATATTTGGATGTAACCGATTGATAACTAAATTAGATGATTATGGAAACTGTGTAGAAATTTGCAGAGAAGACTTTGGTTTGGTCAAGTCTATTCCACAGTTATCTTCCTATACTCAAGAACATCTCAGACTAGTAGCCATTCTATCTGGATGTGATTACACTAAGGGTATCGCAGGAATTGGATTGAAGACTGCATTCACACTCGTCAGAAGACACAGTAGTATTGAAAAGATTCTTCAGTACTTGAGAACAGACGGTAAAGCTGTATCTCTGGAGTTTGAAGCGGAAGCCGAGAAGGCGAACATAGCCTTTCAGTACCAAAAGGTTTTCGACCCAATTGAACAAAAGCTTAAGACTCTAAATGAAGTTCCTGAAGAGATGATTAGTAAAAGCATTGAATTACTTGAAGTTTGTTGTGGTGAAACATTGTCACATGAGATACATGTTGAAATTTGCAACGGTAGAATGCACCCTAATACTTTGGAGACTTTAATATCGAGAGAACAGAGCTTGACCATGTTGACTCTGAGAAGTGTGTCCACCTCGAACTATAAGAAAGTCAGCGGAGATGGTCCGATTTTAGCATCCAAATATAACAGTGTGCCTAAGATTGGAAGCATTGATTCATTTTTCAAAACTAGCTTAAAGCAGCCTACTCTAGGAAGTAAAGCTCAATTATCAGCACCTGTGCCCTCTTTGGCTAGAAAAGATGCACCATCGGTACCAAATCTAGTTAAAAGAGATGTAGAACAGACAAAGGGAGAGAAACTTGACAAGAAATACGTTGCTGTATCGCCAACTACTAGAAAAATCAGAAGAGTAATCGAAATACCAGCGGAAAACGCCCTTCTGACGGAGAAGAAGACTAATCAGAGCAGCAAATTTTTTGATACATTACTTTCAACCTCAAAAGTGAAGGCAAGCTGGGACATATCAGGAGATTCTGATATTCCCGATGAATTCTTATCATCGCCAATGAAGTTAAAATCCAAAGAAAGGTCTCCATTGAAAGAGGAGATTCAAGAGCCAACACAGGATACCGAAGGTTTTGACGTTGATTTGGACGATGACGACATCGAAGAATCTCCTATTAAGAACGTTAATACTAGTCCCACTAAAAGGTTAATCGAATTTGGGAAGAGTTTATTTGACAGATTCCTGATGAAACCTGGTGTCCCCAAATTAGATGGCCCAGCTTTAGAAGCTAAAGATGAAGATGACTTTAGTGAAGAGATCGATGAAGAGGACCAAATAAATGAAAAAGTGGAACAGAATGTCGTAGAAGATGAAGCTGATAGAAAAGAAGTAAAAAGACTTGATGAGGGAATTCGAATCCCAAAGGAGGTTTTCGAGCCTAAATTAAACACAACTGCAATAAATTTGCAGAGATTTGCATACAAAGGATAAGTTCAGATACATATACATATACATATACACATACATAGACAGTAGATAGATTATTATACACGTCTATTACTCAATCTCTGACTATAACCCTCTCAATTGACATGCGGAAACTGCCAACCTGGTCCACACACCCTGAGTACCATCACCTTGTATGGCAGCATCGTTTAGTTTATATACCTTCTTAAATCTTGGCATATCTACAAGTGAGAATAATACATTGTCGGTGAGTTCTTTACTCTCCACCTCTCCTGTGAAAAGTTCACTAATATTCTTAAAACTTTCATCTTCAGGCTCGCCAGCCTTTAGCACTTTAATCACTATGACATTAGAGCAGTTTGAATCCACACCGAACCTTTTTATAGAGTCCATAATATTATTAACAGGAGAGAGGTTAAATATAATTTCGGTGTTCAATGTTTTAGCTTTCATTGACAGGTTAGAATAATTCAGTATAGCCCTATATATCCCACTTCTCAAATGCTCCAACGAGACTAAATGATTTGTATTCAAGAAGCAATAGTCATATTCTTTATTCGCACTGATTAATTGACTTTTTATATGCTCAAGGTTATCTGATGCAACATTAGTAAAGTATGACAAGAAGATCCTTTCCTCTGGGAACTGAGGGAACGTGAAAACTTGGTACATTCTCGACTCTCTACTACTAGTGGGGGTACCCTACTAAGTAACCTCCTCTTCCCTTAACTCATCTCGATCTCGAGCTCGGTCTCGATATTTGATATGTCGGCGTCCTGCACAGGCCGCATCCACGTAGTTACACATGAGACGTAGGCAGTTTTCAAAAACAGTTACCATCAACCCATAGTTATACCCATTCAACTGTTTAAAAATAGTGCTGGCTTGGCGGTTTACCTTTGCATTGCCTTGTTTAATACCTGCATCATGGACGACCGGGAAAAGGAAAGCGATATAGAGGTTCTTGATACTGCGCCAAAAAGTCCACCCACTCCGCCTGTAACCGACGAGCGTGATAACGATCCACCAGACATTGCAAGTCTTGGGGAGAAATTATTCCAGACCAGCATAGACTTGCAAGAGAGTACTTCTGCTACTCCTCGCACACCATACACGTATCCGGAAGCGATTTTGCAACAAACTGATAATGCTAACAGATACTACTTCCAGTTCCAATCTTTCCAGAGACAGTTTATACAGGAAGATCAAGACTCACTTAACAAGTCAATGCGATGGTCACTGAAGTCCAAAATTCAGCAGACCCTGAAGAAAATCATCGAAGATTGGCTAATTTCAGAGCAAAAGGGGAGAACCATCGAAACTGAGAACGAAGTAAAGAAAGTCCTGCCTGCCAATACCTTGTTCAGCTGGAGCTCTGGTGACAGTTACATACAAGAACGTAGAAGACAAATCGAGGAAAGGAAAAGGAAAAGTAAGCATGCGGCAGCCGCTGCCAACGGCACAACTACAAAGACGGTCAATGAGAAGAAGCCAGAAAACGACAAAGAGCTCACATCGAAAACAGTCAAGAAGAAAGCTGCCCCTAAGGAATCTATTGCTTCCAAGCTCAATAGGACCATCGAGGCCGAGTCAAACAAATTCATACATGCCAGAATTCAAAAGATTAAGGCACATCATAATGAGCAGATATCGAAAAAGATCCACGAAAGGAAACGTAAAGATCATGAGAATCATCTTATGCGTCTCAAGTTAAAAGAAGAGGAGTACGAAAAGGGCTTGCTTTTGAATGCCAACCTGAAGCAAGGGGGAGGGTTCTTTGGAACCATATTTGGGTTTAACAATACCCCAAGTGGAAGTAAAAAGGAAATTCCAGAAGGCTCAGAGATAATTGGTACAAGTTCAATAACTGAGAAAACAAATTCAAGGCCTTCTACCCCTGTCGACTTAGCCTTTGAAACATCGACCCCGATGTCTACGTCTTCCACCACTTCAACAGCTACTTCGACTGTTCCTGAATCTAAGGTCTCTTCTGGCTCTATTTCAAAGAATAAAAGATTTTCTTTTCTACCGAAGGGAACAATGTGGAACTCTGATGGGAATCAGAACCTGAAAAGAGGAAATGAACCAGCCCAGGCAGTTGAACTGTTTGATGACACCGTATTTGACCAAGAGGTGGAACATGAGGAACATCAAGCACGTATTAGCGAATCTATAAGGAAATCGCACACAAATTCCCCCACCATAGGATCTGGCGTTCTCACCCCTACCGTTCTCACACCGACGAGGAAAGGGTTTGATATTGGTGGCTCAAATACTGGAGCTCCCATAGTCAATCAAGAAGTTAAATTCATAGCGAACAGTAACAATGATTATACTAATGGTAATAGCAATGACAATGATGATGATGATGACGATGACTTTTCAGATTTTACATCGTCCGTGCCACTGCCAGTTCCGCAGTCAACTAGTCAAATGCCGCTGGTAGCTCCTTCCAATAACAGGTTCATGGCTGTGCATACAACCAATATCAATCGGGACTTGCTTGATTTATTTGGCAATGATCATCAACAGCAGCATCAACAACAGCAACAGACTGCGCATCAAGCACAAAAGAATGCACAGGTTGAAGATCTACTTTCATTATAATTCGGCATTAAAGGATACCATTAAGAACAGGAGTCTAATTCGGTCTGCCGATAATTATAATTCATCTACTCCTTCTCAGAACATTTTAAGGGACTACAATATTTATATTTTTTATTTTTTTGGTTTTTTGGTCTTCTAAGTTATTTGTATAGTTCTAAATATATGTATACAAATATATATGCAAATGCAGTCCCAAGATGCTTATTACTAAACAGAAATACCATCTCCTCCTTCCAATTTCACTTCAGCTTTCAATTCCTTCTCCTTATCAATAAAGCACCCCATTCCCATGAATGCTTCATCCAACGCTCTCTCGAATACTAATTCTAATCTCCAACCAGCACCTAAAAATTCCTTATTCTTGGCCAAACCAGATACGTATGGATCGTGATACGTGCCAGTACTCACGTCAGCGTCTGTCTTACCAGTGTCCAAGAGTGTATAGCGTTTGTTAAGGTCACGATCACCTTTAAATGGAGTAAATGGAGTGCTTGAACCGACCTCATCGGACTCACTACTTCTGCCTCTTTTGAATGGGTTAGAGGTTTGAATTCGTTGATCCAATTGGTTAGTTAACTGCTGGAACTGTCTCTTTCTCAAGGATGAACGTTTCAAAATGTTGCTGTTTGATTGTGCAATAAGTTCTTCCGATGATCCACCAGGGTTCGAAGCTAGCTTATCCAAAAGTACCTGTTTCTGCTGCCTCTGGTACTCTAAATCTTCCAATTCCATCTGCTGCTGTATTCTCATCTTTTCATGCTTTAATTGGGCAATAGACTCTTGGTATTTTACAAAGTCGGCATTCTTCTGTGATTCTCTCATATTCTTCTCAAGGATCTCAATCTTATGCTCCTCTTCGTACTTATTTAAATCTTTTGTTGTTTGTTCAACGTCTACGTTATTAGTTAAGTTGAAAACAATGTTTTCCACATCTTCTAGATACGAATTGAAGCTTTCTAGCAGCTCAAAATCTTCTTCGGTCTTATTGTAAATTGAGTTTACTCTTTTCCGTATGTCGATCTCTCTCTCTATCACCAAGTCATCAAACACCTGCCTTTTGAATTTATTCTTTCTCAATATTTTACCGCATTTGGGATATGGACAAGGTGCTGGTCCCAAGGAGAATATTCTGTCTACACATGATTCACAGATCTTATGATAGCATTCAGGATTGATAAGGAAAACCATATTCGGTGAGAGATATCTGTCTGTCTTACAGATAGGACACATGTCCTTCGAACGATCATCTTCAATCATATTCAAAGACCAGTTCGACTCTTGGATACTGTGGATATGAATAAAGACAACAAATAACGACTGCTTTAAAGAATCTGCTCCAATAAGTCAGCTACCAGTTGATTTATAATCGGAGGGAAAAATCTTTGACTTTATGTGTAAACCATATCAGGACTATGTGCAGGACCGACAGAATGGAACATGCATGGCTTGGAATGCTGACAGAAGTATACGAACTTGGCGAAGTCGGGCACTGTTATTCATTTGGTATTGAATCGAAAGAATTGGAGACACCGGGGAGTACTTTCATAGAATGAACCTCAAGAATGGGATTCCGAAAATAATTGTTCCATTTGTTACGCTTCTAATTTTAGTATATTTAAATTTTGCATGTTTCTATTCATTAGCTTACCAAGAGATTTATATACAACACCAGGCTCATGGTGTAGCGATTAGTTTATGGACCCTAGGCTGTATTTTCGACATCCTAATTGTAACATATTGGATTCTATTGTATGTGAAGGGTCCTGGGAGGGCTCCAGTAATCAAAGGATTTAACTTGTACGACCAAGAGGGCACTGAGTATAGTCAATTGCCCAAATATTTTCTAGGCGATGAGAATGGCTATCCATACTGGTGTTCAAATTGCCAGTCGATAAAGTTGCCCCGATCTTTTCATCTGAAAGATTCAGGCTACTGTGTAATGAAATTTGACCATTACTGTCTATGGGTAGGATCATCCATAGGTCAAGATAACTATGGATACTTTCTAAAGTTTGCATTGTATTGCTTAAGTAATTTTTTAATCTCACTTATTTACCTTGCTGTGTATACGAGATCAGCTCTAGTTGAGACTACTTCCATTAACACAAATTACATCTTTATATATATATTAAGCGGTTTCTTCCTGATCTTCCTCATTGCGTTGCTAGGTTCTAATGTCTGGTACATTATGAATAATATGACCACATTGGATGACTTGAGTAGGAAACAGCTGGTGCGATACGCCAGGTGGAAGGACTCGAAAAGAAGAAACCCCAAGAGTAAACCCAGAGTGGAGGATGGTAAGAGGTATGTCAATATAAACAGCGACTTGCAAGTGGATGGGGTAACACAGGTGGAAAATACCAGTCGTTTGGTGATTAAATACAGTGTCAGAGAAACTCCGTTTTCTTTTGGATTCCGGAACAATTGGATAAACATTTGGTTATACGGTAACTCACCCAAGGTAAAAGAATACAAACGAGAACTATTTTCTTTCAGTTTGCTTGTATTTTTCGTGCCTTTGTTGGACGTGTGGATAAATCACCGAAGAGCAAGAAATGGGTTGGGTGAACTCACTAGAAAAATAGACGATCCTGAAACCCCGCTAAACAACCACTTGTATGAGTTGTACTGCGATAACTTTAACGAGGAGTTTATCGAAATGATGAATGGACAGAAAAACAATAAGAAGGCCCAAAAGCCGAACTATTTGAATATTGCATGAAAAAGTATCCTAGATCGACGCATAGTATTCCAGCTAGCCATATTTTAAATAGATATATCAAGTAAAACATACTAGACCTAGAGTCCCAGTAGATCTAATTGTTGCTCATCACCTTCAAGCTCCAGTGCATAATTTTGCAGCCTTTAATATGCAGCATTTTTGCTTACTCGATGCCATCCTGCATAAAACGTATATAGTGAAGTCTTTAAAACATGCTTACTTATCCATCAACGACTTACTCTTTATCTAGTTTGTTGCAGACGTAGATTTGTTATGGATTTTATAGGAGATATTGTAGAACATGAGGTAGAGGCACCTACTCTTCCTGTCCAAAGAGAAATTTCAGGGTTTCCAAAAAGAAATAAAGAGAAAAAGGAATCCAGATGGAAGCAAAGGCAACAAGCAGTGAAGAAGGTTGAACCTTCTAAAAAGCCATTGTCAGAAGCAGAAAAGATCCACAATGAAAACATGGAAAAGATCTCAAGAATGACAGAAGGAGAAATTGAAAACGAAAGAGAAGAATTATTACAAAGTTTAAACCCCAACTTGGTAAAGAGCTTACTAGCTAGAGTAGAGAAGAGACTGAATAAGATCGAAAGTCATGATCATGTCCATGCAGAAGGATGCGAACACGACGGATGGATTGGTGGTGACAGAGAAGGAAACTTGAGTCTACCAGCTCTTGATGATCACGATGTAGATGTAGCATTAGGGGTTAAGGCTCTAGATATAGGTAAAGAAGATAATGATGATGAAGAAGAAGAAAGAGTACAGGACGACTCTGGAAATTCCAATAATCCAAATGCAAAGGCTGTTAGGTTTAACGATATAGCTACGGTTAAGTATGAGGACTTAGATGAAGATGTCGAATTAAATCCGAATGAGTGGGAAGACATAGATGATATAAACGACTTAGTGCCATCAACCCCAGGACTCGACGAGATTGCCGAGAGTGGATACCAGTTGGTTGAAGACGATGATGAAGAAGAGCCAAAGGAAAGTGTCCATTTCCCTAAACCGAAATCAGAGGACCTTGACTTGGATGATCCAGAATTTTTTGAAAAACTCCACGAAAAGTATTACCCAGATTTACCCAAAGAAACGTCGAAGCTCTCCTGGATGACTACACCTATGCCAGCCACTAAAACCACCACCTACGAGTCTATCTCTGATATGAGGTTCGACTTTAAGGGTGATCTTGTTGAGCTAGAAGATGAAGAAGGAAACCAGAGCAACGAAACCCCAACTTATGCTGGGCTCCATCATCACTCTGAAAATCCTCACCTTGCGGGATACACTTTGCCAGAGTTGGCGCATTTGGCAAGATCCGTAGTTCCAAGTCAAAGATGCGTTGCCATACAAACATTGGGTAGAATATTACATAAGTTGGGAATGCATAAGTTTTCTATTTTCCCAAGTATGTCAGAATCTTCGGAGCCTAATTCCCCAGAGTTTGACGAAAGCGTTAAGGAAGTAGCAGATCAGTTTGAGAAGATGATTTGGGACTTAGTTGAGAAGTTAAGGATTATAGAGAGTCTTACAGAAGCTGCAGACGAAGTAAAGACTAGAAATCTCTCAGTTAGAAACTATGCCATAGAGGCTTTATGGTTATGGAAGCAAGGTAACCCAGAAGCGCAAGCACAACCAGATAGAAAAGACATGGAGATTTAGAAACAGTGATGTATATGTAATGACCAATTTAGATTTAATAAAAAGTAAACTTTTTTAACAATTATTAAAATTAATAGATGATTTTAGTTCCTAAAAGGTACACGAGAAGCTAATTTAGTAGAATAATGAATGATGAAATACTCATAATTCCATTCTACTAAATACAGCTCCATTAAATGCGTTTCACAACTCAACTAGAAAGATATGTAACAAACACCTTTAGCAGAACAAAAACTGCCCAGACTTAAAGTGTCAGTAATCTCTCCAATCGATCCCAGAATGATGAGACTTGAAACAAGTTCATTTACTCTAAAATAATGTTGTATATTAAAGGACAGTCAAAAAATGGTCAATTTGGTTTTTCTATGCACATAGACACATTGAAACGGTGGATCCAAAAGGATGTCAATAAAGACTACCGGTCAACTTAAGTTGTGCAATATTCTACAAGATATTATCAGCATAACAAGCAATGCCGATAATGAATAAAATATCAATGGACAATTATGTATTACTGGATATTTCGTGACACAGAATGGTAAGAAGAAAGATGAAACAATGAGTAAAATTGAAACAAAAATTTTTTTTCATCATATTCTTTTTTTTTTTTTTCGCATGGATTTTTTCGCTCGTGCAGGAATGAGAACAGCATAATGATTACGCCTGTACGCTTCACTAGATAAGGGCACAGTAGAAAAGAGAAAGCAGCAAGAATAGCTAAGGTAATCGACTTGATAGGCACTCAATTGTCTTTGAAAGATTAATTGGAGCCTTTCTCTCCTCTTTGATTCCTTGTATTCGTCTAAATGGACATAATGCCATTTATATTTAACGCTCTTTCTCTATCTCATTATGCTTGCTTTCCCGCATCTATATTTCTTACACACGTCAAACATACTTGAATATAGCATACATTTACAATCGTATTTAATAATGATCACTAATGGGTGGAGCCGTAGTCGTTAACCCTATTGTCATGTCCATCTCCACCTAAGCGTGCATATGTCTCACGGTATGGGTACAACAGAATAATGTAATAAGAATGTAACAATCCTGGGATGAATCCTAAAATACAAAGAAGAATATTGATCCAAAAATCTGCAGAGAAGAACCCTCTCTTAATTAAAACAGGAATTGGAGGAATGAAAAATCCAATAAGTACTAATAACCAATCTCTAGCGTGCATTCTGTGCCAATTTAACTGTTAAGCAAAAAGATATCTTTCAATTATTGATTGGTAATAAGTAAACCAAAAAGAATGATGTCTATAAAGGGAATGAGAACTTGCATTGGTTTCGTGGGGGGCGAATAGCCCTTTATAGCAGGCCCAATCCATCAGGTTAGGCCTGCGAGGGTGAAGGGGGCCACTCGGCCATCCGGTCCTGCAGAGAACTAATAACTAGACAGGCTTGGGCCCTCATAGTACTGTGAACTGCAATTAGACTACATTCAGCACGATCTACGGAAATCGGTCTGCTGATTACTGATATTTCATACTACAGACCGCGGATACAGGTGCCAACTGGGCCTATTCGAATACCTCTTACCTCTTTCTTAACAGCTTCTGCAGTGGTGCTAGAGTCAACTTGCTACTCCATACATAGTCCTGCATCTCCATCCATACAACACAGTGAGTGTTCCTGTATATAACTGCACCCACTTTCCTGTGTGCCTGCTGAAAAACCGCCTACTGAAAAGTTGGAGACGCCAGCGGTACCAGCGAATTGCACCTCAGTACCTTTCCTTCTTAATAGACGTTATGATATCTTTCAATTGGGTGGTTCTTGGCTTGCTTTTGCAGCTAGCTTCCGCTGTGATTTTAGATGATGCATTTATTCGTGACTGGACGAAGAATTGGGTCGGGCAAATTTCCCAATATGAATTTCAAAGTTCAGATTCAATCATTGGATTATCAGATCAGGGCCAATTATTCAATTCACATATAGACTTAGAAACAAACACAAGTACAACAGATTTACTTTGGAGAACAGACTTGAGCAAATTTGGATCCAACCCACAATTTTTATTAAACAAGAATAATTTCAAGGTATATACCTATTCCCCAGACAGTACCAAAGCGTACGCTTGGGATTCTAGAACTGGTATATTGGAAAACATTTTTGATTTGAAGGCAGAGCCACTTGCAATTGTTAATTTCTTCAATAGAGGAGTGTTACTGGTAAACATCGACGGCTCGGTGGAATTATTGCCAGACAATTTATCGATTCAACCACAACTTGAAGTGGGCACCATCAAACTGAAGTTGCCTAAGAATGGCGGACAGGTGAAGTCCTCCACTCACGATGGAATTATCTATATTTCCATTCCCAACAATAATAAGATATTTGGAATCAAAGGTGATGGTAGTTCTGATGTTACTGAGATTGGGGGGGTTGAAACTGACAAGATCGTAGACTTGAAAGAGAACCTAATTTTGACGCAACTGAATGAAGTCAAGTTGATTGCTGGTGATAAAGTTAAAGCCGTCAAGTTATCGAAAAGATATGAAAACGTTGTTTTGATAAGCTCCAATTACTTCGTTGCTTTTGACGGTGTAACTTCTCCTGGTTTCACTTTGTATAAGGTTGATGAACCTTCTGCAACTGCTTCAGTTGTCGAGGGTCTACCAGAGATCCCAACTCAAATTGTATCTATCGAGTATCTTACTGCTTCCATAAATGATTTCCTTGTTGTCTCAACCCCATTGAAGAAGGTTATCGTAGATATTACGGGACTCTTGTCAGATGATGATCCTTCTTCAACTCAAATTACAACATTTGATCACCCTTCTTCGCCGAAGGGAAAGATATTGGACTTCCTTGAATACGATAAAAATGATAATATTAGGTTGATAACTACATTTAGCTTACCAGGAACTGATGTGGCTATTACTAAGCACAATCATGATTATTATGTATCTACAACGACCTTGCAACACAGGGATAATTTCGAATCTCAATCTGGAAAGTACCTTATCGTTAATAAGCCAACTCTTGATGAAAAGACTCTTGATGATGCCAACCACCTCTTGGACGAAGAACAAGACGGAAGCAAAGCGGGTGAATACAAACTTTTTATAATCCGCTGGTGGTCAAGATTTCAAAGACATTTAATAGAATTGATTGAGTACAATGTCTTTGCCATCACAAAGGGTAAACTTCCAGACACATCTATCGCTGGTAGCGAAGAGGAACAATTTGGCTTAAAGAAACTCATCATATTTGTAGATGAAAAGTTGAATGTGTTGGTGGCTGTCAATACTATCGATGGATCGATTGAGTGGGCTAGAGAATTAGATACCTCATCTGGCATACTCATTGATACAGTTCAATTAAGTGATGAGAAGATTCTCGTAGTTTATGACTCGGAGGTGATTTCTATTAACTTAAGGAATGGTTCTACTATTGCATCTTATGGTTTACCAAATGGATTAATCGAAAAGGTTTTTACAGTTGAAGTAGATGGCCAGATTCTTGTACTCACTAAGGTTGAGAATTCTTCGACTGTTTCAATATTAGGAATTGAGGGTGTACAAAGTTCATTTGAGATTGACGATAAATACTTCATTGATAGGAATTCAGGAAACGGATATAAGCTTTCTCTGGAAACACTCAAGTTAATTCAAACATGGAAACTTCCGCTTGATGGTACTGAGAAGGTTGTTGCCGTAGAGTCTAAGGCTTCTTCGGTAGTTAGATCAGGGAATGGACTTGGGATTGTCTTAGCTGATAAGTCCGTCTTATACAAATACCTGTACCCAAATATTGCAGCTGTGGTGACTTATGATGCACTGTTAGACAAAGTGTCGTTCACAATAATTGATATAGTGACAGGTGCACAATTGCATGAACAAAGTCACGAGGGAGAATCTATTGATTTGAAATCATTTTTGGTAACTATGGATAACAATTGGATAATCTACTCGTACTTCTCTACCAACCCTAAAGCTGAGCAGCGTATCGTTGTGATAGATCTTTTTGAGACAGGAATACCAAATGAAAAGGCAAATAATGAAGAAGACAACTCAATTTTCAATTCATATAACCAAACTATCGGTGAAGTATCAACCAAATCATTTATATTCCCAGAAAGAATATTACAACTCTCCCATTCTGTTACCAAGTTTGGAATCACTACAACCAATATTTTGGCCTTCACGGATTCTGGTAGTTTGGTACAAATTCCTAAATTTGTCTTAAATAGTCGTAGAATAGCTGATAGAGAATTCACACAGGTAGACTCAATGAATGACTTCAGATTGACTCCCTATGAGCCAATTATTTCTGGTGGTGATAAACATTACCATGTGTTGAACCACAAGAATCAGCTTTCAGTTCAAGATGGTGGTAAGATCCTCAGCATTGCCACAGAATTAGAGTCAACATCGGTTGTTTGTTACATCAACAAATTAGACTGGTTCTGTACAACGATTCAACCATCATTGCAATATGATACCCTTGGGAAGAATTTCGCAAAGTCAAAGTTAATATTAACCATTTTAATTTTATTGTTGGGGGTATTAATTACCACTCCGATGGTGAGCTCGAAGAGGTTAAATGCGGCCTGGCTCGATAGGTCATAGAAGAAGAAAAAGAAGAAAGGGAAGAAGAAAAAAGAAATAAAAAAGGCAAGTACATCATCTTTCATTGCAAAAAGAGAATATATAATTCATATTAGATAGTATTTGTAAGCACTACACTAAGGAAATGAGCGAAAGGATCTGCTCTTTAAGTACAGCAACACTGATATACTGCAAACGAAAAGAAACATAAAAATTACTAAGATTCTACAGAGCAAATAGTCAATATAGTTTGATAATTCAGCTAAGGCCATCTGGACTATTGTTATGCACTACAAATAATATGAGCTCCGAATCGTAAATTCCATCTACAATAATATTATTCGCACCCACAACTGCAACCATGATATGTCTTCATGTTGCACAAATATATAATTGATAATAATAAAGGGGGAGATTTAAATAACGTGCTAGCCTCTTGACCGTAAAGCAAGAATGTCTTTGCCATCTTACAGGGGTATCGTACAAGAACTGATCGGTCCCACCAGGTCCCACTAGAGAATCAGGTACACTTATTTAAGATCTGAGCCTCATGTTTACCCATATATTGATTTTGTGTAACAAGAAACGCGGTAACTAGGATCAATAAATAAAAGACAGACGAGCAAAGAGCTCAAAATAAGCGTTTTGAACGAGGAGCTATACTAAGTAAAGATGGTCCAGGGTAAAGTATTCGCAGCCGTATCGATAGCTAATATTGTATTGGGAGCTAATGCGTTAGTGTTAGGCCCTAGAGCAGACACAACCACTGCAGCAGCAGCAGCAGCGGCAGCAGTTACGACTACAGCAGCAGCAGCAGCGGCAGCGGCAGCAGATACAACAACAGCAGCAGTAGCAGCAGCGGCAGATGATACAACAACTGCTGCAGGGGCTGCAGCCACAACAGCAGCTACGACTACAGCAGCAGCAGCAGGAGCAGCAGCAAACACGGCAGCTACCACAGCTGCAACAACAACTGCAGCAGGAGCGGCAGCTACCACAGCAGCTACCACAGCAGCTACCACAGCAGCTACCACAGCAACAACAGCAGCAGCAGCAGCAGCAGCAGCAGCAGCAGCAGCAGATGATGATACCACTGCTACCACAGGAACGGGAACTAAAACAGGTACTTCAACCAGTAAGACAAGTACTGGAACAGTCTCTGCGAGCGTCACTGCTGTCACAACTACTGCTGCAGACACAGGTGATGGTATTGGAAATGCCGCTACTGATGATTTGACTTTTATCACTACCATGACTAAAGCATCGACCACGTCTAAAGCTGCTGCTGCTACTGCTGCATCATCAGCTTCATCGGCAAACGCAGGTGCTTCAAACAACTTTGCTATGGGAGGACTCGTTGTAGGTGTAGCTATGGCCGCACACGCTCTTATATAGGGTGAATGAATAGACAAGAGAAGGTGTCTACGTTCATATTTATACCATAGTTTAGGGAAACAAAATTACGCTTATACCATAAAACAAAAGGTTGTAGACATAGCCCAATACGCTTTACTCTGAAGATATAGCTGCTTTACCTTGGTGTTATATGTAGGTACCTGTAAGCGAAACGAGCCAACTAAAAAATAAAAAATAAAAAATAAAAAATAAAAAAAAAAAAAAAAATTGTTAGTCAAATGAAAAAGAAGCCAGTAGCACAAACTAGCACTTTCGCCTCAAGTTGATCACAGTTTTAGCCCTATTAACAGTGCAGACATGAGTAGGTGGAGTCTCGGCTTGCAAAGTGTTGGGCTCAAGTGCCTTGGACGCAAAAAGGCATGTTTTTCTATCCATAAGCTAGGTGGTTCAGTACTGTTTTACTCCACCGATTCGAAATTTCACTATGTCTCTGACTACAAGTCATTGAGCTCCAAGATAGATGCAGAAATTTTGTCCAGAACACTGGGAAACGTACAGCCAAGTGAAGTGGTAGATGCTATACGGGCGTGCAGAGATCTTTACCACTCCATAAATAACTACGACAAGTTTTGGGAAGACTCGACAAATATACATATCAGTGAGAAAATCGTAGAGATCTTGGAGAGTGACAAGGTTACCTTCGACGAAGAAACTTTGAAGGAAATTCTTCTCTTACAGCTACCCACCACTACCAACATATCAATAATAGAGGCGTTTTATAAGAAGAACCCCAAGGCATACATCCATAAGGAGATTGGGCTCATTCCATTAAGATCATCGCTCTTCAACGGGGACTTGCAGAACGCATTGAAAGTCACCGATTTGACCTGTGCCCACCCAAACTACATAGCATACAAGAACAGGGAATTGAGAGTGGGTGTTGTGCAGTTGTTTACTACCACGATTGGATTGGGAGCATTCTCGAACTTTGCAGTATCGTACGGACTTCAAATGGAATACATCCCGGCAGCTTGGGCTTCTATGTCTTCGGTGTATGTGATGCTTGGTGCATACATATTGAACTCGTCCTTCTTTGCTGCAGTGGTGAAGTTTGGTAGAGCGGTGGTTAGAGGCGGTGGGGACTACTTAACTTGGCAAAAGGGGACCTTTTACACTCATTGGTGGAGGCATGCTGACGAGATGATGATGTGCTCTAAGATCATGGAAACCGACGTTGCCCTTAACGGAACTGGAAGCGCATCGCAAGGGCTCATCGAAGAGTTATGTCGCACTGACGAGACATTGACTAACGGAAGAACTTTACAACCTGGGTACACCAGAGATGGTAAGAAAGTTAGACTTCTTGCTCCGAAGGACAATTTGAACGAATTGATGTTGCAGGCGTACTGGATGAGCGGTGGTGAAGGGTTTGAATGGGTCGAAGCTGACCAAGACCCGGCAGATATAATATGGAGAGATCACTTAAGTAAGTTTGATAAACCGTTCATCAGAGAGAGTGACGACAAGAAGAACTTAAAATGGGCCGATGAACTAATTGAAAACTAAAAATCGTTTAAATAAAGTTATGTACATAGTAAGTAAGTAGAGAATGGTAAAGGTTTTTATTTATGTGCGTACTAATGTAGTTAATAATGTAGTTATTAATGTAATTATGACCGTTACCTACGCGCCGGACTCGGCACTGATATTCTCCTCCCATTCATTCTGCTCGGCCACCTCCTGTCTTGTATTTCTCCACAATGGGATTAGCCTAATGTCATAACCGGTTTCCAACTTCAATTCTTCCCATGGCTCAAAGTTGAGCCAGGCCACTTCAAATTCTTCATCACTTTCCAAGCCGTGGTTTCCAAGTATTATGGGAGGCTTGGTATAGCCCTCGCTGTAATGGACATCACCCTTACCTTCCAATATCAAGTCAATTCTTTCTGCTTTGTTTAGCTCATTGACATTGGCCAATTCTCCTGCTAGTAAGCTATCACGACTCTTAACGTTTGTATCCTTTAGCTGTTCGTATATTTCCTTGTATCTACCCTTCTGTGCCAAGTTGGCTATCAACTTTGCTGTGGAGCTGACTCCTGGAGCAGTAACTGGCGTGGCTCCTATCACAGCAGGCTGCTGTGAGCGTTTCGAAGCGTTTTCCTCCATATTTATGCTGTTCACAATCCACCTTTCCACCTTCTCGTTCCACTCTTTGAACGACATTGGCTTGTAGTACCCTGTAGCACCAAACCACCAACTTGGCACATCGCCGTTCTTGGTGGCCACTTTCCTATAATATTTCGCCTCTTCCAACCACGGATCGTACGGGACTATGAACCGGGTGATTTCCAACCCAGACTGGAATATTAAGTACGAGCCACCTAGCACACACGAGTATTTGGTGAGCTTGCGCTGGAATGTGTTGGGTATACCAAGACTCAATAGCCTTGATTTACGAAGCTGCCTTGCTCTGGAAAACCCCACGCACCCAATGGTAATCTGCAATGCAGTAAGAAAATAAAGCGCCCCTGTGTTATCAGCAGCGGGCACTAGTGGGCCAAAGAGCTTCAACCCAAGACTGGGGTTCTGAGGGAAGAACGATGAGGGATCGGGGATGGTGATAATTGTGCCGCCGCCACCTCCACTGGACCCTGACCCAGAGGACCCTGAAGAGCCTGAGCCTGAGCCTGATCCTGAGTTACTACCGTCGCTGGGGGGTGGTATATATACTCCCATGACTTATGTGCTCTTCTTGTGTTATGCTTGCTCAGTCACACAAGATGATAATCCAGAATACACAGTTAGCAACTGCACTGTCCTATTCCAAGCGTGTTTCCTTTGAGTTCTTTCTCTTTCACAGGCCACTGTAGTTCACCCTGCGTAGAAAACAATGGAAAACTTAGCAATTGGCGTGATCTCTGCTGAATCTAGAGTAGTCTATCGTTGTGCTTGCCTTCTGTTCGGCTTTTGACTATGCGCATTTTGAAATCGCACACAAAATTGTGCATCACCTCTGCTCAGTGGTACGCTGCACCAGTGCAAGAGCACAGGAGGAAGAGACAGAGATAAGACTACAGAGAACGGTAAAAATATCGCCTGGTATTGTTTGCCGAAGGGTACGCTACACAGGCTACATGACTAGAGACAAAATTACGGAGAATGGCAGGAACATGCCATGGTATTCGACGAATATCGAGTGCTACGAAGATATTTTCATTTCTTAATTCTTTTTTTTATTAAAGTTTTCGTTTATCTTCTTAATGTATTGTTTAATGACGGTTCTAGAAAAATAGCAATGGCTGAATGGAAAGAGAGACCCCGAAGAACAACAAGAAAGAAGGAAGTTGTACATGAAACATTTAATAGTCTATATTTGAATCAGATGTGTTCTTACTCCCTTTGCAGTGTTTATTCCTATCCTTTCTTACTTTCTTCCTTTTCTTCATCCTTTCTTTCTTTCTTTAAACTTTTCTTTTCATTCTTGCGGCCTCACAGCTCCTCCATTGCCAGCCATTTCAATTCTATTTTATATTCTCTTTCCTGTAGATCTAGGCTTCATCAGCGTACAACTGTTCCTTCAAGTCAATACCTAATTCTTTTCTAACGTCCTTCAATTCTTCTAAGTAAGCTTCGTATTGAGTGTTGTTTTCGACCTTGTGCTTTAAAGCTTCGAAAGTTCTAACAGCGGTTGGGTAGTCGTTGACTCTTCTACAGGCTTGTAAGGCCTTTTCGATGACAACTGGGGCTGGTACCAAATCGTACGAGAAACAGTTGTTTAAGATTCTTTGAACTTCGAAAAGATCGTATGCGTTTTCAAATTCCTTTTCGTATCTAGAGCTGTTAGTATTACTTATTCAAAACATATATGAACATAACTTGTAACAAGTAAGTGAAATAAAATAAAAAAATAAAAATAATTAAAAAAAAAAAAAAAAAACATAGACGCTCTCTTTTTGTCCCTAAGACTCCTCCAGCTTATGGTGGTTCAGTGGTTAGGGAGAGACAGTCAATGGGGCCATAAATCTAGCAATTTCGAGCCAAATATGGACCCTATTGACTCGAACGGTCCTCTGGTATACTTCTTCACCCCCCTTTTGTACCCTTATTGTCTTACATACCTAACGGTGAATTCTTCAAATGTTTCCTCGTGATGATCAGATGAATAGTTTCTTTGGAATCTCATCATCATTGGTCTGGAAGCTAAGGTTGGTCTAACGATGGCTCTGGCGGCAACTGGTGCTCTCAAGGCATTACGGATTGAGGAGGAGATCATTGTATCACGTTTAATATTCTAGTTGTCTTCTTGTAATGTGGAGAAAGATGAATACCAACTGGTCGGTTACGTTCAATTTTATAACTTTGTTTCTTATAAAAACCTTTTGTTAATTGGATCGTACGAGTCGTGTGCGGGAGAGAAAAAGCGCTTCCAAAAAAATTTCACTGCTCCTACTAAGACGCTAGGAGAGAGAGACTGAGAGAGCTGAGAAGTACGATAGGCATTTCGTATATATGAAATTTTTGAGCTAAATTACAATGCTCCTTTACGATTTGTGCAATTCTGGAACATGGTCTACATATTCACATCAGAATCCTGAATTTACACCAAGTATTCTACTCTTCCATTTATTCTCTCTATTCACACTTAGTGCAGCCATCCAATGAAATCGCACCAATTTTGGTTCGTCTGGGACACATGCAGGAGACATTCTTATGACAAAAAATCGTTAGATAAAAACTAACCGGTAAACTGCATGGAATGATAATTAAACCACATTTGCATATTCTTTGACAGCATACATGTACGAATTGCTGCAAAATAAACTTAATTCAGTAGACACTTGTAGCAAGTAAAAAAAAAAAAATAGAAAAAGGTTAAGATGTTCTTTCTATCCCGTAGAGTGGTTGAACCTAGTCATCAGTCTTTCTTGCTTCCTAGATCTCTTTGTTACACCTAGTTAACGTCTTCCCTGCTTCTAAATCTCTTGGTCGTGCTAAATTGTCCCTTTCGATTGTCACTCTTTCTGCGCGAGAAGTCGTTGGACTCTCTTTTTCTTGTATTTGTTCTTTTCGCCTTGGAGCTGGACTTGTTCGACGGAGGTTTCCAATTGGGAAGCTGCCTGATATCAATTTTGATTTTCCTTGATCCGACACTTTTATTTAAACTGTTGGCTTTAGAGGGAAGATTAAGCTTAATTTGCACCCAAGATTTCGTGCCAATCCCGTTTGAATTTATTTTGATCGAATTGGCTGGCTCTTTCACAAACATGTAGCCATTGTGGTTTCGCTTGTAGAAAGTGGAACAGTAATCTTCTTGGTAGACCTGCTTTGTATTATCTTGCGCTAATAAATATTGTGTGAAAACCTTGTTCACTGGGTGTGAAGAATCCAATGAAGTCTTGGAGAAACCTTTTATGGTGCTGAATTTCTGTGGGAGATTGACAACACATTTGGAAGGATGTATCTCTTCCTTTTCTGTGTAAACCAGTGAGAGGGGAACTGTGAAGATGCTGATTGGACTTGGAGATGGCCCAAATATTAATTTTGTCCTTTTCGCTTTTGCCTTGGCCTTTGCATGTTCCTTTTTGTAAGCTTCTTGCAGAGCAACTGTCTTAGAATCTCTAATTTGAAGAGGTTCATTTTCTACAATAATAGGGTAGCCTTTTGTAGCCGGAGGCAGCTCGAGAATCCCCAACCCTTCCGTAGATGACGTACCAGGAATGGAAGTACTAGCTTGATTGAAGTAGGTAGGTATAAATGAGGGATTATTGACCTTTGTCAGGTAGATATTACGAGTAAGAGGTGAATTGTAAGATACAAAATTCTGAAACTCCTTTTCTTTCATATTGTCTTCAACAAACAGACTATCCACAGACAAGAATGACGGTGTGTACATGGTCGGATCAGATTCTTCTTGAGTAAGATTCAAGTTGGGTGTCAAATTAATCTTAGAAGAAGTATTATTCCATATGGAATTAGTTCTAAACGATTTAGAGTCTATTTCGTTCTCTTTATCGTCATTATTGATTGAGAGCATATTCAAGCTATCATTTAGCTTGGCAGATGCCACTGCTGTGATATCACTGGAAACATTTCCAGAGCTTACTAGTAGATTGCTTGCAATCAGATTATCAATCAGAGAAACTGGCCCAGCCGTTTGCAGATTTGGAGAATGTCTCAATGGGTTAAAAAAATTCGATCCTAGACCTTGTGGAGGAGGATTTCGAGGACTGAATGGCGAGCTCATAAATGAACCATTCATACCATCAGGAATGAAATTCGAACCATCGTTGATTCTAGGTGTATATTCATTTGAATTGGTAGGGAAGAAATTACTGGTTTTCTTTTGAGATACCGACGGAGATGATTCTATGCCGGGTATTAGATTGGAGTCCAACTCCATCTTAGACATCTTGATTAGCCGAAGTTTATGTGTATGTATGGGTTGTTCCTGACTCCGCGTATGTGTGTAAATTATTTCGGAGTTGGCCAGTTACTGCTATATCCAGATCCGTGCGAGTGGAAGTGGAAGTGGTAGTTTCCCGGACTCTTGATTCGCAATAACCTGCTGTTTTACCGTCGCTTAGTCTGTCCAAGAGAGTACGTGCCAGTTTCAATATCTGGCAGCTCAAACTTTTAAATTGGGGTAAACTAAAAATTGTATTACCCTTTAAATTTGTTATACCCGGGGTTAAGATAATAATACCCTGTTCTTGCCCTTTTAATTAATATCAATAAAAATTTTTTTATTCCACCTTACTTAAGTAGTGCTTGTCTACGGGGTTATTTTTCTGCTCTTGTCGTACAATTCAATGGGATCGATTATTTTTCTTCGGTCAATTTCTTTCCTTTTCTTATTGTTAATATTTTTAGCACTCCTTCAGTTTATTCTTCCTTGCTTTTCGTTAATTTATCCCACTGTGATAGCCCTTCTTCAATGTGAAAAAAAAAAGATCCACTACTCTTGGTGCATATGCGCTTCTCCTTTACCCTTTCTGCAGCGCCGATATCTGCTACACATACAGAACAGAGCAATATGCAGGCACAGAATAATAGATTAGTTCGCACTCCTTCTCCATTTAATTTTAATACACTCTTGTTGATTTGTAATACAGTTACCTGTTCTTACATAAACAATAGCTTGTATTGACCGGCAATCCACTGCTCAGAACTGAAATAGAAAGAAGAAACTGCTACAACATCGCTGTGCTATACAAATAGAATAGCTGCAAAAAAACGATAAAGAAGAATTTTTTTTTCTGGTAAAAGTGGCAAGTAAGAAAAGAAAACAACAGGAGAATATTTAGAATAGACTATTTTTTTTGACATATAAGGCTTTGAGAGGTTCAAAAAATATCTCAAGTATCATATCTTGCAAGAAAAACAAAAACAAATCTGAAAATCTTATTAATTGATTATAAATCAGTTAATTTTGAGAAACAAGTTGAACTACATAGAATTGGTGTATAGCAGCCATGAACACTGGATATAGCACGTGGAACGACAAGGAGATAAAGGACGCGGGGCAAATCGACCCTTCCTTTGATAGACACCAGGATGCAGTATTTCCCAGTGTTGTTGATGTAACAGCTGCTGCAGTGGCGAATGTTCAGCAGCAAGACCTGCAGTCACAGGCACAACAATCACAACAGGGCCAGCAGGGCCAGCAGGGACAACAGATCCAGCAGGGGCAACAGGACCATCAACAGCAACAGCAACAAGAACAGCGGGCCAATTCGCTTACTCATCACCTACAACATTCAGACTCACCTCCACTCCATGACGACTTGAACGATCATGGAGATAAATTGAAAAGGAGACCAGTATCCAATACCAAGAGAGCTGCTCAGAATAGATCTGCACAGAAAGCGTTTAGACTAAGGAAAGAGAAATATATTAAAGAGTTAGAAGACCAAGCAATTGAGGTGCAGCAATTGAAGCAGACAATTGAAGAGCTAAGAGCGGAAAATTTACAGCTACGTGACTATACATTAGCATTACAAAGTAGGGTGATAGAATTATCACCTAGCCATCCACCACAACAGGGACAACCAGATCACGTTCCGGCCCCACCAGCTGCTGTCTTTAACAGCGGTAATGCCAAAATGTTTAGCCAGGATAAATGAATGAACAAGGTAGCCGCAAATGGTAATTGTCTTCCTTAAGTATCACACAAATTACCTTGAACCCACTGACTGAGTGATGATATTATGCAAAATAAAAAAATTATAAAACAAAAAAAGAGAAATTGCAAGAATCTGATACAGAGCACGAAAAACCGGACCGAACCAAGCCTGCTTCAATATGAAAGCGATATGTATATATATGAACCTCACCTAATATGTAAAATTAATAAAATAACTTATTGAAATAGATATGCCTAATAGAAAAAGAATACACAAAAGAACATACAAAAGAAATATATTACTAAGAGAATAACTTCAAACAAACGGGCTAATGGAACCTTCAAATGAAAAGCTGTGAAGCAATTACGAGCGCACTGATATACTCTACACAGGGCCATACGTGATTCGGGGCTTACCTCAAACTGCAACTAAGAGTCATAGTATGCTGTACCAGCTGCTCAAAGCAATACGAACTGCGAAAAAGGCAAAGTCATAAGAAAATTCCGTGCTTGATTTTTTTTGGTACGTCTCGTACTACTGGAGCGCCGTTCGGTGTGATCAAAGAAGGTGAAATTCATGCACTTGAAGCAATGACAAAGAAAAAATAACACCGATTTGGCGCATTACCAGGGTCAATTTTTGCTTCCAATGTATTCTGTAGGCTGCACCGACCGAATAATAATATTAGTATTCTTGGTATTTCATCGTTTTCCACCATAACTACCATCCCACATTGCATGTGGGTCTATAGAAAATAAACGGTTATGAGATGAAGCTTAAACTTTTAGCAATAGATATTCGCAGAAAATATAGTCAGTGAAAACTTTAATTCTATAGTTAGCAGTTTAGCTGAGTGGCCCCAAAACAGAGAGTCAGCATAACTTAGATGAAATGAAAACTTTATGATTGAAATCAAATTACCCTTAATACTTTAAATCGCTGTGAAGCCCGCTTAGGTAACAAATCATATAGAGCCTTCACTGTATGCATAGTGCTGTGAGACAGGGCAAGGACATCCCCCACGGTTTTCTGATTTTGTTTCGTATGGGCGGTAAATTTTTTTTTTCTCCCTAATGCTTATACCTCTCACCGGACCGGCGTGTAAATTCGTAGATAACAGCCATAAATAGCGAGAAGTGGCTAAATCTTGCAAATCTTGCACGGCACCCACCGCGGAAATAGTGAGGAGTGATATGTATGAGGAAACAAAGAATTAGACATTTAAGGCTTTTTGATTTACGAAAAATGTGTACAGCATCCTGTGAGGCACAATGATAATGAAAAAAAGGGAAAATTGAGTACAACTGTATTGGAAATCTATAAACAATTCTTCTCATCCTTTTATTTTTCTTTTTAATTATTATTGTTCATCAAACTTTGGTTTCTTATATCTTTCTTGTCAGAGATTTTTGTGCACTGGTTGCACTATAGTAACAGAGGAAAGGTAGCGTAGTGTTCTGGAAGCATACGCTTGAGACTAATTGAATATTTTGGTACAAGATCATAGCTTGATTTTCTTACTTGATTTTCACTTTTATATAATTTAACTCCAAACACTTTAATTGCTTGTCATATATTTTGCACATGGATAATAGGAGAATAGAGAGCTTTGAGGAATTTTTTAACCAAATTGAGAGTTCCTCACTTAACGATGAATCAGGACCATTTTGTCCTCAGGATTTGCAATGTATAAGTAGTACGAGTCAGAAATATGGTCAGGATTTACAAAATGGAATGGGGATTACGCATTCTAGGTTTCACAGACAAAGACGAGTGTCGCTTAGCTTCCTACCATTCTGTGATTTAAATAGTACAATAGCCATACCTTGCTGTTCAGGATTAGATGACAAAGAATTTGACTCAGAAGACCTCAGAAAAAAGTGTGAAAGTCCTGCAAAGAAGAGCGAAACAAGGAGAGGGAAGGAATCAAAGTCAAAGCATGCTATTGTAGCTAACACTAGGACAAATACCACCCCCCATAATAGCACGGAGACAAGCATTGTAGAGAAATCCACTGCGGTTTTAGCCGCTGGGCCCGAAATTCACACAACTGATCCCCTGCTTATCATAGGACTACCTGAATCAATAATAGACGTAGAGCAAACCAACATTGACGAATCTGATGAACAAATTTGCTTTCTGCTCGGTCGGAACAGTTTAATACTAAATACATCCCCATATGAAGAATATAGAAAACACTCAATATGCTCCATGTCAAGCGTATCTGATACTGAAGAGTCTGAAGAAGTTGACGTTGTAGCATCATCATCAAATCTCAATCCCATCGTCCCAGATCTATTTCCCAAAATGGATCTAGATGACGATGAACAATTTATGAAGTTCAACAAATTACCACTAACGCCTGCATATGTGTCTAAATAAGACAATAAATAAACCAAGTATATAGATATATATATATATATATATATATATATTAAATTATGAATATATACTATTTAAATACTCTCTATAAAGCACTAGCTACTGTAGGTGTGGTAGCAGAGGCTGCGTAATTTTTGAAGATCTCTGCGTAAATTTCAGCACATGCGAAAGTGAAAAATTTTGGTGAATGAAAATACAGAAACAAAAATTTACGTACAAGCACTGTTCATTGGCATCCCCCATACTTGTTAGCCCGTAATATGATTTCTTCGTCTTATGCCAGACCGTTGAGGTATTTAGGAAGATATTACTCCACTAAGATCTGGAGTGACTTCTCAAAGAGATCGGAAACTTTGAAACTCATAGATCCAAAGTATGAAAAAGATCTTTTGCAGGGAATCAATCCTGATCAAGGTCCCAACTCTTTAGTTCAACCAGATAGAAGACTTGCATACCATTCGCCTGTGGCCATTGATGAAACGTTCAAGTTGGCATACGAATACTTAGAAGGTGAAAGTGCCAAAATTTACGCAAAGATTGACGATAAGAAGTCCGTCGAAGAAACTGATCGCCTCTTGGTGAAAGCCGAGCAGTACAACCCAGAAGTTCTCTTTAACATCGAGAATTCTCCAACTCAAATCGACAGAGAGCAGCCAGTGTATAGGAAATACTTGCAGGAAAAGTGGGAATCTCATGATAGAATGCTTTCCATGCAAAGGTTGGAACAATTACATGTTATCCCAGACACCATGCCCACCTTGGATCCTAAAGTGGAAGTTAAAGTCAAGTTCCCTCATAACACCGTCTTGGAATTTAGCGAATGGATTGAACCAGGTACGATATTACCTGCCTTTGCTGTGGACAAGCCACCTACTATTCAGATCCAAGAGTTTGACAGAGTTGCTGAAAACCTGTTATACACCGTGCTCTTGGTGAACCCAGATACTCCAGACTTGGAAACTAATACGTTCAAGACCACCTTACAATATGCATTGACTAACGTCCCATTATCAAACAGTAATAACGTCGTAGGAACCGCCAAACTTTTGGATGATGATTTTGCAAAGCAACACGTTGCCAGAGAGTATGAACCACTTGTACCTGAGAAGAATGCCCAACTCCAAAGAGCATGCTTATGGGTTTTCCGTCAACTGAGTGGAGAAATAAAGGCATCTATAGGTGAAGAAGACAACTTTGACATTAGAGAGTTTGCACAATCGAATTCTTTGGAGGCAATTGGTGCACATGTTTGGAGACAACAGTTTGATAGATCCGTCAATCAAGTCAGGCAGGAATACGGATTACCCAATGGAAGAGTATTCCATAGAGTAAGAAAGGCACACCCGGTAATCCCAGCTGGTACCAGTAACGTCGTATAGGGGGGAAGAATGAATAAGGAACGTGAGAAATAAATATATTCATGTTCACTGTAAATAGACAATATAAGTACATCAAATGTAATACGCCATCGGACACTGTAGCCTGACTTACTCCAATTCACGCTTCAGTAGTGTTCTCCACTGCTCAGCTTACCTTCCTAGAGAGTTAATTGCACTCACCTCTGGTCACGTGCCACCAATATGGGTTTCAAGAAAAAAATCAGAACTGAAAAAATCACTACACTAGAAATGAATTCAAACCCATGGCAGTTTGCTGGATACATGAATACTGTATTAGAGAAGTAGTACAATGACAGATGTATGTTGCCTTTAGTCTATTGGTTTCTCTTATTTCCAAGTTAAAAAATTTCTCTCCTCTTTACTAACTATTTTAGATAAACGAAATCAGAACTCGTTTGAAGCAGTTGAATGATGATGCTTGGTCTGGCATTGAAGTCAAAAGCACAGGGAAACTTGACTCTTCATTGAAGAAAAACACAGCCTTCGCCAAAAAGATAAGAGTCTCGATGAACCATGAGAACTTACAATCAACATTGAAGGACATATATGGCTTATCGTTGGAGAAGTATCTCTCTGAGATTTTAGCGGCGGTCACCGAAGGACTTCTAAGGGTCGTGAAACCTGAAGATATAATAGCGACCATGGAGATTGTTTCAGCATTGAATCAGAGATTCTGTAGCACATTTAGCCCACAACTCTTGGCCAACATTTTAAACGTAATGGCCAGACAACAAGCATCTCCATTACCAGTAACCAAACAGAAATCGATGCTCAGGCTAATCACGGAGTTGAACATCATTGGAGTGTTTAGGACTTTGGGTGACTTATCCTCGAACGATGAGGTGCTATCCCCGTTTATTGTAAAGAATTTTGCCAAATTGGAGAAGAAACAAGTATGTGTAGTTGTGTTGAGGGATTTGTTGAACGATGATGTAATGAGTGGGAATACATTACCGATAGCAGTTGGTTTCTTGAGGAGATTCCACACAATTCTATATGGAACAGAAGGGGCCGAACTACACACGCTAGACGAAAACACAACTGCTGAAATCAAGCACATTTTCGAAATATACGCACAGGCCAATCTCAAGGCATTGATTCAAACGAACGAGAAGTCAAAGTCCCTTGAAATTAAAATAAAAAAGACTTCAATTAGGACAGGAAAAATTCCAGAAAATTTGACTATGGAGAAAGAGCAGTTGGATGAAAGATTCTCGAACATGAAGAGTGCCTGTCAATTTTTTGTTGAGGTGATTAAGAAAACAAACGACGGTTTCGAGCTTAGCATGCCCGACCTTTCCTACGATCCCAAGGACGAAGAGACTGATGACTCTGTGGTAGAGGTGGTTAAAAATAAATCTGGCGAAGATGATTCTGGCGTATGGGAGAGCATAGAAACCAAGAATTTCTATACTAGAATTCCAGATCTCACGGACGTAGGCGACACAGCTGTGCCATCGTCACCCATGATGTCATCAGATGGTGAAAGAATGAGAGATTTCATTGCAAAACTTGAGATTGTATCTACTGTGAGTGAAATCGACAACTTAGCTGAAGAGTTTTTGACCTCAAAATTGAATAATAAAGCATCGAAAAATCGTATATTCAAATACTTCCTTGAAACCCCAGAGATATCAAGGTTAAAGTTTTTCGCGAGATTTATGGCAATCCACCGTAACACACTAGGAGAATTAATCAATGAACTAGTCGAGTATGTTGACAAAGGGTTCAGAACCCAAATTTATAACTCCAACAGTAGGTTGAACTTCAAAAACATTTTCTTCTTCTGTGAATTAATCAAATTCAACTTAGTCCCTGCACACGTCATTTTTCACAAGATTCGAGCATTAACATTGAATGTATCATCCACCAACAACTTAGATATCCTATCCGTGTTCTATGAACAATGCGGTAGGCTCTTGTTATACGAATCGGATTACAAGGAGACCATGAAGGAAATGATCACATTATTGAAAGAGAAGAGAAGTAACGAGCAGTTTTCAAGTAATGACAAAATAGCCTTTAACAATTTATTGGTCATCGTGGAGCCTCCTGTAGTTAACACTAAATCGAATCCATTTGAGGAGCATGTTGAATTATCGCCTTACCAACAATTTCTCAATCATTTGATAAGGTTCGAATTGAATGAAGAGAACGTTAAATTAATCATTCAATTGATTCGTAAGATGGATTTTGAAAAATCGCTCGAGCTAAGAGAAACCTTGGAAACTAATTTGTCACTGCCTGAATTGGTCAACTATGACAGTTTGCCGTATTTGGCAGTTGTATTGCATAAGCTCTCCTTCCATCGTCCTACTAAATGGTTAAATGCATGTGTTATAGACTCAGTAATAGAAAAAATTATGAGAGGATTAGAATTGACTGATTATAGACTTAATAGAGGAAGAGTGGCTCATGTTCGATATCTAGCGGAGCTTTATAACACAGGATCTGTCGATTGGAAGCTAATCATGAATATCTTGTATAAGATTCTCAATACGGGACATGCTAATAACCAACCAGTACCTATGAGTTACAACGTTGAAACCGACTTGCCTGCTAATTATTTCAGAATTCAGTTATGTTGTGTCTTGCTAGTGAACATAAAAAGAGAAGCTGGTTTACCTAAACGTAAGTCTACAGTGAGGAAAAATATGAAAAAAATTGCTTCAGAAGACTTGCACCAGTTCATGTGCTATTTTGAATACTACATATTCACTAAGAAGCAACCAATCCCCATCGAAACTGAATTTAAGATTAGCGATTTGATTGAGAAATTATATGATGGACAATATGAGAGAGCTACAAATATTAACGGGGCCATTGTTAAATTGCAGGCCATAATTCAAAAGCGAAGTGAGAATCAAGTGAAAAATGAAGAATTAGAAGAAGAAGAAGAGGAGGAAGAAGAAGAAGAAGAAGACGAAGACGAAGACGAAGACGAAGAGGAAGAAGAAGAAGAGGAAGAAGAAGAGGAGATATTAGTAGACGTAAATGGTGACGATTTTGACATTGGAGTTGAAGTGGACGAGGATGAAGACGATGATGAAGAAGACGAAGAAGATGATGAGGATGACGAGTATGACGACATAGATGTTGACGAAGAAGATGACTTAGAAGGTGATGAAGAGGACGACGAAGAGGATGATGAAGATACCCAAGATTCCTCGTCAGACTCGGAATCTGACTCAGATTCTGATGATGAGGTATCTGATGAGTCAGATTCAGAAATACCGCTTTCATCAGAGGATCAAAAATTGGCTGACGAACTAGAGAAAGATTTTCAAAAGCTTGTTTTTGATTCCTATGTTCTCAACAAAAGTAATACTGGGAGAGGTAATAATAAATTTGCTGTTGCAATTCCGTCCAAGAAAGTCATTGAAACTGCTTCTCAGTCCACTGCTGAGCAAGATAGTAAGCATACACCGTTTACACTCATTACCAGGAAGGGTAAAAAGACAAATGCCACTCAAGTCTTACTTCCTGATGATTCTAAACTTGCTTTAACTAAGAAAAGAGGTGATGAAGATGAAAAAATTCATAGAGAAAGAATCATGCAATTGGTGAGCAATATGGATTAACTTTGTACATAGAGTTGTATATATATAAGTATTAACATTTACGATTGATGATCAGCACGCCCTAATTACCTTACAGGAACACTTTTATTTCTTTCTGTTATGATTTCGCTTCTATCTATTTAACTTTTGCAAAAACTACGGTAATATCATCTTCTTTTCCTCCTAAGTACTTCTGGCCCGTGAGTCTTGACAATTCTTGCGCAAATGCACTTGGATAATTTGTATCTTTGGATAATTTAACTACTTGAGTGACAAATTCTGATGTAACTTCATTCAACAATTTCCCTCCTTCTTCCGATACGTTCATATCTTTCAAGAAAATTTCAATGTCTCCAGGAACGATGTTATCGGTGACTCCATCGGTAGCAAATATTATGACATCACCCTTTTGTACGTCCCAAGAGTATTCATCGGCCATTTCTGGAGAGTCTATTATATAACGACGGCCCTGTAATTCAGCTTGCCTCAATATTTGCTTGGGGATCTTAGCCAATTGGAATGGCGTATTGAAGTTGTGAGTTTGAAAGTTAGTCTCCTTAATAAGTTTGTAATCTCTGAACACACCACACCAGGAGTCTCCCAAATTAGCCACTTTCAACTTATAGTCAGGGGTGAGAATCCCCAAGCATGCAGTGGTACCTCCAATTTCTACCTTTGGAGACTTCAATATATCGGAAAAGGCAACTGAGAGGAGTTGCTTAGGAGAGTACTCAGTAGAAGCGATGCTCTCTTGCTCGAAAATCGCCTTCATGGAAGAACAAAGTTCTCTAGAGATAGCTGAGGAGTCATAACCAGCTTCTGACCATCCTCCAACACCATCCGCTACACCAAGGGCAAGATATCCGGAGGAATTTGGAGCAGAAACGAAGAGATTGTCCTCACCCGTAGGAGACTCTTGAGCGGGAGTCTTTGAAGTTAATTTATTATTTCTCTTAAACAAGTTAGTTTCCTCTCTATCTTTCGGTTGGTATGCTACTGAGATATCGTACTGGAACGAGTCTGGGATCGAGTTGGGGTTGTAGTTGGAGCTAGCAGCAGCAGCGCCAGCACCGGCAGCAGCACCAGCAGCAGCAGCCGCGGCTCCATTGACTCCACTGTTGGAATTCGACCAAGTGAAGGATGAAAAGCTGAAAGAGCGCTTCAGAATTGTACCACGAAGAGCACTTCTGGTGATCTGGGGAGTTACTAATAAAAGGAATGTTAGTAGAGCATAAAAAGAGAAGCGTCAAGTGTTCCAGCGTACCATGTACATTTTGGAAGAAGAGACGAACGAACAGTGAGCTACAGTGGAGCGAGGTATAACCATAGCTTACGTCCCATTTCCTTATACTTACCCCTCTTGGTAATACCGGAGACCAACATTGCAAGCAAGAAGATACTCAAGTACAGAATAAGTAGCCTAAAAGATTGTTTCTTTGGGTATGAAATCTGGGGTAGCACCATTGCTTCCTGCGAAGGCTTGACTATTTTAATCAATGAAATAAAAAAAAAAAAAATCACAGCAAAAAAAAAAAAAAAAAAGAAAACGGTACTGCAGGTTTAGCTTGACTTGCATAGTAGCGGAAACAAATCCTTGTTAAGCTAACAAACCAAACCCAATCCTGCATAGGCACCAACCAATCAGACGGTAACTTGTATTTTGAAAAAAGAAGAAATTTAAGGAAATGGAAAAATGAGAAAGAAAGAAATAAAGAAACCAATTGAACACAGTTGGTGTATAGTATAACCATTTGATATAATTGATAATGTCTACCTTTAATGTATTGAGATACTCAGCCTTAGGTGCCGGTGTTGTCTACGGTGCAGTCCACAGATATAACTTGTTTGCTGAAGCTGAACAAGTTGAAGCAGCTGCTCAATTCAAGAAGGAACAAAAATTAATTTCCAAGGCCAAAGCTGAATACGCTAAATTAAACCCACCAAAGAAAGTTGAAACCACCTCAGGTTCTATCAACTGGGAAGATCCAAACTTAGACATTGGTAAGGCTTTGGAATCTTTGGTTCAAAAATTAGAGTAAATGTAACTGAAAATCTGCATCCTACCATTTTTTTATTATTTATTAGTCCGTTATACTTGAAGGTTTGTAGACATTCAACGTACTGACTTATCACTTATGAAAGGACGTGAAACAGGAAAAATGTAAAGAAAAAAAAATATTGAAAAACCAATGAAAAATATCACTTGAAGTGGAAGAAACCTTGACGAAAAAATGCAAAAAAGAATTGAAAATACATTCATCACCATAACCCCTATATATATTGCAGGTTTGGACTGCAAAAATGATGTAATATAGAAAGTCTTTAGAACAATGTATTCAAACATAAGATTAACTTAGCTGACCGAACTGTAGCGCTTTTCTTTTCATTGTAGCATTCACCGGTTGTGATGCTCGGCTGATCGCGCACGTGACTCACCAATTGTATATATATCTCGATTTTATCTGCAATATGCAGGCCGCTAATCTATAACTCTGGCAGGTATACGGGAACACTTGTAAGTCATTGATTATTAATTCTATAGGTACTTAGAACAAGTGGTACGTTTGCATTTTAACTTCTAGGCTGTCGTAGGTAGCAAGATATTCGAAAGATGAATCAGATTATAAAAGTGTGGTAATATATTTAAGTAATGTCTGAAAGTAATACCCCCAAGAGAAGAGTCTTGGGTTCTAATGTTCCTAGTGGGGCTACTCCGAATGAAGAAGTACCTTCGAACCACGAAAATGTGTTGCTTTGTCCCATATGCTCTGAGTCTATGGTATCTCTAAGCCAATTAAACCGTCATATAGATGATATTCACTCAGGGAGTGATCTGGGAGTACTATCCTCGTCATCTTCTCCTGCACCACCGGCATCGGGCTCACCTGTGTCGCCAACGCCTCCGCTCCAAAAGGCACCGATGAACCGAGAATTCTTGAACGGCAGTGTATCAAGATGGCTCAAGAACAATTTTGAGAACGTTGTAGAAACATCGCCTCTAACACTGCCCCAAAAAAGAAAAACAGTCAAGCTAGATCTCTTGGATAAGAACAAGGGTTTCAGCTTGAGTGAATCTTTAACGTCTCCACTGACTTTGAATGTGTTCAACGATTCCGATGGTACTAAAGAAAAGGATATCTCGAAATCACCTGGTAAGCCCCCAACAGCGTCAGCTTCACGAAATAATGTCAATAGATTATCTAGGTCACATTGGCAGCAACCGTCATCGGTCAGTACGGACTATTGTGCTGATCAGACCTGTCACAGAGTGCTAAATATAAAAAATGGTAAAGTCAACTGCAGAAAATGTGGATTACTATACTGCAATGAGCATACATACTACAAAGCAAGATTAAAGAATAATGACACAATACCAAAGAAACCCGAGATACTTTACGAGCCAAGCAAGGAGGGCACTTGGGCCAGAGTATGTAGATCATGCTATGAAGGAAAACCAGAGGACAATGAGCCTTTGACAAATGATTTGACGTCAAGTTTCAAGAAGCAGAGACAAATTCACAACGATCAAAAAGAGTTGCATCGAAATAAAGTAACCAAGAGATTTATCAAATTAGTTAACTTGCATCTGGATTATTACTTATCAACAAAGACGAATCCAGATTTTTGGTTTTCATCTTCAAGCTGGACTGTTTCTCGTGTCTTGGATGAGGAGAAGCAGATAGTAGGTTTAGAAAACTGGCAGCATGATTCTCAAGTTCAGGCATGTCCCTTGTGCTTTTCAAATTTCAACTTTTTCACCAGGAGACATCACTGTAGAGTATGTGGGAGAATAGTTTGTGACGGTTCTCTCAACGATAAACAAATTATATGTTCAATGGATGTACCCTTGAATCTATTTTTGAACAATAAGCTAGCTCATTTGAACTTTTCACCTTTGGTTGTGCAGAATATGAAAGAATTGAAAGAAATACCGGATGATAATGAAAAATTTAGAATTAGGTGCTGCAATGATTGTAAAGATGACTTGTTGCATGACTGGAAACTGAGTAATGACTCTAATAGGGATGTATACTCCAGCTCTTCAGAGATATTCAAATTATATGATCAGCTATTCTTGATAAAGAAGAACATTCATGGGTTGTACCCAAAGTACGAAAAATTAATTCACAGCTATCAAGTCTCTGGAGATTTAGATGAGATCAATAAGCTAAGAATCAAATTGATGTCTTTCTTGAGGGACTTCGAATCTTTAATTGCATTATTCAAGAAATCATTTTTTGTACTCACGAAGCAAAACGTGTTGAAACCGTCAGATGATCTTAGCCTGGACATACAGAAACTTGTAAACAACATTCACCAAAGTACCACAACTTACTTACAAGAGACATTAATCAATATTAAGCAGTTGAGTAATGTACTAAAGGAAAAGGAAAAGAATGAATTGAAAGCACACCAGCAGTACGTGGCAGACGCTGCTGTCAAAAATATTGAATCGAATAATGTTGGTGGGAGTGAAGAAGACAGCATTCAATCTCCCTTATCACCCTCGTCGTTGTCTCCAAAGCCACTTCCTTCTCAGATTCTCGAGCCTGATTTGACTAAAAGACAAATCCGTGAACTTCGTGAAGAACTAATGGTCATGAGTGAACAGAAGTTTATTATACAAGGCTTAATTGAGAAGGTGACTAAGCTGAGGAAATTCGATGAGCTTGCGCCACTAGAAGAGAATAAGACCGAGTTGGATAGGAACATCCAGGATTTGGAGAGAAAGTTGGGAGAGTTTGGATTCTAAAATTAAAGGTGCACAATGTCAATAGGTTATATAACAATCAATGATGAAAAAAGAAAAAAAAAATTGGTTACTTTATTCAAATACGTAGATTTCTATATAGTGTTCTGACTTTATTCTTTATTCTTGATTCGTATTTGGTCTGTCCTATTTCAAGTTTTTCTCTTCTTCTTCCTTTTCTCCATCTTTGGAGAACAGTCCGGGCAGTACCATATTTCATCGTCCTTCGGTGGTGAAGTTATGCCGACACATGCCCAATGGAACCATTCGTACTTACAGTCGTCGTTATCGCACCCAATCATTTCACCAAAGGATACACGTTGACAGAAGCAGTAGAGGTTGTTATCAGCATCTTCGCCATTTGCGCTTCCTGCCCCTCCAGAGCCACCATTAAGAATAGCAGAAGCGGTGATCTGCATACCAGTACCAGCTGGTGCCGATCCCCCTCCAAAGGATCCTGATAATCCAAAAGAGGGACCATCATCTTCTATGTCTTCAGATCTGTTTCTCTTGAGAGGTCTATTATTACTGTTACCTCCGCCATTTATATTTCCGTTACCAAAGGAACCGTTTAGGCTTCCATTTCCTGAAAGTGATGAAGTACCCTTGACAGTCAAGTGTTTACGTTTCTGTATTCTCTTCTGTGCGTTCACACTTCCTGACAGATCAACCGGTTTAGGCGTGGCAGTGCCTGACAAACCATCGCTGATTCCTGTTAACACACCTGCAGAGTCAGAAGCATTGTCAAGATCCATCACATTCTCAACCAAGGGTAATAACCCATCTCGCTCTAGCTTAGTAATATCAGTCTCGAAGTTGCACAAGTGTTTGGAGATCAAAAATAAAGCAGTGTTGGCCAACAATATTTTCTCTTTTTGGATTTTCTTCATCGCTGCCATGTCTTCTTCGATTTTTGCATACAATTGTTGCTCTTTTGGGTGTTTTGTTAGTGTACCATTGGCACGTATGAATTTATGGATTTGTGAGTCCTTCGTCTGACACTTCTTTCTAGTCTCCTGTAGCTGTACATCTTTCGTTTTGAGCTCTTGAAGGAGATGTTTCACTTCAAGCGGAAGGTTAGACAAGTCCTGGGTATACTTGTCCAATACGGTAGTTGTATCCATGCTCTTGTATATGTTCTCACTACTGTTTGTAGCCAATTTCTGTTGTTTTCGCTGTAAAATTTACTCGATTTTTCTTCTTCGATATTACCCACTGGTGTACTATATGCAGGACTGAATCAAACGTATAAGCAGCTGCACTTTGAGTTGTGTTTGAGTTGTTCATTTCTTTGAGATAGCTCATACTGATAAGGAAGTATGGGTGAAGCTGAATTAGATCTTGAGAAGCTATCTCTAGATGATTTCAATGAAGTTTTTGGAAGTTCTTCGAGTGAAACTCAAGTTTTCAAAGAGGACTTGTCTAAGCTCTTCCCCAAGGTTTCTAGCTGGTCACTGACTCGAGAAGGAAATGAAAAGTTGAAGAAATACTTTGATAATGACCCTGTTTCATTTCTTAATGGACTTCTTCGACTCAATGATGTCAACGGAACGTTGTTGTTGTCAATTGTAAACTCAGAAAAAGGTAAGTCAAATGATATCTTGAATACTACATTTGACTCAGTGAGGAAGATCTGCAAGGACAAGTCCAGTACAAAGGAGGAAAGGAAGTTCTTCTTAACTATTACACTTATCTTAATGTCAGAGTTCAATCACCACTCACTGCTACTAGTCCCATCTATTCTAACTTACTTGTCAGATGAAGAACTTTCACCTTTAGTCTTGATGATATTGGTTAGAAACTTACAACAAGATATTACCTTGACTACGAAACAAGTAGAAGACTTTTTCGACACAATTGATATCGAAACCCAATTCTTGGACTTCATAATCACACTTAACAGAATATTCCCATTGTTTCCTCAATTGGCTGCGCAACTATTCGTGGACGAGAAAACCTTGAGCAATACGCTTGCTCAGGTGGCCAAGCTAAGCACAAGTGCCAGCCCAAGTAGTGAACTTACAATCTCCATTCTTAATTTGATCAGTAGCTCATGTGTGACAGATCAATGTCGTACATTTAATGCTAAGCACTACCTCTCGTTGCTTAAATCTGGTACGAAGATGGATGAAGACGATGGCTTGGAGAAATACAGAGAAATAAGAATCCTCTCTACTCTCTGCGTTATTAAGATATGGAACTTCATAGAAAGTGAAAAGTCGAGTAAAGATGGAGAAGATGGAATTCCCGTGGAGAATATGTACCAAATATTGATCTCAGAACTAAAGATATCCGACAAACACTCAATTCAAAGTGACTGTGTTGAAGGTTTAGCGTACTTGACTTTAAATGGACAAATTCGGACTAAGCTAAGACTGGATGAAAACGCCATTGAGAAACTAATATCTTTAGTCAAGGCGCAAGCGATGATACCGAAGGATTTGGCAGATTCTATGAAATCCATTCTGAACGTAAATACTTCCTTTACGTACGGTTTGATATTAATTCTTGCAAACCTTAGCAAAATTGATAATGATAATTCCTCTCCTGACAAAAAGACTAAAAGCTTTTTGAGGAATTTTTCGACTCCAGATCCAAACGCTAAGAAGAATAGTACAAGCAGCGAGAAGAAAGAAGATATAATATTATTTAACAAGTCCTTGTTGATGGACTATAAAGTTATCGAATGTGCATCAAAAGTTAAAGTATATAAGCAGCAAGCTCAGGCTGAAAATGGGATAGCAAGTGGAAGCCATGAATCAAAAATTGCAGATTTGATTATTTCTTTAATCCATCTGATTTCATGTTGTAATGAGGTATTAGTTAAACGTGAATTAATAAAGCAAGGAGCTTTAAAGATTGTTTTAGATTATTTAATTGGTAATTCTAAAGTGACCCCTTCTAAAGCAACCAGACCGATTACAGGGAATCAGGAGGCCCTAGATACCAGACAAAATGCACTTCGGTCACTAGCAAGAATGATTGTATCAGTGAATCCTACTACAGCTTTCAATACCTATGATGTTAAGTCCTGTATTCCATTCTTGACGGAGCTATTGGGCCCCGATATATCAGAATATACTGGCTCTATAAATGCCCCAGCCAACGACGAATCGCATTACTTACATGACTTTACGAACCTAGACAAGTTCGAATCTCTTTTGGCTTTGACCAATCTATCAGCAGACACTTCGAACGAAGACTTGAGGCATTTAATTATAAATAAGACTTTCGAAAAGTACATAGGCAATTTCTTGCTTGAGACTGACATCCCATCTATTCAAAGAGCAGCATGGGAATTGATTTCAAATCTTATTACTGATCCAATTTTGTTGGCTAAATTTTTCAACTTAGAGATAAGTGCCAACAAGCAAAGACTAGAACAATTAATAAAATTATTGGAGTCCGAAGATGAAAACTTACAAGTAGTTATTGCTGGTGTATGGGCAAATGCTACTTCCGAATTTCAAATGGTAAATCAAATTATTGTAAAGGATGGTCCCATTTGTAATACTCTACTTGAAAGTTTCATGCGCATCATTGACCAGCAGCAATCAAATCAAGATTTAATAACCAGGGTATCTTACATTCTAGCAAATCTTGTTTATGGAAATTCGGATTCAAGAGTGGATTTAGACAAATTGAAGAACAATACTTCCTTGAAAAGTTGTTTGAAGTTACTATTGAGCTCAAGTATGTCAAATCAGGAAATTAAAGAAGCAGTTATGCAAATTCTACAGTTATTGAAATAAAAAGATGCATCCTATATATATTAACATAGAGAAATATTACATTAGACATTTAAATTTCTTTTTCACTTTTGTTCAATCACTCTTAGAAATTAATTAACCTTTGAGCAAAACTACCTCTACTTCCACTTTCAATAGATGTTATTGATTGACGTACAGTATTCGAAGATTTGTCATTTTCCAACTTTACTCGTATTGCTTTGTGCAAATTGGAAAGATAATCTGCATAACTAGGTACACTATTAGTGCCAATTACACCCTTTGGATTATCTTCAACAAAATATTCCTGAACTTGTTTACTGGTAGCATCAATACCCTCTCTGGCAATTTGTATTCCAGCAGCTCCTAAGGATGGGCAACCGGTTATCTCAGTTTGAAAATAACGAACCAAATTTCTAGCTTGAGTAGAAATGAGTGTAGGCAAATCTGGCAATTCATCGATCAATGGATCTATATCATTTATTGAGTTGATATGATCTCCAAACAAATCCTTGAGTAAAAGTATGTTGGAAGATGGTTGAATCCATACATATATGGTATCTCCATTGCATAAGAGATAAACACCTTGTTCAACTGATTGCATTGTCAATGATTTATAGTGAGGTAATGAAATAAACCCATTAGATAATTCGATTCCTTCATCGTCTCTCAATGAATGCAATTCAATTAATGCAGGGTAAAGTTTATACATTAACGTTGCAATTGGCAGGTTAAGCATTTGAAATATATCTGCTAATCTGGAGTCCGCACTGACGTCGGAAGATTGTCTCAAAGCTCTTGTCTTGATGAAACATAGCAAATACATTGGCAAATGTTTCAAAGAATCAGGGAATAATAGCTGCTTCGTCAATGCTCTATTTTTATTGTGACCTAATTCACTCATTGCCCTATACTGAGTGAACACTTCGACTAACTTTTCATTAACAGATTCTCTCAATTCCAAGAACGTTTGCTTACCAACAAAGCTTAATGTGTCTCTAACTAAAGTAGCGACAACTGCATCTTGCTCAACAAAGTTGAAGACATCCTCTAACCTCTCACTAACAGCCAATACTAAGTTAATTACCCTAACCTTCCTAATACCATATTTATCAGTGTAGAGCATTGCAGCTTGGAAATGACAGTCGTATTTAGTATTTAACTTGCCATCGTAGTCAAACAATATCGTGAAAGATTGATCCTGGTTGACTACCGGAATTATTGGGTCTTGAGGTCCCCCTCCTACTGCCAGTGAAGTATTAACCATAGATGAGGAGGTACCATAATATTGTGCAACTTGTAAGCCATTGGAACAACGGACCTTTAACTGCCCCTGGTAACCCTCACTGTTAATCACTGAGTTTTTGAATCTTGCAGTGAGAACTCTGGCATCTCTATAATAATTGAATGTGGGCCATCTATTAACAGAGCCACCAGTGGCTGAACAAAGCCATCCAATATTAGACAAGTCGACATTAGTATCGCTGACAACAAGACAATCTAAGCCAATACTATTGGAAACAAAATCTGATGCTAATAAATGATAATATTCATTATCTGGATTGAATTGTCTTTTCTCCATTTCGGGCGTGGGTGCTCTTCCAACAGACCTATTGTCTCTATATTTGAGTCTTCCTGGACCCCAAGATGGCAAAGCGCTTAATACAGAAGTGATTTTCCCTCCTTTACCATATTCTTTAAGACAAAGCATTGCAGTTCTGCAAGCGGCTGCAAAGCAAGGTTCTGGATCTGGGTATTTGTTGTGCAGACCGCTTGTTTGGCAGAGCAGCTCAAGATGGTTCAAGCAGTCTTCGATAACATTTCTGCTCTCCTCAGGATCCGCAAAAAGTCCATCATAGAAGGGGATAAATGGATCTTCTAAGTCAGTCAATACTGACAACTGAGTTGCTTCAAGATATGGTGAAAGATTATAAAAGTTTATCTTCTTGTCAAAGGTAATAATGGCGACTTTCCCCACGAAGGCATTTTGGTTGGATTCGTCTTCCTCAAATTGATTAGAATACAATGTTGCCCTTATTGAATCTGCCACCACCACGGGTAGATTATTTTTAATACTCTTCTCACTGATATCAATTAAGAAAACATGATGAAGGATTTCGTTGTGAGTTACATTTTCGTCCACATTGTAGGTCAGAGGCACAATAAAATCATAAACACCAGAGTGTAATTCAGGTCTTACATGGACATCAATCCTATTTCCATTCATTGGATCGATGGGGGAAAAGTATTCCTGTGGGTAAGAATTGTTATCGAATTGACAAATGTTACATGAGAACTTCCCACTCATGTTGTGTTGCATTGCAGGGTTCATATAGGTACGACACCTGTGGCATCTTGGAGGCCCTACGTCTGCCAGGATGCTGGTAGCCGGTTGGCCAGGAATCAGCCCTAATTGTGACATATCAACAACAGGAATTGGCGCTTCATTTTTTGAAAGAGGTGCAAACGGTCTGATTGTAACGGAAATCGGCAATTTGGTGGCTGCCCTCAACTGTTCACTTTCTGGAACGTTATACATGGTTGATCTAATAAACTTAGGCAGGGCAGTACCCTGGTCAAAGCAACGTATTTGAGTACCTGATACAGGTGGCACAACATTTTGAAATGTTAGGAATGTTGGGTACTGAATTGAGCCGTCTTCAGTTTGAATGGGTGTGGTGTATTCTAGCTGTTGGTAATACCTTGATTCCGAAATTGAGGGCGACGACAGCGTCAACTTTTCAGCAGGTTCCGCCATCATAAATTGGTTCAGCTGTTGCTGGTGTCCTTGCAGAGGTTGGAAAGTTCCATTCTGCTGAGAAAACTGGTTCAGTGCCATAGGAGGAGTTTGAATTGGAACCTGTATCGGAATATTTGGTGAGCTCAGTCCAATGTTCATGTTACTGAAACTAGACGTCAAGTCTTCATGGTGGGCCCTTACAGTCCTCTTTTTTTTCTTCTTGGCTGCAATTCCACTGCCAGTATTGGCTTCTGTGGGTGCTGCTTGTATATAATCCATACTAGGAGTGCTCTATGGCTCTGTGCACATGTAAACACGATAATTGTGCACCACCTCTGTTTTGGCTTTTGACTCTCGAATCAATTTTCCAGACCAAACAGAAAAAAAAAAAAAAAAAAGATCAAAAAAAAAAAAAAAACTTTAAGCCTCCTTCCTCTCTGACATACAAAAAAGTAGTTCATACACGGAGTTGGTGCTACGGATTCTTGACAGTCACCTTTTTATTGAGATATATATATAGAGAGAGATACATATATATGCACAGGTGTATACACAATGTATTTGGCCAGGGAAGAATTCATAGAACACCGGCCATATGTGCCCGATAATTGCAGTATATACTCACTCTCAATGGGCCATGTAGTAATAGATTGGTACAATGGGACCACTTCGCAGAACTTGTCGCTCGGGTTTCTCCCAGCTTATTACATAACAAACTGCAGTGTGGATAGCTTGCTTCAGTTCATGAATCTGCTGAATTTCACATCGATTCTTAATGACTACGCTCCCTTGGCATCGTTGAACGACAGCGGGAGTTCATTCATCGCAATACTATTCACCGCTAGCGGTACTTGTGTTTCCAGTTGGATGCTTTGTCTATTGTTGTATCTTTCACCCAAATACAAGCGGAAACCGATTCTGAGCCAAGTAGCGACCCTATTTTATAGCATAGTATGCACGATATTCCTATCCAAGGTAACAGCGGCTGCTTCCAATCAGTACTATAGTGACTTCTTGGACGTCCTAGATTTGCATGACAAAGTGTACCGTCACGCTGCGTATCGAGCGACGATAATTATCTCACAGATATTGACTCTTATTGCCTTCTTTCAGATCAATTACCACATGACCAAGGGAAGGTATAGATGGGTGTCATTGGGTAGTGGTGGGCTCCTCATGGTTGTTTACATCATCTGCTTTATTGTGTTTCAGACTAAGCACAACGATAACTTTAGGAGTTATGTAACTCACGATAATAATAGATGGGACTTGACCTGTGTAATATTCAAAATATTGACGATGTGCTGGGTGGCAGGAACGTTAATTTACTATACTGTCATTGTTAAAAATCCGGTGAAAATATCGTATTCCAGAAGAGTGCTAGGGTTAAGTGTTTTAACGTGGATTTTATTTTTGTTGCACATAATTCTAGAACTACTAATAATCACCCTTTTCGACAACAATTCGCTAGTTAAATTTTGGATGACGTTTCTCCCCTTAATTATTGAAATATTCTTATTAACAATTATTTGGGAGTGGATCTACAACATTGCCATGTTGGACAAGAGAGAGGAGATGTCTGGAGTCTTGGGTAGAAGAATGTCCATGGACGATGTCACCAGTATCAATCTGAATATTAAATCGAGTAGAAATTTGGATTCCATTAGAGGGAAGTATAAATTACACCTTGGAAGAAAAACAAAGGCCATACTGGATGATTCTCCGAAGAGTCCAAGTTTATTAAGTAAATTAAAGAGAAGATTTGAAAATGGGAAAATAGTAGGAAATAGTGTCAGATCAGCTCCAGTAACTGAATTAATCAATCCCACCACTTCTGCTTCTAATACAGCTACTGTTGAGTCCAATTCCACTTCTACCATTAAAACAGCCAACAATATTACTTCTGCAAATACCAATGGCTCGAATGGCTCTACCAGAACTGGGGTGCCAGAGCTGATATCATCACAGAATAATCTCACCACAGAAGATCCATCATACCCCCACTTTAGTTCTGAAGGAGCTTCAGCTTTAGCTTCCCAAAGGACTAGCTACGATATTGGAGTTCCAGAAGACCACTTCTCGCTCGGAAACTCACTCAATAGATCAACCTATAGTCATGAAGAAGTTCATTATAACTATGAATTTTCTGACTCTGAATAAGTCATTAGGCAGCTGGTCTGCTCCAAACACCAATAATTCATATATAAAAGTATCTTCATTTTGATAATGAAGCACTGAGTTTTTACTTAAAATTGATTGTATGTAAGCTCAATTCACTTGTCCCCTATCTCTACTGCTCATTATACAAATACATTTACTCTCTCATTTCGGCATTCAAGCTTCACTTCTCTAGACTCCATTGACGCTTCTAGATCTTTCTAGAATCTCGTGATTATACTGCATATGCGTAAATGTCATTCTAGATCTTTTGATTTTCCTGCACACAGATCAACATGCCAGTTATATAACTACCATCCGGAACCCTTTGCAGAAGGAATAGGCCTTCACCCCTATTTCTTTTTACTAACTTGCTATTTTAATTATAATTGTTTTTTTGAAATCCTTAAATTATGTTGAAAACAAATTTAAATCGTGCAGTTATGCAAAGGTATGTGGGTAGAGTTATACCTGCTAGACTGGGTGCAAATAGCATTTTGAAGCGTGAACTTTCTTTTATGGCAACCACAGAAGGTAAGCCTCAATACAATGCAACTTCAAATGGAAATTCAGCCAGAAGTCTCTTGCTTAGGAGACCAAGTGCTAATGCTACTCCTGTAGCAATAGGCTGGAGAGGTTTCCACTCTTCTTCTCCGAAGAATATCCAAATGTCAATGAACAAAGATGAGCAAGACAATAGACCAGCCTTGGAAAAATACGGAACTGATTTGACTCAATTAGCAAAAGATGGCAAGTTGGATCCTGTCATAGGTAGAGATGATGAAATTCGTAGAACAATACAAATTTTGTCTAGAAGGACGAAAAACAACCCAGTTCTTATTGGTAATGCTGGTACAGGTAAGACTGCAATTATGGAAGGATTGGCGCAGAGAATTTTGAAAGGAGAAGTGCCTGAGAGTATGAAAGATAAGCAAATCATTACTTTGGATTTAGCTGGAATTATATCTGGGTCCAAATTCCGTGGAGATTTTGAACAAAAGCTTCAAGATATCTTGAAAGAAGTTGAACAAAAAGCTGGTAAGGTGGTGTTGTTTATCGATGAATTACACTTATTAATGGGATTAGGTAAAGCTGAAGGTTCTATTGATGCATCTAATATGTTGAAACCGGCCTTAGCGAGAGGAAAGTTATCACTTTGTGGTGCTACAACAATTGAAGAATACAGAAAATATGTTGAGAAAGATGCTGCTTTGGCTAGAAGATTCTCCTCAGTGTTGGTCAACGAGCCAACAGTTCAAGACACAATTTCCATTTTAAGAGGGTTAAAAGAGAAATATGAAGTGCATCATGGTGTTAGGATTGCAGATGGTGCACTTGTAACTGCCGCAGTGTATTCGAATCGTTATATTACTGATAGGCATTTACCCGATAAGGCTATTGATTTGGTTGATGAAGCTTGTTCCACGTTAAGATTACAACATGAGTCTAAACCTGATGCTATTGCTCAATTGGATAGGCAAATCATGACTATAGAAATTGAATTAGAATCCTTAAGAAAAGAAGAGGATGTATTATCAATTGATAGGAGGAATAAATTGGAAAATGAACTTACCGTGAAACATGAAGAGCTCAAACAACTTACGGAGCAATGGGAGCTGGAAAAAGATCTGATTGACAAGATTAAAAATGCAAAGACAGAGTTAGAACAGGCAAGGTTTGATTTAGAGCTCAACCAAAGAGAAGGTAACTATGGTAAAGCCTCTGAATTGCAATATGCTGTCATTCCAGAGCTCGAACTAAAGTTAAAGGAATTTGAAAACCAGGAAGGACAAAAGCTTGCAGAATCCAAGTCTAGTATGTTACATGACTCTGTTACTTCTGAGGACATTGCTAATGTTATTTCCAAAATGACTGGAATTCCTGTCAATAACCTTTTGAAGGGTGAGAAGGATAAATTGTTAGGAATGGAGGATATTTTGAAGACGAAAGTCATTGGACAAGATGAAGCAATTCACGCTGTTGCTGACGCTGTTAGATTACAAAGAGCTGGTTTGACAAATGATAAGAGACCAATAGCTTCATTCATCTTCTTGGGTCCAACAGGAACAGGTAAAACTGAGTTGACTAAGACTTTGGCTGAGTTTCTCTTCAATGATCCTTCTTCTGTGATAAGGTTTGATATGTCTGAATTTCAAGAAAAACATGCTATATCAAGATTAATTGGGTCTCCTCCTGGCTATGTCGGTTATGATGAAAGTGGTGAATTAACTGAGGCTGTTAGAAGGAAACCTTATTCAGTAGTATTGTTCGATGAGTTTGAAAAGGCACATCCAGATGTATCAAAATTATTATTACAGGTTCTTGATGAAGGTTCTTTAACTGATTCCCATGGTAATCACATTGACTTTAGAAACACTATAATAGTGCTTACTTCTAATATAGGTCAAGAAATTTTATTGGCTGATAAGGATACAAATGAGGATGGTTACATTAGTGAGAAAACTAGAGCCGATGTTACCAGCTTACTAAAGAACTATTACCCTCCTGAATTTTTGAACCGTTTGGACGATGTTTTAGTATTCAACCGTTTATCGAAAAAGTCATTGAAAAATATTTTGGATATCCGTTTGAATGAAATCTCGGGGAGATTGGTTGATAAAAGAATTACATTACACCTTAGTGAAAAGGCAAAGAGCTTACTTTGTGATTTAGGATATGATCCTGTCTATGGTGCCAGACCATTAAACAGAGTCTTACAGAAAAAGTTACTTAATCCTCTTGCTATGTTGATGATAAAGGGACAAATTCTTGAGGGTGAAAATGTAAATGTTGTGGTAAAAGACAACAATATTTATGTCAAGCCAAATCATGAGCAAGAAGACTAAGGGAATCTAAGGAGAAAAAGTAAGGGGTACTAGGCATATCATGAATATAGCACGCTTCTTTATCTTTTGTAAATAGCATAAACAAGAAAAATACATAAAAAATAATACGAATAATTAGTTAAATCGAATATTTGAATTCACTAAGTTTTTTATACATACATATTTTGTTTAATTTAATCTTCTAAAAAGTAATGTCTAGAGTACTCTTCCAACCATTGCACCGTCTGCAATTCTCTTTTCGCTCTCATCTACTTTTCTTAATGACTTTCCACCAGTGATTTGACCCAATAAGGGACCAAGGTCAAATGGAGCAGGAGCTGCAGAGCCAGCACTAGAACTTCCGAGGGAAGTTGGAGGTGGAGGTGGAGGTGGAGCCAGTGGTGCACCTGAATTTGGAAATGGAGGAGGAGGAGGAGCAGCAAAATTTGGCAATGGCGGTGGTGGTGGTGCATCATTGGAAGGCAATGGCGGTGGCGGTGGGGCATCACTGGATGGTAATGGCGGTGGTGGTGGAGCATCGTTGGATGGCAATGGCGGTGGCGGTGGAGCATCGTTGGATGGCAAAGGTGGTGGTGCAGGAGCATCGCCCGGTGGAGGTGTAGAAAATTCATCAGAATCAACTTGAGGAGTGACTTCTGAGATATCCTTCTTCAATGCAACCTCTGTAAACTTAGGTTGAGGCTTTTCAATAGTAGGAGTTGCATTGTTTGACTGTTGAGGTTGTGACATACCTCCAAAGAGCAAACTTGCAAGCTGAGCAGCTCCTCCGTTGTTTGGAATTTCATCATCGGAAACATTATCTTCGGAGTCACTCCATCCATCGCTTGAGTTACCAACACCTCTTTGAGATTCCCTTTGAGCAGCAGCCTTTTTGGGATCAATCCCAACTTCTTGGTTTGTAGGCTTGAAAAATGGATTTGTGTTAGATCTTGATGTGTTTGCAGCGTTAGGGGCATCCTTCTTAGCAAATGGATTTCCTGTATGTGATGTGTTTGGAGTTGCGTTAGCACCAACGGTGTTGACTGGTTGTTGCTCAACATTACTTGGTGCGGAATTAATACCTGAAGTGTTAGTTCCATTTACAGAAGCTTCAACCTTTGGTTTTGCTGAAGTAGGACCGTAAGTCTTAGCCTGTGTAACTGGTAAATCGTCATCGTCACTGGAGTCCTCTTCTGCTGCTTCCTTTCTTTTCAAATCTTCCATTTCTTTTTTCAATTTTGCCAAGCGGGCCTCCTTTTCTTTCTTCTTATTCAACTTTCTCTCACGTTCATCGTTTTCCAATTGCTGCTTCTGTCTCAACAACGCAGCATACTCTGCATCTTCCTCTTCATCATCTGAAGTTGCATTGGCAACAGGGGGTTTAGATGGAGATGAGTTTACTGCAGGAGCACTCACTGGTAAAACTTCCTTAATAGGAACTTCTTCCTTAACTACACTTTTGGACTCTTTGGTGACTGGTGGCTCCGAAGATTCACTGAAGCTGCTAGTCTTGCGCCTGGTAATTCCGAGTTTTGCCAACCTTTCACTCATCTTCTTTTCAGCTTGCGCTTTAATATAAGCAGCTCTTTCTTCCGCATTAGTGTAAGAAGGAGTTGTTGCAAGTACGGGCTTATCGATAGCAGTACGTGAGTTATTGGGTGAGGATGTGGCTACTGTTGGAGGAGCCTGAGCGGTGACAGTACTAGGTGTTTGCTTAGCAGGCGAAGTGTTGGCAACTGAAGCATTTAACCCCTGAATAAATTTTGCGACTACTTCCGAAACACCCAGGCCATTTTCCCACTTACTTTCACTAAGATCATCTTTTTGAGAAGTTTGTAAGTTCCCAAAACTGTTAGTTTCCAACTCTTTAATTCCACTTTCAATATCTGCAACTATTTCAGATTCATTTTCATTCTCTTTTCTGGCCACCTCAACTTGCTGCTGGAACTTTAAGTCGAGATCTTTATTACCCTCTCCACCGTATGACTTTCCAGTTAAGGCAGCCATACGCTGTTTCAACAACTGCTTCGATTTAAACTTACGTCTATCTGCGTCTGTGACTTCACCGTTTGGACCGGTTCCAACAATAGAAGCTTCAGAATTGTCTGGTTGCCAGCCGGGGTTTTCTTTTGCCAAGTTTTTCTTTGCAAGTTCAATTTTGGCATTTGTAATACTTTTGTTGATATTATTGATATCTGAAATCAACTTTGGAACTTTATCTCTAGTCAAATGATTCAACCTTCCTAAAAGTTCCTTTTTACTACCACCAGAACCGCTTTTTATTCCTAAAGTGGATAATTGATTTTGAATGGATAAAATTTTAGCCTTCAATGTTTCTACTTCGTGATTATTTCTCAATGTAGTCTCATTCTTTCTTGAGGCAGAATCTTGGTCTTCCGCATCAATAGCATCCAATAGAATTTTCTTTTCTCTAATTAATTTCTTCATGTCTTCAATTGACAAGTTGCTACTTTTACTAGATTGTACCGAACTAGTTTCTTCACTATTATCGGTTTCTCTTCTTCTATGACGTGTAGAAGAGACATATCCAACATTATTGTCATCATTCTTATATCTCTTGCCATCAGCTTTAGAAGTACTTGCACTAACCGAAGCAGCTGTGCTTTGATTAGAAACGCTACCAGATCTCAAAGAGTTCTTTAGAGAATTCATTGAGTCTTGCAAATACTTTGTCGATGGAGGAACCAATTCTGGTGGTAATCTTATTGGAATTTCAAATCCATTCAACCTTCTGTAAACAAGATGCATTGCTACAGCAAATTCATCCTTGTTCAATTTTCCATTGTTATTGGTGTCAGAAAGGTTCCAAATAGATTCCAAATCGGGTCTACTCAATCCTGACTTACCAAAAATGCTAATAGCTACATCCCCATTTACTGAACCCTTCTTACCAGTATCCCAAGCTGAAAAAATTCCATCGTAAATTTGCTTCTCTTGCTTGGTAATTGCCCAAGTCACGTTAGTCTTTAAAGCTCCACCCATTGCATCTTGAAGTTGTGAAGATGGTAATTGAGCACTTGGCTGGAAATGCTGTTGAAGGGCGTTCAAACCTGGAATTCCGCCAGTAGGCATAGATACAAATCCCCACTGACCAGGCTTACCTGTAGGTTGTGACTGGAGAGGAGCCATACCCGTTGCTTGAGGTTGGAATCCTGTAGCTTGAGGCTGGAATCCCGTAGCTTGAGGCTGGAATCCTGTTGCTTGAGGCTGGAACTGAGGTTGGAAGCCACCAGTCCTTTGTTGTCCCATTATACCCTGGTCACCTGTTCTCTGAGATATCAACTGGGGCTGACTTTGGAAACCATTTCCAGTTCTTTGAGAAGGTATTTGTTGCTGTTGTTGCTGCTGTTGAGGAGGAGGAGGAGGAGGCTGTTGGTATCCAGTCAGTTGAGGTAACAAAGATCCAGTTTTTTGAGCAGGAATTAGACCAGCGGTTTGCTGTGGCTGCAAGGGGATCAAAGTTCCTCCACCAGTTCTCTGTGAAATCAACGAAGCACCAAAATTACTGCTTGGTTGAAATCCAGTAGCCTGAGGCTGGAATCCAGTTGGAGGAGGAGGACCTTGAGACTGAAAGCCCGTTTGCTGAGGTTGGAACGAAGTTGAAGGAAGACTAGAAATTCCACTATTGTAACCAGTGGCTTGAGGGGCCAACCAGTCATTAGTGGCATTGTTACTTGCAGTATCAGTTCCAAAGGAGGCAAATGGCGTATTTGACAAGATCTTATTCGAATCTTCAGGCACACTGAAACTGATAGCGTCAACAAAACTCTTAACTTCATTTGTCCATCTCTCGGGTAAAGTGTTTGGTAATGAGTCTCCTCTCAAGGCAATGTTACAAAGATGTAAACTGAGAGCAAACTCTGGGAACAACAATGATCCAGACTTGTTCGTATCTGCAAGGGACCAAATTTCAGCAAGAGTCACCGGCTGGAGTCCAGATCGTAAGAGTATATCTCTACATGCGTCTCCATTAACAGCCTGCTCTCCTTTAGGAACTGCAGTTCTAAACAAATGCTCAAATTTCGTTTGGTCAGCAGCCGTAAGAAACGACAATCTGATCGCCGGAATCTTCAACTCGTTGTTCTCGGAAACGGTGGGAGCGGAAGGACCAAATCCAGTTGGTTGAGTTTGGATAAATCCAGTCTGTTGGGGTTGAAGTTGTTGCTGCTGTTGCTGTTGCACCGGTTGTTGTAATTGAGGAGAAGCGTAGTACCCTAATGACTGTGTTTGAAGTTGTGGTTGTTGATAAGCATTATATCCTGTAGGCTGCCCATACTGCTGTTGGGGCGGCTGTGGCACTTGGTAATTGCCTGGGTTGAAGCCAGTTTGCTGTGGTGCAAACCCGTACTGAGATTGTTGTTGCTGCTGCTGTTGCTGCTGCTGCTGGTACGGGTTATACATTTTGCTTTCTTCAAGTTATTCAATAGACAATTGCCCTCTCTATGGTGATCAGTATATTTCAACCTCCTATCCTTCAGAGTGAACAACTAAATGACTTCCGTCGCTTCGACTATATGCAGGTAAGTGGGTCGTGTCGAGCCATATTAATACTATAGCACTGCCAATTTGCAGCCAAATTGGTGATGCATATGGAAAACTTTGGTCGGTACCGGCCCGTCACTACGAACGACTAGTCAAGTAGAAGAACGCTAACGAGGGCCATCAGTAGAGTTTCAAAGAAGCTTGTTGATGAAGGCAATTCGGCCTTTATAGTTCTACTTCTACTAGTTTACCAATGTAGATTTCGACATACAGGTTGTACATATAATATATAGTAGTGCGACATATATAGCTTAGCTTGCTGCATACATAAAGAAGCAAATGTGTATCGCCAATTGATATACGTATATGTAATAGGATTCCAGCTATATCACTAAACTTCTAGAACTTCGTCCCAAAATGCAATTTCCAAATCTGTAACAGTTGCGAAAATATTGATCAACTCATTTAACCTACTCTTGGTGATTGGCTTCCCTTTAAGTTGAAGATCTAAAGCATCTGATCCATTGTTGTATGCTGCAGTGTACCATTCCAGGATATAGTCTTCGATCCAAGAAGCATAAGCATCTGAATCTTCGGCACTTGTCAATACTCCAAGCCCGAGTCCTTTCCTTTCGTACTCTTCTCGGATGCTTTTGGCGAACAAACCTGCTTCGTGGTACCCAAATAAGCAAGGAGCAACGGCAGTTTTGATACCGAGGTAATCCTCTTTCTTTCCGATGCCCAACAAGTAGTTACAATAGGCAATACAGGCCCTTCCTGGTCTTATAGTTGAACCAGTATCTTTATCATAGTCAACGTTGTACTTCTGGCTTAACTTTTCCTTGTGCTTTTCTATTTCTTGGACAATTTCTTTAACAATCAGAGATTCTAAAAATGTAATTTGATACGTTGGTGCTACTGCTGCAGCCAAGCACTGAATCTGTGCATAATTAACAAGATAGTAGTAATCCTGCTTCAAAAAGTATAAGAACTTGTCGTATTCTAACAGATTGGTTGCGACTTGACTGAGAAATGGGTGCTGGACATACCTTTTCCACTTATCTGCCACTTTGGGGTGGGTCTTAAAATATTCCAAGGCAGAAAAGTCTGTCTTCATGGTAATTTCCGCATTCTGTTCTTCCTCCTTTATAACCGTGGCTATATTAGTTTCAGGTTCTGTTATGTGATTAAGTGGACCGTTCCCATAACCCAATTTCTCCATACTACCCATACTTTTGTGGACGAAATCAATAGAAAGTGGGACTGCTTCTTCAATGGGGAATCCCTTGGCCAAATTGGCTGCAATAGATGACGACAACGTGCAACCAGTACCGTGAGTATTCTCAGTCTTTTTAAAGGAAGATTCATACACTGTTATCTTATCTAAATTAGATTGATACAAGATGTCTCTAATAACAACTTGTTCATTATGTGTACTATTCTTAGGTTCGTAGGGAGTATTACTTAGCTTGTTCCATGGCATATGGCCTCCCTTGACTAATAGATTCTCACATTGAAGAACCCTTTGAAGACTTTTCACAAATTTCAAGAGATCTTCAAAAACTTCTATCTTGGGTTGATATGCAATACCGTTGTTGCCCATCTTGTACAAGGCAAGGGCTTCGACATGGTTCGGAGTTACAATTGCAGCATGTCTAATCACCTTAGCTACTCTGTCCTCACCTTGTAGGTCACTCTCGCCAATTAACGAGGCACCAGTAGTGGTAACCATTACTGGATCTACTACTAACTTGATACCATTTGATTTCAAATAGTCAAGATGCAGAACAAGTACTTTAATTGACTCACCGCTAAGCATTCCAGTCTTGATCACTTTCAAAGTCTTGTTGGAACCTTCAACAAAATCATCAAATACAAGTTTCAATATATTTCTTATTTGAGATTCACTAGTGCGATCAATAGTGAGAAGCTGTTGGGTATTTTGTGAAATAACCGCCGTAATGCAAGTAGTGCCAAAGACCTTATGGGCAGTTAAGGTTTTCAAATCTGCTTCAATTCCTGCCCCACCACTGGGATCCGAACCTGCAATTGAGAGCACCACTGGCAATTTTACCAATACTTGATTCTCCACGTCACGAAGTGAAAATTTTTCGGTCATTTCAACACTGAGATGGACTCTTTGCTTCATCTAACTAAACCCTGGCATTGAAGAAAGCTTCTCTATATATTACTTGCCAGTAGTCCAGAATCACCTGGGTAGTATGGTTTGCTATTATAAACCTCTCATTGTATGGTCCTGTAACCGCATATGTTATATGCAGTATGCAAATAATATGCCGTTGAGTGATACAGAGAAGAAAGTTAAGTGCATACAGGTAGTTGCATTTTCTAAATTTATTCATTTGATGAGTCTTTTGCTTTTTTTCTATAACTATCTCTATACTAATTCATTTCCATATTTGTTGGCTCTTCTTTCCACTGCATATTTCCATTGCATGGTTGGAAATTAATCCTTTCTTTTTTTGTTTAATCCAGTATAGTAGGAGATCAACTCTAATTCACTCTGCAAAGTTTCCTCTCTATACTTTATTCTGATGTCAGGGATGTTAGTCTTTTCAATGTCATTCCCAGAAACTCCCTTCTCTAAGTATTTCTTACCGAGCCAGTGCTTCTTAATTGCAGTCTCCCAGCCTGATTGCTTCACTGAATTGCAGGCTAATTCACACATATCTACCCCGGATAATTTGTAGATTTGAGCTGCTACAGAGTACTCTTCAATCAAAGGTTCTTTGGTGAAGGAAAATTGCAAGGGATCATCCGTCGATAATGACACATTCATACCCTTTTTATAGAAACTGTAGAAAGGGTTCTTATCATAAGTTAAGAAAAGAGCATTATTTGATAGTGGGGACATTGCTAATCCGATTTGATCCAAGTAATACAAGTATTGCATTAATGGGATCTTCCTCAATAAGATACCATGTGAGATGGAGTGAGATGTCAAAAATGCACTAATGAGATGTTCAGGGTCTCCAGCTTCACCACAATGAGGTCTTAAAAGGAAAGTGTTTAATCCGTGACGTTCTCTTAAATTATTCAACGATGTCATATTGGCAAAAATGTAATACAAATAATATGAGTATGGTGGGTTAGTTGGGTATTTCCATTCGCTGGCTCTTGGGAATTTTCTGGAAGATAATAATTTTTCCAGTTTAGATTCATCATCAACAGAATCAAAACCAACTACTCTTTGCAAGAACACATGTAATTTAGGGTGAGATGATGGATCAATGGACACCTCAAACAATGGTTTGAACAAGTTGGTCAAAATGTCTTGGAATGATTCAACGTTACCATTCTTTTTATACAAATCGTATAATCTAGGAACCTGGATTAGCCAACGAACATTGTGACTGAATAATTTATTGTCAACGATCCATGATGATAATTTATCCCATTCAGAAATTGATCTACCGTATATAGAAATTCTTAACTCCACGTGTTGATACTTGGAGCTTTCCAAGTCTTCAAAGACTTGTTTGGTGAGCTCTGCCAAGTATTTCCCATCAATAAAGTTGTCTGTCTTCAAGAAGATTTCTCTCAATCTTGACTCACCAATTGGATTATACTTCAAGTTGAATTTGTCGAATCTGTGGAATGTATCAGTGTGGGCATGCATATCTAATGTATCAATTGACAAGTCATAGCCAGTCAAGTTAAGAGATTTGAACACTTCCAGTAATGTCAAGATCTTACCATCTCTAAAAATAACTTGTTCATTGGGTTCTGTTTTTAATTTATATTTGATAAATCTCAATAAATGTTTTTGATTCATGCAAGCTGAATGATGGATGTGAGTATCGACCTTACGAACATTGTAGAAATCACGATGTGGGTTCTTCTTTGATTCTTTCGTTTCTTCATATTCATTGAGCAAGTAGTACATATTCCACTTGGTCTCCAAGAATTGCAATCTCTTAAAGGCAAACGACTTGGAAGGCCCATCTGATGAAATTCTGGTGATTTTGTTCAAATCTAAATAGTATTCACGAAGGGATGGTACTGCAACGATTGGTTCTTTGGTATCTGGGTCGATCACGTTATAGATATCTTCGGCCCCGGTTACTAATTCATAGTCCTTGAACTTGCCTCTTGAAGCTTCCTTTTCAACTTTATCCCATTGAAATTCTTCTTCTCTAGTTTCACCTCCCTCGGCGGGAAGCTGGTTAAATCTGTTCTTCGACTTGTAGGTTGGCAACGGAGGAGATGGGTAGATTTCCCACTCGGGCTTGTTCTTTGGGTTGATAGATTCATCGTTTTGATTGGATAACGCCAAGTATTTATGTCTCATTGCAAGACATTCCCGAATATTTTCGTACAATTCAATCAATTCATCTGAAGCGTATTCTTCTGGAATGGCATTTTTTGGCTTGGCCTGTTGACTAGCAGTAGTAGGAGTCGCTGAAGGATGAGAGTGGTATCCCACAAAGCCTTGATGGTTCTGGGGAAGATCAATTATCGACTGTCTTCTCTTGATTGGACTTTTAAGCGATTCGGAGAGCTTCGAGTGGAGTTGCGAGCTTGGGGTTGTATCCAAAGCTGAAGAGCTGCTTGTTAATTCCGATGCTGACATAAGAGGATCTGCTGGGGAGCTGAGTGTACTAGTAGAGTCATGATGATGATTATTACCCAGGTGAAGTGCTTCAAACGCCTGGACTTTTAAATCATGGAGCTTCATGAACTTTTCTTCAGCTGATGAGAAATGTGTAGACTGATGTGATTTTGATAAGCTTTCATCGTCGGAGTTGCTATCATAATTACGCACGTCTCCGTCGTAGCCATCGATTATTGGAGATTCTTCTCTTTCTTTGTCCATTCTATTTATTGATTTTGAGCTAAGTATACTACTATTCACTACAATATAGAGATACAAGAATACAGAACAGTGAAAGAAGTAGCTGATCTTATATTTGTCTTCATTACGAAGTTTATCGGCCATGAGTGCCTGCCATCCCAACGCTCATTAAGACTGCAGATAACTCGTGCGGCTGGGAATACATGCTGCAGAATCTCCAAGGCCAGTCATCAGTAGAATGAAGAAGAAGAAGAAAGTGCCTAAGCATGTTCTTCATTTTCCATCTACAAAGAAGGAGTATTAAATTTTCATTGTATATGGTATTAACTATAAAAAGATAGGTAGATTTTTTTTTTGTATTTTTGATTTTATGTGGTTTTATCTTCTTTTAGTAAGTTTTTCATAAAAATTTTGTACTGTGAAAATAACTGACCTTGAAGGAAAAGTGATTTCAAACCGAACTCTAGAAACGTGAAGTAGAAAGTTTGTTATGTTATTGAAGTCAACTCAATAAATAGTGGTGATGAATATTTTCGTCTTGTGTATATTTTTGACTTTGCTGTGTATTGGATTGTGCTCATGAAATTTTGAGGATATGTGGTATCTTTCCTCGTTCGTTATTCATTAGTTTACTTAAACAATCATAGCGTATCCGGAAAGACCAGCAAGTAAAGCAAGGACGTTAGCATTGGCTGCAACATTACCGTTAGCCTGTGATGAAGAAGATCCAGTCACAGTAGCTGAAGCTGAAGAGGAACCGGAAGAACCAGAAGTGGTTGATACCAGAAGGGTCGATGAGACAGTGGAGTTATCAGCAGCAGCCTTTTGAATGAGGCCCTTGTAGTAGGTCTCAACATCCTTGCTGCTGAAGAAGTCAGTTATAGATGCAGCACCACTTCCTAATAAGGAACCAATCTGACTTATAATAGAAGCTCTTAAAGTTTGATCATTGATGGCTCTTTCAAAAGTGTCACCTAAAATTCCTGATTCAACCAATCCAGAGATCACAGGACCAATGAATGAGAGACCGGATGGAGTACCGGTACCAGCAGAAAATGACTTGGTAGCACTAATAATGATATCGGCAACATCAGTTTGGAATTCTGGATTAACAAGTAAAGTGTGAATCAATTCAGGGATTAATCCAGATCTTTCAACAGATGAGAAGATTGTCGTTAACAAATCTTCAATGTTGTCTCTCTTCTTAAGTTCCATTGCTGAAAGTTGGGAAATTTCAAATTCTCTCTTTGCAACAAGTTGTGTCTGCTCAATTCTGTTTGCTTCTAAGGCAACTGATTCTAAGTCACGAAGAGTTAAGACTACATCTTCTTCTCCATCTTCTCTCTTAAGTAATCTTCCTGCAGCTGCGAGGACTTCTGAAATGGTAATATCTCCATTGGCAATAACATCTTTAACAATGGCACCGACTGCTGGAATGGTAGAGGTATCTTCTAAAGCACCAGCAAGAATGGAGTAAAGTAATCCGGAATCCTTTAATGCAACGAAGAAACCAGTGGTATTAGAAGTTGAAAGAAGATCCAATCCGTAATCAACTACTTCGCTAGTAATTGCATCAATAGTTGGAGAACTCAAGTTTGCGTTCAATAAAAGCATGGTAGCTTCTGGAAGTAAATTGGAATCCTTTAACCAAATAAGGATATCGTCTAAGTATTGAACGTTGTTGTTGGAAGTCAAAAGATCATCAAGGTAACCTGCAATGGATTCAAAGTCAATATCTCCAAGAAGACCAGAAAGTAAACCTTCAGCTGTAGAAATCAAGCCCCCACTAGAAGAGGTAGAATTAGAGCTACCACCTAAGAGACTACTTACCAAACTTTCACCTGTAGAAAGTAATGTATCGAGGAAACTTCCTCCCGAACCAGAGTCGGAACTAAACAAACTAGACACTAAACTTGATCCTAAGGAAAGAATGGTAGAGAGGAAGCCACCTCCTGATGAAGATGATGATGATGACGATGTAGAATTACTCGAATCATCTCCGAATAAACTTTCAACAAGGTCTTCTCCTCCTGATAAAAGTGTATCCAAGAGACCTCCAGTACTGGAAGAACTAGATGTTGTAGCAGTACCAACTGCGAGAGTAGCTGAAACAGTACCAGGGTATGTGTAGTCTCCCCCTACTTCAGAGCCTGTGACATCGACTGCTGCAGTTGCAACAGCAGTGCCTGCAGCAGTGTCTATGGCAGCGGAAACTACGACATCTGTTTCCACTGGGGTGGTAGTAGCAAGTGGAGCATTTGCTGGGGTGGTAGCATCAGCCCAGTTATATGTGTAATCTCCTCCTACTTCTGTGTCTGCTCTCTTCTCGTTCTCGTCAATTGCCAGACTGTGAGCTATTGAGAGGAATGCAGTCAATGTAACTAAGGTAGATGTGAATTTCATAACGAATGTAGTTTGAGATATCTTATGCTATCGAAAGTTACTTAAATTCAAAGAGGGTTATTTTTTGACCTTTTTTTCCTAAGTATTACCTTCACTTCAACTGAAAAGAATGTAAAAAGCTAAGATAATTAATCAGAAATGAAGGATACTTACCACATCTTATAAATATACTGCTATTCTCTACCTTTACCTATGAAGGGGAATATTGAAATATGGAACTCTACCATATGTGGAAAAGAAGGTGGGGTCGCACTTGGTGCGGCGCGGTCTCGGTCACTATGAAAATTACTCTTTTTGGAAGTCTCAGATGAGGCTCATCTGGGACCTGACTTTCCAGAGGACCAGAACAAGTAAAAACATCAAAATACACATTCATTTCCAGGTGATGTGTTTTCTTGTGTCAAAATAGAATTGTTTATTGCCGACTCCAAAATAGATTCTTTTTCCTCGAATTAGTAAAGGAGAAATTGAGTGCTATTTTAATTTTTCACAGGAATCTCTAAGGAGCATGTGTGTTAGCTGTCAAACTGCGACCTTCCAACAATGCTTTTTACTCTCTACAGGAAAGCGAAAAATACTATCGATGGTTTGCAGTCAAAGCTACACCACATTCGAGAGAGGTAATATCCTATTTAGTCAATTCTCGAAACTTTCAAGTATCTTCGTAATGCGCTTGTATTATCTAAATTAAGTTTATAGGAAGCTTGAATTTGAATTCACTCCCAGTATTATCTATATGGTGCTTTCTAAACATAGAAAATTGTGTATCATGTGCATCTCTGGGAAGAACATCATTGGCTGTTCTTGGAGTGGCTTCTAATAAAGTCTCCTCATGCTCATTCAGGTCAATGTTTTCATTTCTCTGTACAGTGTTAGCTTCTAACTCTGTATTCTCCTCCTCTTCAAAAAAGTCTTTCAAAACGAATTTGAACACTAAAAAATACTGTAAATCGAATAGTCGAGAGCTCTGAAATTGTGTTGTTAAATAATTGGGAATATTTATTGACCCATTCATTAAAGTAGTTGAAGCATTGGACAGTGAAGTAGACTGTGTCATCGAAGATGCAAATGAATTTATTTTAAGATAAGGACTCACTTTGAAAATATTTGTATAGTCCTTGTCAGCTTGACTTTTCCCTATTTTACAATGAAATACTTCATGTGCTTCTAAATGAGCAGTTGTACCCACTATTCTAGTGCCATTATGTGCCGAATTTGCGGCATCTATGACAAAGTTTATATCTTCTCCCAAATGATAGTATGGCTTTTTTATGCTAACCAAGCAGAGCTCTTTGTTATTTAGTCTAATCTGATACTGAGTTTTCAAGTGCTTGGGAAGTTGTGGATTTAAACCATCCACCGCATTCTCGTTAATGGCTGGAATGCTCTTCCTTCTCTCTGTAGAAGAGATTAAAGGCATGTTACGCAAGTCCGAATCTATAAGGTTTGTTAAGTCTTCGAGAAATGACTGCTTATCAAGCTTTTCGATATCCTCTTCCACAGTGCTTTGCGCTGCAGCATCTTCTTCTTTACTAATACTCTTCTCGTCCTCGTTTTCTATCTTAAGAACTTTCCAGCTTTGATCTATCGTGGTTCTTCTTAAATAATCCGGTAACAAGTAACTTTCATCGTTTTTAACATATTCTGCCCTTACCTCGTATGGAAAATACACAGTTCTCGGCTGAAGCACTCCAACTTTCGAATTCATCTCCAGTAACCCGACTGCAAGTTGATACCTTATACTTAACAAACCTTGGTCTCCCGTCATTCCTGTCAGTTTGGTATTGTACGAGGGAGGAAATTCTTTTAATCTGGGAAATTGGATTCTGAATAACTTGGTCTCATCTTTCTTCAAGCTCACATCTGAGAATAAGAGAGACTGAGAGGTGGCATAGAATGGCAATATGGCATCAGAAATTTCTCTGATTAGTTCAATTCCGTCTGCTCCATTTCCTGCATTCCCTGTTGGTTCAGGGAAAGTATTGAAACCTGCGACAAGGTCTTGTAGAAGGGATCGTTTGTACTTATCAATTTGGAACTTCCCATCGGACTGTTTACTCTGTTGCTGCTGCTGTTGTGCTATACTTCTATCCTCGTCAACCACTACCAAGTCTTCGATACCTCCAATCTTACCACCAATTATCATTCTATCCTTATAACTTTGTGAGATGAAAGGTGTAGTATCCAATATTTCACTCAATTTAAGATCTTTGGGCCAGCCTTCATGTTTAACTTGGTCATCTAGGTCATCATTGTTGTACTGCTGAATGTAGTCCTTATTACTCCATAGTTGGTAGTCTTTCAATCCCTCCTGGTTAGAGTCGTCATATTCATTTTCATTATCGCCCGAATCTATGTCTCCTTCGTCGTTGCTTCCAGTCCCATCATCACCTCCTAAACTACTGATAGCATTCCCATCGTTCAACTCAAACTTGTAGTTGCATACCACATACCCAAATAATTGTACGTACCCAAGAAATATATTCAAGGGTTGTGCATCTTTTGTATTTAACGTAAGTTTTTCTTTCTCCAAGTTACTTGAATTCTTCTTCTCTCCAAACATACTGCTGAGCCAGCTTCCATTACCATTTTGTTCCTGGCTTGCTTCTGGGTTGATCACAACATTATGATTCAGAATGTTTTTGAATGAGATCAAGCATTCAACTTTGCTCGGATCCTCGCTGGCTACGTAAGAGAGTGAAATCGATAGCTGGTTCGAAATACGCTTAGTATACTGCGGTCCTGCCATATTTGTAACAAATTGTATGGTTCTTGAGCCGTATTGTTGTCTGACATGGTTTACATTTAGAAAAGTCCATGCTACAGAAACTTAAAGCCAGTGTATGTACTGCATATAGTTGGCACAAAGTCGGTTACTTCTTTACTCTACACCAAGGAAGCAATTCTTCGATATATTAAATTTATTCTTTCCTAATATACATAAATATGGGGTCTATATCTGTGTATTGCAGAGAATTTCATCCTTCTCATGGTAATATGGATAAGAAGGTAAGAAAGCAATAAAGCTAGAACAAAGTAGCCAAGAGCTAATGACTAAAGGCACCATACTTTGAGAGTTGCAGGTTCAGTCTATATTCGTTCTAGTTACATTATATTCTTATTCATTCTTTCGGTCTCTCTTTTCTCTCACTGTTTCTTCTTTCTCTCATTAAATCTGCTCTCTCTCTCTCTCTCTCTCTCTCTCTCTCTATCAGTGCTGCACCTCTCTGTTTTCTTCTTTCACTTACTCAACTTTCTGTTGCTGTGCTTGAATTCCTCCTTGTTGGATTTGCGCCATTTGATCCTCCTGTGATTGTCCAGCTCCAACAATTTGGTGGAAATCTAAAATCTCACTGTACATCATAACTCTCCAGGTATCTACCGGCAAGTCAGCGTCATTAAAACTCCAATCGAACTTGACGTCACAAGCAGGTTCATCTGTTGGATCATGGTAAGGTTCCATGTATTGGTGAGTCAAAGCATCTGCCGCACTGATTCTCTTCTTAGGGTCAAAGATAAGCATTTTACCTAACAAGTCAATGGCCTCAGGCTCTACGTGAGTACATTGACCGAATCTTTCACTGAATGGGATCGGATCTCTGTGTGGTAAGGATTGAACAAATCTTAAAGTGTTTTCAGAACAAATAGTGTCGATAACGTCAGGTGGTGGAGAACCCAAAAGTTCTGTAATGATTGAGAATTGATGGACGTGATCTTTACCTGGGAAAAGAGGTGTTCCTTCAATCATTTCACTTAAAATACACCCAACGGACCATAAATCCACCTCAGTATCGTACTTTTGCCATGTCAACATGATCTCTGGGGCTCTGTAGAATCTGGTTGAAACATATCCAGTCATTTGAGGATCTTGAATTCTTGCCAAACCGAAGTCGCAAATTTTCAAATCACAGTTTTCGTTGATCAAAATGTTGGATGGCTTCAAGTCTCTATGGATGACACCAGCACTGTGAACATACTTTAACCCTCTCAAGATCTGGTACGTGAAGTACTGGATGAATTGCTTTTCAAGAGGTCTCAGTGTAAGCAATCTATGTAAGTCTGTTCCTTGAAGCTCCGTAACGAAGTAAATATCTTCCAAAGGAGACAAAAAGATGTCATCCAATGTGATCAAATTCTCGTGTCTGAGATGTTTCAAAAGCTTCAATTCCCTATATGTTCTCTTCGCCAACACCGACGTCAGGAATGGTTTCATGATCTTTTTGACGGCAACGTTCTGTCCGGTCAATTTGTCGATGGCTGAGCACACAAGACCAAAGGCCCCCATACCGACAGGGTTGAGGTCTGTGTATCTATTTGTTATTTCGAAAACAGTTCCAAAAATTTGGGTCCTTGTGAATTCTCCGTCTGAGGACATTGTTTATTTGGCTTGAATAGGGTGTTAATTTGTGTGAAGAAGGGTTTGTCTCTGGGGAGTTGAGGAATAATTAAATACTATATGAAGCAAACAAAATGAAAGAAATATGGAATACCAAGCGAAGCGAAGGGTCTACTGTTCTGTACTGGGGGGAATAACCCTATTGATGTCCTTGAACATGAAAAGGATACCAAATACGCTGGGGAGTAAAGCCGGAGTGCGAAATTCAGCAGGGAAACGAAAAAAATAAAAAAAAAAATTAAAAATAAAAAAAAATAATAAAAAGGAAAACAAGGGAAGTCTGCACTAATGGAGAAATATCAGAGAGAGTGTAGCTGATAGTAGCAATAGTGCAGAAGAACCGAACGGCACTGAGGGAGAGTATAAGACGATCACTTTTGGTATTGCGGAACCTAACTGGAGAAAAAATAAAACAATTTGCGTTGATACTAGCTGGAACCCAGCAAAGGTTTACGATATTTTTTTCGTATCGTATCCTAATTATAGGTCAGCACTTGCAAAGACGTTTTGATTGCTAAGTGAGCGATGTTCTGAACTTTACACTTTAGTCGATGGAAACAATAGCATTAAATACTTAAAACAAGAGGATTTTTCATGGGGAAGTGGAGTGGCATTCGGTTTGGACTGTTCCTTGACACATTCTGAGGTGTAATTGGGCCGGGTTGTGTATACTTAGTGTATACTTGAATGTATGTATATTGTGTATATCTCTATCTGTATCTATATATGTACAGGTGTTGTGTGCTGCGTGCTGTTGGTTTAGGGCTAGCGTGGGGACGCATCTCATGCGCATCTGTTTTCCTCTTTCTGGTGCGCTGCTGCTACTGGCCTCATGAAATTTCGTTGTGAAAGGTGTCCTCTCTCAGGGCCTGCACATATCCTGTCGCACTTACGTCATCAACTATTCATCTCTCCAGAATAGAGCGAAGGCTGCATAATCCAATTCCCCTTTAGGCTCAGTATAGAAAATATTATCTGTATGGAAGCACAGTTTTAGAGAGCTACAGTGCAGAGTTAGTATAACATGAATGCATTTTGTTCTTTTCGTCAGCTTCGACTAGTATTTTGCTTTTCTGTTCTGTATGTTTTCTCTTTTTTACGGGTACTTTTCTATCTATATATGCTAAGTTCTATCGGTTCATTTTTCTCTCTTTCGTTGTTCAGTCGTTCGCTTTCTATCTTATGTTCATCATCTTTTTCATTCTCTTCTCGTCGTTACTCATGGTCTCTTCATTTTCATTAGCCCTTCTTTTAGCCTTATAAGCGTCAAACAAAGACCAAAACTTTAAATTCTCGTCTCCCGCAATGGTGGCCAATGTCAATGAATCTGGACTTAAACACCCACCTAATATTCTTGAATCATGGGCATTTAATATCTCCCCAGTCTTTTGCAATGTAGGATAGTTGAAGATGGATATGTTATTTGTAGGAAATCCATGGGTTGCAACAATTTCCATTCCAATGCCTGCTGCATAACCCCAGTTTAATGACAGTATTTGTGATCCAGTTTCTATGGTACTGACTCTGGCACCAGTGCTTGTGTTCCAAAAATGTATTGTCTTGTCAGAAGACCCACCTCCAGTAGCAAGAAGGGATTGTTGAAATGGGCACCAGCTTAATGCTTTAACAGCAGCCTTATGATTCGTTTTGGTGAACAAAGGACTACAATTATCGTTGGTGGAATGGCTCTTTCTGGCATCCCATATGCATACCAAATTATCGTTCCCACCAGTTACGAATTGCTGACCATCGCCTCTGTAGCTGATTCCACAAATCTCTGCCAGGTGAGCACTCAGATTTTCATAAATGTAATGATTGGGCACTCTGACGTCTGAGTGGTAAACTTTACCTAGTCTAGATCCACTAGTCAAGATGTGTTTCAGCCATGCTTGTGATGCTATTCTTGTTTGATGGCCACAATTTAATGTCCTCAATTTGGTGTTGGTCTCGATGTCCCAAATCTCCAATAAACCATCGTCACGGCCAATAGATATATACGAACCATCGTCGGACCATTTGATCAGCGTTGCAACTTTAGGCAATTCGCAGAGTAACCCTACACTACCAGTCGAGGCGTTCCATACGTATACAGCATCTTCCAATCCAATAGCTAAAAGGTTGGTCAGAGACCATGCAATCAAATTGAGATAGAAGTCATCTACCAAACCAGGAGCGTCGAGCACTCTTTCTGGAGCAGTAGGGATCTTTTTGGCCCTCGCACTAGCAGCTGCTGGTTTGAGCATGGCAACTGAGTTTAATATGGTCCTCGAGCTTACACCGTTGGATGAATTTCCACTGCCATTCGTGACTGAGATGACTTCTCCGTCTGCGTTTGATATATTTCTGAAAAGGTTAACAGGTCTCTTTCTTTCGGGTGGTAATGGCTGATATTGTAATACTCTCGAGTTAACTTCTAATCCACACGCTTCTGCTACATGGTGTTGGTAGATTTTCGACGACTGTGCCTTTATGTGTGCCTGTGGTGATGCATTGGGGTGAGGGATTATGGTGTCAGTTTGAAGTTTCCCCGAAGTGGAATTATGACGAGATGGAATGAACCTATCTGACGAAGTGGTCGATGATTGCTGCTGGTTGTCGGATGATGACGAGGAACCACCCTGGGAAATCAATGAATTTGTTCTTCTGAGCTTTGACTTTAGCGGTGGAGGTGATCTATTGAGAAGCAGTGTAGTGGATGCCGCTCTGTGATTTGTAGCGGGGAGATAGGGATGGTTGGAATGGAGCAAGTTCAATTTCGGTCTTTCGAACTTTCTTGTGGTTCCTGCGGTAACAATGCCTGCAATGCCCGAGCTGGTGGTGCTGGATCCTGTTATCCCGTTGGTGAATCCTCTTCCAGTTCCAGCTCCACTACTGCCCATGTCCAGACCAGACCCAGTGGACGAAGTACCTACTTGAAGGTTTTCGTGCAGAATGTTACTCATTTTCTCAATCTGTGTGTTGAGACTCACGCTGTGCTTTGCTACCAGCTTCTCCCATTCCTCTGGCATGTTGATGGTCCTCCTAGAAATATTCGGGCTCATGTTCTTCAAGTACCCTCGTTTAAAAGGTGAAGACGAAGCAGCATTGTTCGCAACAGGAGAGTTCCCCAAGACTTTCTTTCGACGGCTTGGTGATGGCATGCTTATGGTTGTGCTATTAGGAGATTCAAAGAAAATTGTATTGGACATGACAACTAGCAACTGAGATTTGTCCTTATTCCTTCAGTAGTGTCTTTGTATCTTGTGTTCAGTTTGTTTGCACTCTGGCTGGTACCAATGTATAATTTTTTCTACCTTTTTGACCTCCGAGCAATTCTAAATTAATCCCTTAGACGATTTCTCTAAAATTTTCTTTATATTTCTTTTTTTCTCGACCCTTTCCACTAAAAATCTGCTTAAAGTTTCTTTAGGTATTAATTAACTGGTAATGGAAATTGATGGTATAAATTTTGTTGCATATTTGTTTATGTTCTGTCCCGATTAGGCACAAATGTATTTTTTTTCCGTGCAAGGGCACAGAATGAATCTCATTAAGGCTGATTTAGTGAGCGAAGGTCAATGATCAATCCGTGCGAAATGGCCACTGGCGCCAAAGCGATGAGCGCGGGTTCGAATTGTGGCTCAGCAAACTAAGGTGGACCGAAGGTCGCAAGACATGAATCGATAAGAAAAAAAAATAAGAGCAAAAGGCACAAAAAAAAAATATTGAATAGTCGAGTCTGATACTGATACTACTGTAGCGGCAGAGACTACAAGAAATAGATAATGGGGCAGCAACCGTCTACTCCAAAGATAACAGCTCAAGACAGGGCTATCTTCCAATTAAAACAACAAAGAGATAAGTTGAAGCAATACCAGACCAAGCTTACATCTGTAATTGAAAGGCAAAATCAACTTGCAAAGCAAGCTATCACTAAAAAGGATCCCGAAAGAGCCAAATTTTTCTTAAGATCAAAGAGACAACAAGAGACGACCATTAGCAGAACCTATGAGCAATTAGATAACTTGGAAAAGTTGATCGGAACGATAGAGTTCAAGAGCATCGAAAAGGATGTGATTTATGGGTTACAACAGGGTAACGAAGTATTGAAGAAATTGAATTCAGAAATGAGCATGGATAAAATAGATAAGGTTTTGGATGACTTGGAGGATGAAAGAGTAAAGGTGGATGAGGTACTGGATATGTTGGGAATGGGTTCTTTGACCAATGGTGATGAACAGGAAGTTGATGAGGAGTTGGAGAGATTGGAGCTTGAGGTTAACGGTAAGAAAACTGCGAACGAGCCAACAAAGGTCAATCTTCCTGACGTTCCCGTTGATGTTCCAGATAGTTTGGAACTTCCTGAAGTTCCTGTTTCGGTAAAATTACCAGAAGTCCCAACTGGTATCCCTGCTGAGGATCCCCTGCAGCGGAAGGAGGAGCACGAACCAATAGCAGCCTAAACAGCCTAGACAAGCGAGGGTGAAGACGAAAAAAAAAATAAGAAATCCAAGAGTAAAATAGAAAACAAAGAATTGAGGAATATTATTTGTTGAACAATGAGATCTCAACATCATTACAACTTCGTTACAATATTCTTTTGAACTTCAATTTATTTTATGCACCATTGTATTTCGTTTTTTCTTTTGTTTTTAGTTTTTATTTTCACCTTCTTAACTTGGTTTATACATTCACTTCTACATTTTAATATTTGCATAGACTTTATTTATATAATTTTACTTAAACTATTTACATTAGGATTTTATCTCTCAATTTTGTAAGTTCTCAATCTAACCATTCTAAGAATTCGGGCGTGAAGTAACTGATTATCAATCTTGCACCAGCTCTTAAAAATCCCTGGTGAGATTCAAAGGCGATCTGCTTCAAATCAACTACACCCTTTTCTGCTGCTGCGTGCAACATGGCATATTCACCACTGACATGGTAGGCACACACTGGATAGTCCTTGCATAACTTAGCAGCGTCACTAATAATATCCAAGTAAAACGTAGAAGGCTTGACGATGATGGCATCGGCACCTTCTTCCATATCTCTAGCCAAAGCACGACGAGCCAACCCTGAAGCTGTAGGTGGTAATTGATATGACTTCCTATCACCCTGGCCGGGGGAACTGCAAGCGGCATCTCTGAATGGGCCATACAATCCACCACTGAATTTAGCAGAGTACGACATTAAGAGACACTTGTGGGCCAAGCCTGCTTCGATGAGCCCCAACTTCATTTCCTTGATTCTTCCATCAACCATATCTGAAGGAGCTACACAGTTGGCACCAGCCTTAGCGTAATTCACAGCAACAGCCGCAAGTCTACGAACTGAGAGCTTTTGGTTTAACGAACCATCCTCGTCAAGAACTCCACAGTGTCCATGGCTAGTGTATTCACAGAGACAAACATCGCACATAATATACAAGTCGGGAAATTCCTTTTTCAAGATCTTTATAGATTGAATAACTGGTCCGTTTGGATCATCAGCATTAGTTCCCTCGGGATCTTTGCTTCCCTCAGCCAATGGTACACCAAATAGGATAACCGCTCTAAGTCCCTTATCAACAAGTCCACGCACATAAGGAACAAGTCGATTAAGTCCAAATCTTTTAATGTTTGGCAAGGATGGGATCACTTCTTCTTCATCTGGTTGATCAGAAACGAATAGAGGGAAAATGAACATACTCTTGGTGAGCTGCTTCTCACTCTGCCACTCTCTTGCGAGCGGGTGGTTATATCCACCTTGAAGGATTGAAGAGATAGATGTTCCTCTGTCTGGGAGATACTCTGCTTTGTGCGACATGTTGGCTAGATGCTTTTTCGGTAGCACTGTTCCCTTTGTTGGTTATCTCATATTCCATATTTTTCATTACTCATAGTTTTTTCGAGAATCAGTGCACTCCCCCTTTGTGACACTTTCTTTATCGGTATATGCATTTCGATAATGACTCTATAGGCTTGAGTTACTGGATCTACGAAATGGGGTAAAAAATAAGTAGTTAAAAAAAAAAAATTATTATATCAACTATAAATGTGTGATGTAATCTACTTAAAAATGTTTTGCAACTCGATTACTTCTCTTCATCCACTTCTTTTCCTTTACCATAAATCAAACATTGGCCAGCTAATATCGCATTTAAGGCAAACGAACTACAGTATCCTGCAAGTAACACCTTATCTCTCCCTAATTTTTCAAAGTCCTGCAATGTAGTAAACACTCTAATAAAGGAACCTAGAACATTGGCTCCAACTGTTATGTTAGACAAGTGGCTCGTGCTTTTCAAGGCATAATTTTTTTTAATCTGGGGAATTTTCGAAACAATAGAGATTGGAATACTCAACACTTGCAATCCCAGAATGAAGTTCTCGGGTGCGCTTCGACTTAACCCAAAACCAATGGCCAAGATGATAGCTATTGGTTGCGCCAATTCGATAAGGGCACCAACTTCATCACTACCAGCCTTTCTAGCATTGTAATACCTTATAAGTAAGATTATGGCGATGTTTTGTAAACCAAGTAAAAATGTCTCACCGTAATTTACAAATGGGTTCCCGTTCTGCTTATTGTAGACTACATGGATAAGGTACCCCAAAGTTTCTAAACTAATTCCCTCCATCGACAATCCTTTGGCCACAGATATACGATCTTTTAACAATACAGGATCGGTGATTTTCTTAATCTGTGGAACTCTAATGAACGATGATACACCAACTATTAATGACCCCAACAATTTAGACACTAGTGGACCCTTTTTCATCACCTTAGCCCTATTCCAGGCCAATTGCAAAATCAATTTATTGGAAATGTCCGGGTTGAGCAAGAGCCTAACTACATCCACAGGGCTGATCTGAGACATCTTGTGTTTTGTTTATTAAGTGAAGAAGCTACAAGAATATCTACAGTTCAATATGTAGTAGCAATTTAGGTATCAATTTTCTTTTTTTTTTTTGGTGGGTGGGGAGCTTCTTATAGTCCAATTAAGGTTCTTTTGTTGCTCTCTTCACATGAAGAAATAATTACATGTGCACCCAAAAAAACTCCAAACAATTTTATTCACACCACATAATGGAGTACAATAGTCATACTCGGTCTAATGAGAATGAGGGAGGGAAAAAAGAATTGCGGTGACGGCATTTGAATTGGTTTATGGTACTCCTTTAATTTATGCTACGGTGTATCATTTTTAATATGAAAGTTTCTTAACGTATATCTTTTATTTGTTATTATGTAAGCCATAATCTAAACCACCTAATCACCTTCTTAACTTTTCCAACTTTTCTTTCAATGCCTTCTCGTTCTTTTCTATATACTTGAGATTTTCTAAATGTAAATTCAATAATTTGACAACTTCTTCAATTGGATTCTCAGATTCGGTATCGTCGTCCCCGCTTCCTGTTTTAATATTCTTCTTACCCTCTCCATCGACTGCAATATTAGCAGATGAGGACGGTCCAATCAACAAATTCTTATTAAACACCTCACTGACTGAGTTTATCTCATTAATAAGCGTAGATAAATTGTCTCCCATGGAATCTAATCTCTCATCCAATAATTCTGCATTATGATAAGCCTTTTCTCTAAGTTTATCGGTAACACTGAGAGCACCTGCAGCTCCAACACTGACACCAGAGCTCCCATTTTGACCTTCAAGTCTGTTATTTCCAACCCCGATATTTGAAGTATTATTGCCATTGTTAATGCTGCTGATATTGCTCAATTCGATGTTGCTTAGCAATTGATCTGCCTGGGCCTCATAATTATCCAAAATCTTATCCAATTCATCTTGTTGACATTCAACAAAGATCAAATTTTGATCAATCTTGGCTTGTAAGCCTTCAGCCTCCAATGTATCTTGGTATAATTTTGAAATCTCATCCCCACTTTTCACTAATTGCTGATCCCATTGTTGAACCTTGCCAGTATATGTCTTGAAAATATTTGATGTTGACGTTAATTGTTTAGACCACTTAATAATTAAATCATCCATAGTCTTGTTATCAATTGAAATCTCTTGAGGTCTGATAGTAGTTGGCTTTAAAGTGGGCTCTGATTTTACTGTATTAACAGAAACTGAAGCCGATTGGGCATTCTTTTCCTCTGGCTTACCTCCGAGAGAGAACCCTGTACTTGGCTTATCGTCCTTCTTTTCAGCAGGCTTTGCGCCAAATGAGAATCCACCGGAAGTAGCTGGCGCGTTGTTATCTTTCTTTTCATCTGTCTTGGTTCCGAATGAGAAGCCTCCAATTGCTGGTTTATCATCCTTCTTCTCTTCAGGTTTGGCACCAAAGGAGAATCCACCAGTAGTGGAAGCAGGCTTGTCGTCTTTCTTTGCACCAAAAGAGAAACCTCCAGCTGCAGCAGCAGGCTTATCATCCTTCTTTTCCTCTGGTTTAGCGCCAAATGAGAATCCTCCAGCAGCAGCTGGTTCATCTTTCTTTTCTTCAGGCTTAGCGCCAAATGAGAAGCCTCCACTGGCCACAGCGGGCTTGTCATCTTTTTTGGCTCCAAAGGAGAATCCTCCAGTAGATGCAGCTGCAGCGGGTTTATCATCTTTCTTTTCTTCTGGTTTAGCGCCAAACGAGAATCCCCCTGAAGTAGCAGCAGGCTTGTCATCTTTCTTTGCACCAAAAGAGAAACCTCCAGCGGAAGCCGGTTCTTTCTTTTCTTCTGGCTTGGCTCCAAAAGAGAATCCACCTGAAGCAGCAGCGGGCTCGTCACTTTTCTTTGCTCCAAACAATCCACCAGATGATGGTGTACTTGTGGTAGTTCCAGCTGTTTTCGATCCAAAAGAAAAGGATGTTGCTGCATTATCCAGTTTCTTCTCCTCCGGCTTGGAAAGACTGAGCCCAGATGCTATAGGAGAAGGGGTAGAAGGTTTATTTCCGAATAATCCACCGCTAGAGGTGGCAGGTGCAGCAGAATCTGCTTTGGCTCCAAAAGAGAAAGTATTTCCAGTAGATGCAGATGCTGATGTGGATGTTGTAGTAGGCTTGTTCCCAAAAGAAAAGGTATTAGTCCCTGAAGATGTTGGATTGGCAGAAGGAGGCGTTGAAGTGCCCGATGCTGGTTTGCTACCAAATAATCCTCCGGTAGAAGCAGCTGGAGTTTCGGTTGGTTTACTACCGAATAATCCCCCAGGAGAAGCAGCAGCTGGTGTTGCTGCTGGTGCTGCTGCTGGTGCTGCTGCTGGTTTACTTCCAAACAATCCTCCGCCAGAAGTAGCAGCTGGTGTTGTAGCTGAATTACCGCCAAATAACCCACCGGTAGAGGCAGCAGGGGTAGCTGCTGGTTTACTGCCAAATAATCCTCCAGTTGGGGCGGCTGGAGCAGCTGAAGCAGCAGCAGGTTCGCTTGGCTTGGCTCCAAAAGAAAATGCAGCTGGAGCAGCCGAGTTGGTCGTGCTTCCGAAACCGAGTGCTGGTTTACTATTATTGGTGTTATTTCCTCCAAAACTAAATCCTCCAGCGCTAGCAGAATTGGAAGTTGGATTGGATCCAAATGCAGGTGATGGTGAAGAGGTGGAAGCAGCTGAAGGTGCTGATCCTGTAGCTGTGGTAGATGCTCCGCCAAAGCTAAATGCGGGCTTGGCTGCACCGATTGACCCAGAGTTTCCGCCAAATAAGTTTCCATTGGTAGCACTGGAACCAAAAGCAGGAGCTGCTCCAGAAGCTGATGATGGAGTGGCTGCAGCGCCACTTCCGAAACCTCCAAAAGCTGGCGTAGATGTTCCACCTGTAGCAGCATTATTATTATTGCTATTATTGTTATTACTATTATTATTGTTATTACTTGCGCCGAATAGTCCACCACTTCCACCTGTAGATCCCGAGCCAAATGCTGATCCTGACCCTCCAAACATTGTATTGTTATTTGTGCAGTCTATTTAGTTTGACTTGGAATTAAGTCTTAGAATTAGTTGAGTTCAAGGACCGAAGCTTAAAGAATTGTATGTAGGGCAACTACTGATGTCGACTCTAGTAAAACAGAGAGGTCCTGGTTACAATTACTGCTGAATAGTGCTGGTGTTTACAATGGAAATCACCAAAAACAAAAATGAAAAGGAAAGAAAAAAAAAAGTTTCATGTTAGACGGTTTTGTGTAATATTTTGGTGTATGGAGTCGGAGATTCAGAGAGAGAGCTGGGAGTAGATATCGAAGCCATTGCAACAGTAGTTGTGATGATACTGTCTAACTTTTCTCGAACATAGAACTGGGATATCTACAGTGTCGCTTACAGCAATTCATTGCACTACTTGATATGTGCCTTTAATTTTTTTTTGTTCAAATGTTATATTTGTATATTTGTATATAGTTGTTTGTTCACCATCGATTATTTCTTTGCACCTTGGGCAGCAACGGCAGCGGCACCAGCAGCAGCGGCTTCTGGGTCCAAGTAGTAAGCTGGCTTGGTTGGTTGAAGACTGGAGTCCAATTCGTAGACCAATGGGATACCAGTTGGGATGTTTAAACCAGCAATCTCTTCGTCGCTGATCTTGTCCAAGTGCTTAACTAAAGCTCTCAAGGAGTTACCGTGAGCGGCAACCAAGACAACCTTGTCGTCCAAGAGATCCTTGGCGATTTCATCTTGCCAGTATGGTAATAATCTGTCAATGACCAACTTTAAGGATTCGGTCTTTGGTAAGACAGCTGGGTCAACGTCATTGTAACGTTCATCACCAGCTTGAGAAAACTTGGAATCGTCTTCGATAGTTGGAGGTGGGACATCGAAAGATCTTCTCCAGATCTGGAACTTCTCCTTACCGTAGGTTTCCAAGGTTTCAGCCTTATCCTTACCTTGTAAGGCACCGTAGTGTCTTTCGTTAAGTCTCCATGATCTCTTGACTGGGATGTACAATTGGTCAGCAGCAGAAAGAGCAATGTTGGCAGTTTGGATAGCTCTGGATAACTTGGAGGTGTAAAGAATATCAGCCTTGATCCCTGCTTCCTTGATTAATTCACCGGCTCTCTTGGCTTCCTTTTCACCGACATCTGACAAACGACAATCGACCCAACCAGTGAATAAATTCTTTTCGTTCCATTCGGATTGTCCGTGTCTGACTAAGATTAACTTTGGCATATTGATATAATTAACAAGTTAGTATAATAAACTGTGTTTAGTAACTGTGAAATACTGTTCTCTATTTTTCTCTCGACATTTTCCAACTAGCCCGCTGTGGGTGCCTTTATATACCTTGCGGGTGTGCGAACTCCGGGACACCACACACCACCAGACTCGAGAAATTGAGAATTGGTTGATGATGTTAGGGGACTGCAGGTAGGGCCAGAGGAACGAAGGTAGAGAGGAAAGAATGGGAGAGAGGAAGGAAGAGGGTGTGTTAGTTAGGATGAGGGAACGCAGTTTCGTACTTTGGGGCAGTATGGAGGGACTGGTAGGGTGTATTTGGGAGTAATGGTTGAGTCTTCTAGGGAACAATGTTGATACTAGAGAGAATTGAAGAGGGCTAATCTATCAGTTTGTTGATGTCAACGATGCGCTTATGAAATTTTAGAAGTGTGGAGCGAAATTTGTTGCATGTTCCAAAGTCACAGGCTTGAGAGGAAGAAAGACTGCAGAAGGCTGACTAAGAATTTGAGCAAGAAAGATGTTGAAATGATGAAGGCGAAGATGTGAGGAGTAAGAGAATGGTCCTACGCTTGCCCTGGATGCTTTGTTGTCGTTTATTTTGTGTTCCTTGTTTAGATTCATACTAACTACCGGTGCCCATACTAGTTCCAAACCAACCGTTACTTAATTTCGCCTGCACCGTGCATTTTTTTTTTTTTTTTTTTTTTTTTTTTTCACATAATTTTTTTGACCTTCTTTTTATAGAGCGCTATGGTTTCACACAGAGCTGTAATTTGGAGCTTCCTCTGCATTTAGGTTTTTATGGTCAGCAGGATTGGCAGCCAGCTCATAAAGTGTGATTATAGGATCCTTCGTTAGCTCTGTAAACTCTCCTCGCAATTCAATACTATGTAAATGCAGCTCTTCTTCATCTCCATGTATGTCTTCTACAAATATAGTCAAATGTTGCACACCCGTGAGCACGTGCCTGGGCAAAAAGTGCTCTACAAAAGTACTCTCTGATTCAACTACATCATCCAAGTCATCTTCCGCTTCGAAGTCAGCCAATCCTACTTGAGGGTGCTCAATTGTAAAAAGAGGTCTCTTAGATACCGCCGAGTCAAAGTCAATGGTGGCATCATTTTTCCAAAGTCTTATCGTCTTGGGGCAATAACTCTCTCCGTTACTTCTAATTATTATAGAGAACAATTTCACATTGCAATTAACAAATGGTATATGGATGATTAGCTGTGCATCACAATCCGATTTAATTACAGGCTTGGTGGAATATCTATCCTCTGGGCTTTTAAACAACTTCTGAATTTCTTCTCTTGGGTTCAGCATGCTCAATGCAGTAATGTGTGGGTGGTCAATCTTGCGCCAAAGCGATTGTGCCGAATTGGTAGGAATTGGTGCAACATGGCTATGGTCGTGACCGCCTGCTCCACTACCGTGGCCACCGTGGCTATGACTGTGTTCGTGTTCACAGGACATAATATGCAAAATATTTGAATGATCAATTGATATATATACTATCCTCTGATACCGGAAGAGAGGAGAAAGATAAAAGGAGATCCTTAAAGAAAATATAAAATAGAATAAAAATAAAATAAAATAAAATAGAAAACTTCTATACATTTTTCACTAGTCTATACAGTTCTGCATATAAGCCCGTCATTCCTGCGCATGGCCCAAAGGTTTCTTTAGCTGATTAAATCTATTCCATACCATTCTCTTCTTGCAACAGTATACCATGTCGAGGTCACCAACAGATACTCTTATATTGACGGGCTTGGAGGAGGATCTCCTTAACGACCCAAAACCCATAATACAATTTTTGGCTCAAAAGAAGCGAGAGATTGAGTTTATCACGTTACCTAAGTTCGGTAGAATCCTATTGCTCTGCGCTTCTAAAATTGAAGCTGAGATAACATACCAAGACTTAAAGGACAGCAACTATGGCACGCAGTTCAACATATCATACAGCATTAAGGACAATGACACTTTAATAAGGTCAACGGCCACCACATCGGATGAGTTTGTAGAATATCTCGAGTTGCCGCTGGAACATGGCAGCAAGCGATTTTTAATTTCTCCGCCTCTATCTCCACCCCCAGAATGGGACCACTGGCAGAAGGCTGAGGAAGGCCCTAGCAAACAAACACTACATTCTGCAGAAGAGCTTTCCCATTTACTTTGGGAGAGATTGGGACATCGAGATGAAAGTGAAGATAGAGTCAGGAAGTATGAACCTGAAGATAACGATCCGCAAAAAACGACTAATAAGCAAGAAAGTGTGGTACATGACTTGAAGGTGGATCCTGAGGTGTTGTTCAGAGATATCGACAACGGTGTTCCCGCGATCATCCTCGATAGCGTGAAAACCAACAATGAAACCACACCCAAAAGGATAGTATGCAAGACAGCTATGCCACCGCCGCTCGAATAAAGAGCTCAAGCCGTGCCAACCCGTTAAATACGAATGTTGTACCCTACCTACTCAACCACATAGAGTACACTTGACGAACTCGGTTGGTCTACGAGGTTTGCAACCTATTTACATGCAGGAGCATATTATTGCATTGAACTTTTTTTTTTTTTTTCTCTCTGCGTATTTTTTTTTTAAATTTTTCAGATGCGATGGGGTCCTACTTCATCTTGCAGTCGAAAGAATCAGAATAGATACTTGGCTTTAGCTATACTTATTGTAGACTTCAATTAGATATTAGAATTTACTCGTATAATGGCTAAAACTAGATCTCAAGTTACACCTACTAAAAAGGCTGCTACGCCTACCAAGTCACCTAAGAAGTCCGCTGCTGCTGCTGCCGCTGTTTCTGCTGCTTCCGCATCTCCTTCAGTGAAGAAGACTAAGAAGGCCCCAGCTAAGAAAGCAGTACCAGCTAAGAAGGAACAAGCCAAAACTCCGGCTAAGGAAACTAAAAAGGCCACAGCAAAGACTACAACTAAAGCCACGAAGATTACTAAAGCTTCCGACTCTATAGTGTCACCTAAGGTTGCCTCCAAGGCCATCTCAGAACTTACCAAGTACATCAAAAACGAATCTACCTCTAGCACCACCAATAAAGATAAAACTTCATTATTCGACGATGCAGATGAAAATGATAATAGTGTTTACCTTCAAGTCACCACCAAGAAGTTCTTCAGTGCCAACGTTAACTTGAAGCCAAAGCAAATCAAGCTCTCTCATTCTATCAAGGAAAAGGAATCTTTAAGAACATGTTTGATTATTCGTGATCTGTTAATCACAACCGACGAACAGTTAGAAAAGATTGAAGCTGAAAACTTCGAAACATTAAAGCAAATTGTTCCAATGAAGGATTTAAAGAAAGAATACAAACCATATGAAAAGCGTAGACAATTCTACTCGGACTTTGACTTATTCTTAGTCGATGATGCCTGTTTAAATATGTTACCCCAAGCCCTTGGTAAGACCTTCTACGGTAACGGTACTAACTCCACTAAGGCTCCTTTACCAGTAAAGGTGACCTCCAGTTCCAAACCAAAGGAATTTTCCATTGATACATTCAAGAACCAATTAAACAAGGTCTTAACAAGTACTTCCTTCTTACCACCTGTTGGTGTTAATGTTTCTATTAAGTTCGGGACTCTCGATGGAGACTTAAAGGAAACTGAGCTTGTTGATAACTTATTGGATGTCTTGAAGGGTTTCAATAAGGAAGACTTGAGGAGTGTTATGGTTAAGACCAGCACCTCTCCAGCTTTACCTTTATACTATGCCGAAACCTTGTTCACTGAAACCGATGTATTAGAGGAAGAGCAAGCTGACAAGAAAACCAAGAAGACCAAGAGCGGGGAAGTCAAACTTTCTGCTTTCGAAAAGGGATTGTTGGAATTGGGTGATGCTGATGAAGTTGCTAAGATCATTGGTAAGAAGATGAGTCAAACAAATTCAAAGAAGCCAGTTGGAAAAATTGGAAAAGTACAGAAGGTATAAGAAGCTAAGTTGAATAAAAGAGTTTACATGTTAGTTATACAAACAAGATGACCAAAGAAAAACAGAAGTACCATATATATTGCATTACTAAGTAGAAAGAAAGTATTAATCAAAATTACTTATAATTTGTTATCGTAGGTATTTATCGGTCTACTTGTATGGTTCTTAATCCACTTGTTTGCTCTCGTGGTTTCTTAACCTGGGGTGCGCGCATAGCGAGCTGAAATATTCTGGTGATGTTCTGACTGGCTACCAGTTTACTCTCCTGAAGGTAGGCAGATTGATCAGGTAAATGTGGATCTTGGAGTATCCGCGTAACGATAAGAGTAAGTATCGAAATGACGACGCAGAGATCGCGAGTCTCTTCTAGCGCTTCTCTTCTTTTTTAACTTTAAATTTTTCAACTGTTCACCTTTTCTAGTCTAACACTCAGTAATAAAGAAATGGTTGCACCCAAACAATTCGTATCAAATTGGTAGAATCAATGACCCCAGCGAGCATGAAGTTCACCTTAACGAATTATATATATCAAAAAGGCATTTAATAATATCAATCGGGTCGATATCGTTGCAGGATGTCACTAACGCTGGTTTGCATACACCCTTAAAGATCACCTTCCAAAGTAAGGCAAGAACCCTGGTGAATGGAGAAGTCTTTCAATTGAACAAAACAGATCCTCAGCCGATTGAAGTTGCTCACTTTACGCAAGAGAGTGAATTGAACTTCAAATTTAAATCGGGTACACCTCTTAGAATGAAGTTGTCGTGGGTCCCATTTAACATTGGGAGGTTGAGGGCCAATATGAAAGAGGATGAAACGGTCCAGAAAGATATACTTAAAGATTCCTTGCTTCAATTGTTCAATAGTAATGTCGATATAAGAATAATTCAAGATTTCCTGCTAGTCACCCATGTTATAACCCCTTCAGATGAAAAATTCTGGTTTGGTTTGGGTATAGCGTTGGCCAGGGGGGTCCCAATTGTAGGTATGGATTGGCCGAAATACGTGTTGAGCAACATCAAATATTTCGAGAAATGGCTCTATAGCTCGGCGATAATAAGTGCTCTGTTGTTGCCGACTACGTCAAGAAACGATATTAAGTATTTCGTACCCAACTCAAAGAGAAGTTCACTATTGCTGGGTGTAATTGTGTATTCAATTTCAGTAGGAGATAAAAGTGATTACTTTAAATTACTTAGTAAATGGATTACAGCTTTGAGTGGTGAAGTAATTGACGTATCTAACTTGAGAGATACAACACAGATTTTGGCTGAAATCAATAACACTAAAGGTGCCTCAAAAATATTTATTATGGAGTCAAATAAACCAACATTGGAAGAAAGCACTTTGAGTAATCACATTTGTCAAGAATTGCAAACCTTCGTGCCTATCAACCCAAGTCTTTTATATGATAGCGTTGTGAACGTCAACATTGATAATTTAAAAATAAAGAGAGCAGCTCGAGCTTCAGAATTAGAGTTGCCTAATGAAGTGTCTATCAAGTCTGAAAGCATCTCGCCACAGAAAAGAAGGTTAGGGAGCAGAAAGAGTAAAAAGGTTGATAGGTTAGCATTTTTTGATTTCAGCTCTATGCCAATAAGTCAATCTCAGGGCCAGTCTAGCTCTCAGGTTGAGCCTCCGATTCCTGTTGAAGAAAGCATTCAACCTTTGCCAGAGTCAGAAGTAACTGAACAACATGTTGTGGATATGAATAGTTCTCAAGCTCAATCATCAAGTGCAGAAGATTCTAGCCCCAAAGGAATTGAAAAGAAAAGGAGACTTGAAGAAGAGGAAGTCGAAAATCTTCGAAAGAAGTCAAAAACTACGGATAATCAGGGCGAGGGTCTGCAAATTACCAAAAAGCATTCGCTAATGGACGATATTGAGGTCTCTGATATTCAACAAGAAAAAAGACAGAAGGTCATTGTCCCCAAAGTTACCCTAAAGGATGCAATATTTCAAACAAAGTCTAAGGCTACAGATGCTATACGAAAGGAGCTTGGAATCGGATCACAGGATGTACATGAAGGTCTAACTAATCTAGCTATAGTAGAGCTGGTTGACATACCGTTAAGAAGTCGAAAAGAACAGCAGCCGCAACAACAACAGCAACAGCCCGGTTCTAATATGGCATGGCACGACAGAAAGGACTTCAAAAAGTTCAAGAAGAACATTGCGCTAAAATCAAGAGTCTCGAGATCATTTGTTGAAATGGAACTTGTAGATACTGACGCAAGGGCTCCTGGTTCGGCTCCTAGGAGAAATGTATCAATCTCTCAAACTATGGAAGAGTTGTTACGGCAAGAACAGCTAAACAAAAAGAAAGTCGTGAACTTGGCGAAAGATTTTGATGGAGCGATGGAAGATATCAATGGTTTTAACCCTGGAAATGGTGATGATAATGATAATGATAGTTTTTCATTCCGAAACGATTCAACTAACCAGAGTTTATTTGTTTCTGAAGATTCCCAGACGAATGAGGAAAATTCCGGAAGAGTCAATACAAACAACCGCAAAGTTGACTATGAAAGTGACGACGATAGTGATGATGATCAGCCTAAATTCGGGTTTAGTAAAAGATATTAGATTCTAACTCCACAAAACCCCATTTTTCTGAAATATGCTAGATGAGAATCGTATGAAACTACTTTATCTTGGGGTCCCTTCCGTTCTGATAATGGAGGGAAGTCTCCTTGTATGCATTTTTTGTTGGTCGCAGTCCAACAATCGACCACTTCAGATTGGATAGGATTATAATTGTGAGATGAGCAATTAATATATATTTGGTTATCGAATTGTTGATAAAAATCTGGTTGTAAATCAATTGGGGGTGGTGGATTAATAAAGGGAGGGAAAATGCCTGCAATTTCTTCCTCTAGTGCCACTTCTTGCCGAATAATTGATAACTTCTTGTTCGGCAAAGTAGCCACCACATCACCCTTATGTATTACTCTCCAAAATTTTCTTTCTTCGATTGGACTGAACGACTGGAGCTGCATATCTGCCCAGTTTGTGAATTGTTTATTTCCAACTAGTGGTTGCCCCATTGTAACTAGCTTTAACTTATTAGAATTGCCCAACGAATCAAGATAATGAAGTGCAAGCAATAACGCAACTGCACCACCTAATGAATGACCCATGATTAAGATTTGTAAGTCCCCTTCGTTATCGTATTCTTCAATTGCTTTTTCAATCACAGGATTGATCTTGTTTAATGTACTCAAGTAGTTATTGAAAAATCCCCGGTGCACTCTGCAATTGGGTCCACAACTGGGTAAGTGCTTATTTAGATTCGTGTAGGAAGTCATCTCCACTCTGAGGTCGGTATAGGTATCCGGGGCAGACCTGGTCCCTCGCAATGATACAATTAACGTCTTCCCAGGCAAAGTGGCACTTGTGTCGTTAATTTCGGAGGGGTGATCTGATAGTGCGATATAGCCAGCAACTGTATCATCGAAGAACCATTGGTACAATAGAGTAATGTTGGGGAAGGCCTTGGAACAGCCAAGGTCGCACTCAAAGGGCTCAGAAATCTGATTGGTATTGGATACGCAGTACGAGATATCAATCAAGTGTGCATATGTGTATAAATCTTGGTATATTTTGAACGTCACCGGAGTTATAGCCGTACCTTGATATTGTTGCAACTGGTAAAAAGTTGGATTTTCCGCTTGAGCAATGAACTGGTGAATGGAAGTACCAAGCAAGGTCAGCGGGTAAACAAGAGTTAGGATAATGAACACAGTCAAGTGAGGATTACCGAACATCATACCATAACAAATGGACACCAAAATGAAACAAGTACCTTTGGAATTGTGGTTTCTTATCTAGGTCCGCCATATTAGGTTCCATTCATTTTGTTTGTGTGGAAAGGTCACTCCCTTATCAGACCGGCTCATACAGTGGGGATGATTGGCACGTGATATGGCACGTGAGCGTCTTCTCTTGCGCACGCGATCCTGGGTGGGAGTAGGTTTTACTGCACGAGCCGCTTGATCTAGCATAAAATTAAAGTTAAACGAAAAGCTAGATTCTTTTCAGCAGTGGGCATGAACGTACAACAACCTGTGCAATACACATTGTGGTACTCTTCTATTCTCTCTTTTTATGCAAGAATTTCGGGTTTATAGATACCCATAGTGCACCTTCAGTCTCCACGGCCTGTGCTACATATCTACGTACTGATTCGTTTCTCGGCCCATGGTACATTTGCGTGCACAGAAGATTATTTTTTCACCTACGTGAAACTGTATGCATACTTCTACCTTAGGACAAACCAATTGGCACCACGTTCATAGTCAGCATAGAAACAAAGTGGGGTGGGTTTCAAATATAGGACACCTGTGATTTCAAGCTTTTATAGACTTCGCTCTCCTCACCCTTTTCGTCCCCATAGTTCCTGTGTATTCCACTTATTTCTTATTTGAGACGTTTAAGATTTAAGGTCTAGTTCTTGCATCTGAGGTCCACCAAATATACTCAATTCAGCTAACTTAATCTCATCTCGAAAGTTTTTTTCCTCGATTTCGCATACATTTTTCACTCATTGCCTGGAACTCGATCTCGCGTTAGCATGTGCTTTGTTTCATTTCTTTCTTCACCAAGAAACGCCATTTATTTACTGGGCATAGCCGCCTAACTCCTACGATATTTTTCCTTCCGATGTGTCAGTTATTGCACCATTATTGTGATTCCATTCTTCCGTTAATACGCCTTTTCTTTCTTTTTTTTGCTTTCTTTTTTTCCTTTTTGATTCTATTTCTTTTTCTTTTTTTTTTTTTTTTTTTTTTTAAAACAATTGGCAAATTTTATTTGAAAATAAAAATGTTCCCATTATTTTTAGAAAAATTTTATTTTTTTAAACCCCATTAAATTATAAAAAAAAGA